CTCATGCAGTTGGCTTGAGCGATTTCTGTGTCAAATCCCCAGAAGACCAACATTGGGAAGCAAGTAAAGTGGCATCTTCAGATACCTGAGAGGAAACTTCAAAGTTATGTTTAACTTTTGGAGGTGAAAAGCCGCAACTTGTTGGGTACAACAGATAGCAGATATGGCCGTGATCTTGATGAAAGAACATCGTAAACAAGTCATACCTATTTAATTCTTTGGGGAGCTATTTCATGGCAGCGAGATTAACAAAAACTGTGTTTCATTATCAATCGACCGAAGCAGATACGTGTGCAACAACGGAAATAGGAAAGGAAATGCTTTGGTTAAAGCATCTTTCAAGAATTGGGTGTGCCAGCAGGAAAATATATAGTTGAATTATAATAGTGTCAAAAGTGCGTTAGACTTGAGCAAAATACCTATGTATCATCACGGACGAAAGCACATTGATTGTAAGATGTAAGATATCATTGGCTTAGATCTGCCATTGAAGAGAAGCAGTTTTCGTTGCGAAAGATCCACACAGACAGAAATGCTGCTGATATATTGACAAAGGTCGTTCCGAAGGAAAGGTTTGAACTGTGTGTCAAAGCGGCAAGAATGAAGAGTCCAACCATGTAGTTGGGAGGGAGAGAATTATTGTGGGTCCCTCCGACATGTGGGACACACACATGTTTGAAAAAGAAAAAAAAAAGGAAAAGTAGATGCGTGATTAACGCATCCATTATTAACGCGTCCCTTTCTCCTATTTTTTTCTCTAAATAAACACACAAAAACAAAAAGAATAGCAATACACAATTAAGTGTAGAGAATTTTAGAAAATGGTTCCTAAAATTGGGAAAATGAGAAAATAATGAGGATTATACTTTTTTGGAAAATACTTAGAGTACCACTACTTTTGTAATATCTTTTATACCTACTATTTTTAGTAGAAGAATTATTCGGAGTTTTTGTTGGAGTTTTTGTTCCGTGGACGTAGCCCATAACAGTTGAAGGATGAACCACGTAAATCTCGGTGTCCTTATTTTTCATCTAGCATTTACTGTAATTATTGGAGGTATATGTGGTAATAGTAATTTAAATCTTTATCGGCGCTGTTAACTTTTATCGTTGGTAGTTTTATTTTATTTCTACCACTAGCATTATTCCCAGGCCCCACTCGGGATCAATTATAATCCCAACAAGAAATGTATGTTTTTAAATCATGACGTCGTGTTTAAATTATAACCAAGAATCTATGTCAAACAATATAAGTTTTAGTGAATGATGAAATTTAAATTTCTACTTCTTTCTTTATCAAACAAATTATGTTTTAATCAACGGTGGGTTTGAGCATTAATTGGTAATGAATTAATTAACTTAAACGCCAACTTCAAAATAATAAATCTAGTTAATACATATAGTTTTCATCTAAGCTATTTGAATAAATTTTTTAAGAAAAGGACATCTAATCTAGTTAAATAAAGACATCTTATTTAAGAGTACATGCAAGAGCACGCTCCATTAACCCCTTTCCCTTTGAAGACATTCAACAAAATTGGAAAGATATCTTGAAGAAGCGTGTGCATTGAAATAGTAAAAACCTGCTTAGAATTATAATTTTAATAAATTGAAAAACACATTTTTTTTTTTTTAACAAATTGAGTTTGAGGAATGCCTTCCTCAACAAGTGAATATTAATTAAATATTATATATATTATATTATATAATATAATATATAATATATTATAATTATATATATATAATATTAACAGTATATATAACAGTTCTCACACACTATATATGTTAACATATTTTACAGATTTCGTTTCATGAGTCAAAGATTTGGTTCTTAAATGTTTCTAAGGGAAAACAACATAGTAACAACAAAAGTTGAACGACATGTCATTTTGAACAACATGTCATTATTATTATTATTTTATGTTGAACTATTGGTATCAAAAAGTTTACAGGTTCAACTAATTTAGATTCACGTCGGACAGATCCATAATAGAGATAAAGGATAATATGGATATTTAAAGATACTTTATATTCATGATTTAAACTCGATCAAGACATCTGATTAATTATTTTTTATTATTAATATTACTTTCTCTAAATTTAATCAAGAAATTCCATTCAATTAATATAATCAATATAAAACATATTACTCACGTAAAAAGAATTTGTAAGACCTAATATTCATGCATTATTACAAATTTAAACTCAATCTTAAAATCACGTGTGAAAGTTAGATAAACTAATAGATTATATATATATAAAAAAAGTATCAAATAGTACTCTTTGCATAAATAATGCAGTAATAAAGAAAAGATTAGAAAAATATTTTGAAATAAATGACAAGTATCACTCATTGGAAGCATAATATATTTTAATTAGAGAAGAAAAACTTGACATTTTTTTTTTTTTATTAAACAAAGAAAAAAAGAAAAAGACACGTAAGATGGAAAGGTGTCAAACCAGGAGAATAAACGACCAGTAAAATATATACTATAAAAATGGATGTCCAATAACTCACGTTTAACATGTACTTATATGATTGATGTATATTATAATGTTTCTGTTTCAATTATTTTTGGAAATTAATTCAAAGAATAGAATAAAGGTGTTGGTAGTGTATAATTATTTTTCTTCGTTTTCACATTATGTTGAAACTACCTGCTGTCTTCTCAAAAAAAAAAAAAAAAAAAAAAAAAAAAAAGAATTGCTAAAAAAAAAAAAAAAAAAAAAGAATTGCTAAGCGGTTTCCAAATTTCAAAATGGGCTTCAAAATTCGAATTGGGCCTACTACCAGGAGAAAAGAAACCAAGTTAGAAAAAGAAAAGCCCATCCACTTTACAGTTAAAGGCAAACAGGTGGCCTTCCCAAGTTAAGAGAAATCATCGAAGATGCCTTTTTCCATTTTTTGCTTCAGTGCTTCTCTAATCTGATGTCTATCATCAACATTTTTTTTTTCTTTTAGCTGAATGTTTCAGAAAAATCGATGATTTGGGCTTTATTATTTTTCCATTAATGAGTTATAAAATTCAAAGAAAGTCTGGTTTTTGCTTTCGTTTGAGAAAACAAAATGTTATTATCTAAACGACTTCTCGTTCAAAACTCATCGCCTGGTGTCGGTTAAAGTTTTGGGCCATAACAACAGAATTTAATTGTAGGCCCAATTATTTAATTGTTTAGAGCCTACATTTTTAGAAGGAAAACCGTTGGACTAAATAACTAACCCAGGGTTAAAAGAGATAATCGGAGCGAACGAAAGCTTTTCTCCGTAATATACGAGGCACAAGGAAGCTTTTCCCTCCTGTGGGAAAACGAGGAAACTTTTTCCATTGATAATTCCAGGTGCTAATTTGTCATTGCCTTTGTATTCCTCCTTTTGTGTACGTGCTTATAAGTTCATTTATTTGGAAAACATAACCAACTGTCAATAGACCGACGTATCATTGCAAGCTACTCAATAGAGGAAAACTCTCTCATTTGTAGTAAAGAGAATTCGAATTTGAAATATCTTACTCTTTACAGTTTCTACAAAAAGTAGAAAGATCAATCAGACTATGGTAGAACACATATGTTTTCAGTGGTTGGGTCTAGAAAATTTTAATTTTTTATTTAAAATGAAATAATAAGTAATCACCCTAAAGTTTATTTGTAGAAGCAATTTTTTTTTTAAAAAAAAATTTATTTTCATTGATTTTTTCCAATTTAAGCAAGTATAACAATAATAAAAAATACTTTTTTTCATATAAATTTTCAGAAGATAACTTAAAAGGAAAAACAGATATAATTTGCTTTAATTTGTTCTTCTATTATAATGGCCTTTTTTTTTTTTTTCAAATTAGTAGCATAACTGATCGATATGTAAAAGCCTGAAAGGGATGGCTGCCGTTGCCTTTCTGTTTTGGCTTGCCATTAGAAAGATGCTCAGGAAGTCCTAGGAGATTGAAAAGCACATCCTCTTTGCTGTTAAAGTTGAACGAGTGACATTTCAAAGTGAAGAAGAAGCCAAAATCATGTAAACAATATTCTGTTGTTACGCATCAGGTTATGACTCTCACATTAGCTTTTTTTTATCTCTGAAGAGGCTATAAATGTTACATTTCAGCCTCTGCCTTCATCTCATCACACACAGACTTGCAGAAATACAAGCTCAGAATCTCACAAGGAGCAAAAATGAAGGGAGCAGTCACAGCAGTTCTGGTTGTTGTAGCTCTTGTTCAACTCATGGCAATGCCAGGAGAGGCTGTGGATTGTGGGCAAGTGAATTCGGCTTTGGCCCCTTGCATTCCCTTTTGCATTCCCTTCTGACTGGAGCAGACACCGCTCCATTCAGCTGCTTGGTTGGTGGAGTCAAGAATTTAAAGGTGGACTGGAGCAGACACCGCTCCATCAGCTGCTTGTTGTGGTGGAGTCAAGAATTTAAAGGTGCTTGCTCCAACCACAGCCGATAGGCGAGCTGCGTGCGACTGTGTTAAGGCTGCTGCCTCACACTATCCAAATATAAATGAAGATTCTGCCTCTTCACTACCTAAAAAATGTGGGGTTGAAGTGAATATTCCCATTTCCAAAAACATCAACTGTCAGAAGTAAGTTTTTCTCTATCATTACTTGATTTTTGGTTTTCAATATGATTAAGTTACTTTCTAACATGATCTTTAAGTAATAATAATAAAATTAACCTTCATTCTCCCAATTTTCTTTGCCAGCATCAACTAAAATGAATCCTGCAGTTGTGACAACGGAGAAATAAAGCTTTGAGGGAGCTATGGACGTTGACATCTTTTTGTTATTAATCTTATCTAAATAAATGTTCCTGTGTTAATCCGATTACTAAACCTTGTTCTACTGAGATTCTTGTAATAAAAAAATCATACGCTAGTGCGTTGTCTTTGTGCGTGGATGTGAAATAAAGTGAGAATTCATGGGTGATCTGTAACTGTGAAACAATTCGAGGCTGATCATTGGAATAATAAAATATAAGACACTGGCTATCTTTTCACGAACCATTTTCAAGAAAAATGAATATATTGAATTTTAGCCTTTAAATTATTGATTGTAAAGCTATCGTCTTTTGCGCCTACAGTAGCAGTGCCAAGGGTATGAGCAAGTAATGTGTTCTATAGCATGACTGTATGAAGGAAAGGCACTCCTTTGAGGAATTTTGTCGAACGGTTTACGAAGGAAATGCATGGATGGAGGAACTTGAACGTGTTTGGGAGAAATCTGGCCAGATTAACTTCCCGTTGGGCCTGAGCGAGCCTTTTATTTAACGGTCCAAACTTTTTTTTTTTTTTAAATCTTGTGGTTGTACGACTGCGTATGCTTATAAAACGACGCCACAATTATTGATTTTCAAACTGGTTTGTTTTTCCTCTCCTCAGTGGAGGCTGGGAGTGTAACCATCGTCATCGACCCACCAAAGTCTGGAGAATAGTGAGGCAATCTCTTTTACTTTACCTTGCCAGAAACTGAATAAAAGAAAAAAAGCTTGTTATGCTAGCAACTGCCAAGTCTCCTGCATAAGTTGCAGCAGTTCAAAGACAGGAAAGAAAACAAGCTTAGAAAAGCTTTTTATGATTGCTGTTATGTTGCACCATCAATGCTACACAGATTGTATCTCTATATTGGCAGGTTCACCATTTATAGAAGATTGAGCGGTGGATGCAGCAGATTCTTGGCTTTCACCGGAGTTCATCTGCTGTGCTGGTGGAGGGTTGACAACAGTCATTTGCATTGCAGCATTATCAGATAGGTGGTTCCTCATCTCTCTGTGCTCCTGACACAAGGCACACCAATGCATGCAACAATGCACCAGGCAGGGGTCACACGGTGAGTTCTGAAAGAGTTGTATAACTGAGTTAGCAAATAGCAAGAAGTTTGTCCAAGAAAAAAGCCTTTGAACAAGTGAGGAGGGACACAATTCAGAGAGAAACATTTAGGTAAATAAACCAATAAGGAAATAATCATTGAGATGATATTTGTGTGAAATGCACCAAAAGATCCCAACAAGTATGGAATACATTATTACCTTGAGATGATATTTTTTCTGCAACGATTGTCGAAACAGGCCAGTATATATGCCGCACATCCACCATGCAAATAGTAGGCCCTCACAAATAAGAAAAGAAGTCTTAGGATCAATACCATGGAAGAATGCCGTAGCTGCTGCAAGTGCCAGTCCACCTTCAACACACATGGCATGACAAACACATGCATTGCTCCAAGGAATATCGTCTCTCAGTGTTTCGACATTGTGTCCAAACAACACACATGGGCAAAAGAATCCAGTGCGGCCTGCAACACTCATAAAATGATACTATGCTAAAAATGCATGAAATAGAATATTTAATGTACCTTGAAGTAAGAGTAGTGACATGCCACCAAAAATATTGGAAATGCATTTGCGAATGAATAAAAATCCTGCATTAGTGGTCTACAACCTCAGCAGTCATTGCATGTCCTTTTAAGCACTACATTATGCTCCTACCAAATTGAACTTGAACTGAACTGCTACTTACTAATGCAATGTGTGATTTTTGCTGCGCATCAATAAATATAAATTTGTCTTGAAGGGAAAAACGTCTTATCTTTCTTTCAGCTGCAGAGCATGATTTTTATTAAAATAATAAGATCTTATCTTTCAAAAGAAATTTTAAGCTTCACCAGCCCTTTTCATAAAGTTCTCCACCTTGCTTCTTTTCCAGCACAAGGAAAACGAAAGAAGCATTTGGGGAGAAGTAGTGAGAAAGAAATTACGATTGACTGAATATCATTCCTTATCACATACTGCTGCCTGTGCCAACTCAACGAACCTCATCAAATTGTTCTCCGAAGGGATGAAAGTGAAACTTATCAAATCGTTAAGACTGATAATAAGTGTGTATCCACCAATATAAGACTATGCCTAATTCAAGAATTATTTTCCTATTATATAATTATCTATTAATTGCACTAGTATTGCATGATTTCCTAGTTACAGTACTTAATTACTTGGTGATTAAAATGCTATAGTCGGGTAAGGTGAATAATTGACGAAACTAGTACAGTTATGAGTGGGTAAGGCAAATAATTGATGAAACTAGCACTGCAGAAGTTTTTCCATTTACAAGTTTGTGCAAGCAAATATAATTGTAGCATTCCAGTATGTTTAAGTGAGTGCTAACTCTATTTCACGTAAAATTTAGAGAGAAAGGGAGAAGGAGAGAGAGAGGGGAGTCATACAACTCTCTGCATCTTCAACACAGCCACAAATACCGGTAGTCCAGTCTTCATCAGCAGGAGGCTCGTAGCTTTCAGGTAAAGGTTGTCCACATTCAATACATCTGTGAATGATTAACTGTATAACCCCAAAGATGACATCAGATATAGTAAATCGGATCAAAGGACACAAATCATCACCAGAAGAAAAAGTAAATCCCTAATTGGAACCGCATTATCATATCCATCCCTTGCATTCACTTAGAAAGATCAAACACGGTCACCAATTTATTTTTGGCGCAAAATTGTATATAAGGAGAGGGAAAGAAAGAGAGAAAAGGGACCTGAGGAACTTGAATTGGCTGATTGAGTTCACCGGGAGTGATATCCTCGGCAGGAGTTTGATCCCTCGTCAACTTCACGTACCTTGATTGCGTACTTCCGTCCGCCATCTGATCCAAAACATGACTCAATTAATTGTTCAAAACCAAATTATAAAGAGAGATTATTACAGAGGATAAGAGAAAGCGAACCTTTGAACGAGAGATTTCAGAGAGAAATGGTACCTCTACTACTACAAATGTGATAGAAAGCAGTTGAAATTACAGAGATCTCATTCTTTTATATTTGGATTTTGGAGAAGTTATTTTCTCAACGGCGTTTTCAAGTGAATCAATATACAACCATCTATTTTTGTTGTATTTGTACTTAATAATTTTATTACGCATCTTAAACCGCCAATTTTGGGTTTTTATTTGTGACGATTCACGATTTGGGTTTGGGCCCGACCCATAGTAAGCGGTCCATCTTCACGTCGTCGTTTTGCACTATTTTTCTTTTTGCCTTTTCTTTTCTTTTTTTTTTTTTTTTCCTCTTTATTTCTGTTCAAATGATTTGGATGGCAATAACATTTGGAATAAGACAAAATGAAAAGCTACAACCAAAGAAAAAATCTTTAGAACTATAGAAGTGGGATGAAGATAAACATCAGCTTTCCTTTCCAGAGAACACGATACGAGGAACAAAGATGGGAGGAGGAGCCGCGCATGTAGACCTTGCCGTGATCAATTGCAAGACTTGCTCCAATCCCATAACCTCTCTACCTTCTCCTCCTTCAGCTTCCACTCTCAATTTTCCTGTTTCAGCCAATAACACTACACTTGCACAGTCTTGTATTGCTTCTGAAACTGGTACAGGAACCGGAAAACTGCTTGGAAAACAAGATAAAAGGGTATTATATAAGGATATATTTGGCCTTGTTCCCTGTCAATTCGAAGTTGAAAGTGCCATAGTTGCTCTTCAAGAGTGAGTGATATCATATTCCTTTTCTTTTATGATGATAATTCGCTGTGGTTAATTCAAATCACTTTTTAGCTATATGTTTGGCTGAAACATAATATTCTTTTGTATAATTTGTCAACAGATTTCTGCAGAGGATTTCTTCATCTAGTTCACAGTGTAATAGGCTGCTGCAAATGTTGGATAAAAGGGTTGAAGATGTTTTTCGTTTGCTGCAAACAGACCCAGTTATTAAGGTGCTTCTTTTTTAATATTCTCCAATTGATTGAAACATATAGTGAATGCGAATTTCTATTACGAAGTGTATCTAAATGAATCTAAATTATAAATGCGCGTAGAGGCTGGTGGTTTCGCTGGCATCTGATAAACATGTTTGGGATGCTGTAATGAACAATCAGATGATGCTGCAACTGCGAAAGTCCTTCGTCTTCGCAGGTTTAAAAGAGAATTTAAGAGAATTCCAATTCATTTAAACTAGATATGTGAAACTCTTGAGAAAAACCTCCTCTTTTTTTTTTGTTCATATTATTGATTTTTGCAGCTGAAAGTTGTAGAATACAAAGCTGTAATGGAGAAAAGGATGTGGTTAGTTGCATGTTGAGTTTGATTATGGACATTGCTAAAGCAAAGGTTACTCAACTTATTCAGAAATTCCAAGCATTGATGAATGAGATTCTCCAATCTTCGGAGAGAGAGGAGCTCACAGAAGAAAACAGAGATGAGGCCGACGACAGAGTTCGGTCATCCTTGCTTCTCTCTATTGTAATCCTCCTGATTGTGGTTCTGTCAAGGTTTCACGGGGCTTGACAATCACAAACTGATGTACCAACATTTCCCCTGCGCATACATTGATTTTGTATACATAAATAGGGAATGTGACTTTCCATTCACATTTATATACAACTTAGTTGATTAAGTCAATTGCAATTTAAACTTGTGTATGAATTGTATCAGCCCAAAAACCATGAAATCCAAGTGGAAAATTAAAAAGTTTGGGGACCTCCAATCTTGTTACAACTGCATCAGCTTCCCCAATCTTTTTTGGATTCAAAATGACAAGATAGCACCTTTGTATCGCAACTGCATACTGAAAAAAAACCAAAATTGTTACTTTTGAGATTTGATTTATTTCAGAAAATTCAAATATTGTGTATTTTATGGTTCTAATTTGCTTAGCATATTTTTGCTTACCTCAACAATAAGAAGGTATCCGTCATCTTCTTCACCTTTTTTGGGGACAAATACAGGCTCGCCGATAAATCTCCGAGCACCAACAGACCATGTGTTCGTAGATTTATCTAATGCATTTAACTTCACCACCGTATCAAATGGGAAATGTGGCAATGCTCGACGGGATCCAGAAGAAGTTGCTGCATAAATATATTTGTTCTTGTAGCCGGAAAATGTTGGATTAATAATAGGAAAATCTGCTGGCTTGCTCCATTGATTGAAGGACTCCACAGTACATCTTTGACAGCTCCCATTAGAATTCAAATCGATAGATACCTAAAAACTCAAAAAACATCTAACTATTTAGTTGATAAATACCTAAAAATTATACAAGAAATTTAATTATTGTTATTATTGTAGAATGTACCTTAACAAGATGAGGCAGTAACTCATTTTCTCGTTCATTAACATTCATAACAGAAGGGTCTAACCGATCACTTTGCCAATTATATCCTGCACGAGTTTTTCAAAATTTCAAACTTTTTAAGTGTTTTTAATTTATCTTGCAACTACTATATATCCATTGAATTTTGAGAATATTTACCGAACATTCTCTGGAAATTGAACCATTGATAGGAGCAAGTGCAAGCATGTACTTGGACCTCCAAATTTCCATTTTCATCCACGGCCTCAAAAGCATTGCCAACATGCAGCAGCCACATCTGTGAAGTTGCTTCCACAGGCACTTTCCAATCTCTGTGACCCTTATGATCAGGAAACCGTGGAAGCAAATATATGGGAGAGGTGGACTTGCTTGGGTTCACCGATAAGGCCGATATCATCGGAGACAAACCACAAACGGCCGTCATCGATCCTGCAATTTACAGACATGTAACGATGTAATTAAGCAATGCTTATTGTTACATTATTTCATTGTAAATAGTAAGTAGCTAGCTAGTTACCTATAACATCAAGTTTAATGCGATTTGCAAACAATATGTAATAAGAATCTGTAAATGCCCAATCGTGTATCATCAAATGATCAGGAATACTGAATTCTCGTCTCTGTAGCAAATTGAAATCTTGATCGAATTCTGGAAAGAAAAATGAGAAGGGAATCAATTAAATTTGTAAAAATCTTCAGATACTTAACTCGCTATAAACCTACCATAAAATGTAAAATTACTGCGAGGCAGCAACATGTCCTCCGCATTGCATGACATAGTGAGAAGCCTACTCCTTTTAGCGTCCAGCTTATAATGAGACAGAAATCTCTTGGGTGACATTTTAAAAACTCCTGCGCAGAGTTAGCGCAAAAACAAAGTGTTAATCAACGTTAATAATAAATTTTCAAGCTATCTTATTTACATGTGAATTCCATGATTGTCACGTGACATTCAATAGTGAATATTCCTAATGAAAAAAAAAATTGAAATGTAAATCTAACCCGTACGGAATAAATGAAATTCATGGTTAAATTTATTAAAAATCTCAAAAATTTTAATTTCTAAGACTGTAAAATGTATTTTGAATTATAAAAAATTTTATATTTTAAAAATTTATTATTAGATATGATAAAATGGATAAATTGTGATGTGATACTGTTCCACAGGACTTGGTGACTTTTATTTATCAATGGTGGTCGGTAATTCTTAAATACCTCGAACATAAAAAAAAAAAAAAAAAAAAAAAATACCTCGAACAAAAAAAAAAAAAAAAAAAAAAAAGAAATTCAGAAGTGTATTTTTTTTGAGAACAAAGCCCTAGTATTAAATAATTAAATCATCATTTCCAAATGTTAAAAAAAAAAAAAAAAAAAAAAAGAAATTCCAGAAGTGTATTTTTTTTGAGAACAAAGCCCTAGTATTAAATAATTAAATCATCATTTCCAAATGTTTATTTTTCTAAGGAAAAAAAAATAATATTTTACATACCATATAGTATCGGTTTCAGTAAACCTGCGGCTATGTCCCATACATCAGCGGTATTATTTGCATCATCCATCAGCGAATCACAGCCATCCACCAAATCAAACCTCCCAATCGTATCCAACGTCCCTGATTCAATCTCATATGGATTCCCGCCTTCCCACAGGCACAATAATCTTCCACCCCATTTCAATACGCTAGTATTTGCCACATTTTTCATTACTTTTGTATTTCCAAATTTTTTACCTCCCTTTAACACCGAAAATGGGCCTCGATGTGTAAACCGCCACGTGCCAGTCTCTGGATCGTGCTCCTCTACCTGAGCCTCGGTCTTCACGTACCTAGCCATGAACTTCACCTCTCCATTCGCTCCATCAATACTGAACGCCCTAAGATATCCATGACCATCCAAAGGATGCACTGTCGATCCATGGTCATCCGTGAAGAGACCCGGCCCGGTTAAATAATACGTACCAGAAGGAAAGTCCGGTGGAACTGCACCGTCGATTACTCGAAGATTGACAGGTTTTACCGTTTCAGACCTTTGCGAGACAAATAAAAATTGATAGTCCCAAAAGGCAGCTACTGAATCATCTATGTTTTCCAAGGTTGAAACATGGGTATTATGACTATCAGGAGCTGAAATGGATATAACTCTTGGTGTTCTTACTCTGGCCGGCGATGAAATCCGATGCAACGGAGGTAGTTTTATCGGAGAAGGGAACTTTGTTGGAATATTATGAAATGGCTTGGCTTGCATATTCGATAAGAAATAGAACAAAGTAGCTTTGGAAGCAATCGCGAGTGAGACTTTGTTTTGAAGGTGACAAGGAAGTTGACATGAAATGTAAATATACATGCTTATATAGTACTTGCGTAGTAATTGTATAATTTAGTAATTGGGCTTGATTATTTGGTTTAATTACGGATTTGCTTAATTTTATGTGCATGGTAGTGGGGTAATGTGATGGATCGGACCCACCATCAAGAACATCTAAAAACATTTGGATTGGACACTAACATAAATGGCAGACATGTATCGTCTCCTTTTATTATTATTAATTAATACTATTTTATATTTTTAGTCCCATGCAAAGTATATTAAAATTAAAAACCCTAATGGCAATAGATTTTTGCTGTTACTTTGTTTATATTTTGTCCTTTCTTCTCTCTATTTCTGGCTGGAAGAATTTTCTAGATTTGCTTATGAGCAGCAACTTGCTTATATTCATTTGTGTAAATTCGATCGATCATTGAAAATGATTTTCTATTGAAATGAAAATATTTTCAATTTATATAAAAAATATAAAATAAGAATAATTTTAAATTTTTTTTTATTTTCATTAATTTGATTTATAATAAATAACGCTATAGGATAGCTATTTAGTTAAATCTAATACATAATTCACAAATGCAACCGTTGAATTTGGGGCTAATGTAATTTTACTTTTTGAAATTTACTCTAAAATATTTGAAAATTCCAATTTTATCTTCCCTATATTTTGAAATTCTTACTCCCCTTTGAAATTAAAATAATTACCAAAAGCACATCGAATTATTTAATCAAATTCTTCGCTAATGGCACCATATGCAATTTACACATGATTGAAGCCTATTTCATCGAGCGGTATATAAAATATTAAAAGAGGGCACTAACAAAGACAATGATGGTGAGCTTGATACCTTAGAGTAGTGTTTGTATGATTCTGACGAGGTAAAGACAAAATAACAGGGCCACGATCCTTACTTTGTCCGTCTATTGTGGAATCTGATGACCGCATCTCCAACTCAAAGCCCCCTGGCTGGATTTAAAAAATTAAGTCGTACACTTCCAAATCAGGAATATTTTGCATATACGAATAAATGCACGAGGTATTCCAATCAAACTTTGATTTAACCATTGTAAGTTCAACATATTTTTCTCAACTTGGAGTAAACATATTACTTATTGTCATGTTGATTTGATTTTAGTGGCTTGCAAATTTGAATGTTTCTTGATTTGGGAGCAAATGAGTGGGAGACTAGGAAATTATTGCATGGGTAAAAATAGCTAGTAGTTGAAAGATCTCCCGTTTGACTCTTTCTAAATAATTGCATTGTGGACAATTTTTTTTTAATTCATTAAAAGGTCTAATGGTAAAAAAATCAAATTAATATGGTGGACTACATTGTAAAGTAACTCTTTTTATTTTTCATATTAGTGAGAACCAACCGGATCACACCTGGTTGGCTGGATAAATATTTTTATTTTAATTCTAAATTAATTATCTGTTTGATATAAATGGATCTGAAATATGTAATTCATTTGTAAAATAATAAATAATCATAAAATTTAATTTTTATAAGTGAAAAAAATATTTTTATTTGTAATATAATACATATAAATGATGAATTTCAAAAAATTTTCTGTAATTCATTTATATATCAAACTGGGCCTAAGATAGGTTAATTGGGCCCTAGCCCAAACAGTAGATCTTGAATATTGAGGTGATACGAGTATATGACACTCTTTTAGTTGGGCCTATGTTCTCTGTGGATGCAAATTGCAATTCATCAAATAGATCTATGGTTTTAATTTTTATGAACACATACACATCCTGTTCCTCCGATCTCTCGTTCAACCTTTTAGGTGGTCGTTGGATGATAAAATGATCGTTTAATGGAAACATGCTATTAGCGACACCTCATTTATATTAGCAAAAATACGTGGCGCTTTCTAATGCGACTGTCGTTAAACATATTAGGCAGTCGTCGAATGGCCAGAAAACGGCAGACTTTGCTGATATATCTTTAATACATAATGCGTGTTCTACTTCTAATGCAATAAGGAGGGAAAAGTTGCTTCTCCCTTTCCCGCGGATAGACAAAACACACGCCGCAGTCGTAGATTGCTAAATTCCCGTAATATCCCTGCACTTAACCGATACTCCCTTGGATAAATTCTGTAAGGTTACAATCGTCAATTAAAATCCAAATTCCAAACTTCTCCCCGCGTTCTCCCAAGCTCTTGTATCCTAACCGCTATTTTTACCAATCCTATTACAACTCGACAAAGCAGAAAAAGAATGAATTACGAGCAGAGACTCAAGGCAGCAGCTACTATTATACTCGACGCCGACGCACGCGCCGAAGACGTCCCTCTAGACACTGCAGAAATCGGTATTACGGCGACGCTTAAACCACACCAAGTGGAAGGTGTCTCGTGGCTTATACGGAGATATCTTCTCGGCGTCAACGTTATACTTGGTAGCTTTTTCTGTTTTAATACTTTACGGTTACAAGGAAACATAAAGGAAATTAACGGTGAGATTTTATTTGCAGGAGATGAGGTACGTTACCATTTTCATTTCCATGAAATTGGGGGAGGACCTGAATACTTTCACAAGCTCTTTATAGAGGAGATTATCTTACATTTGTCATAAGAATAGATATGTAATGTCAATAACTACAGTAGTTAAGTGCTATATAGAGTTCTATTAGCTCATCCTTTGCTACTATATTATCGTTATGTTTGATTTGATGAGTTAGTGATTGGCAGATGGGATTGGGGAAAACGCTACAAGCTATTTCTTTCTTAAGTTATTTGAAAGTTCACCGAAAATCACCTGGACCTTTTTGTAAGTTAAGGAAGCCTGTTCTTTGATTAATTGGTTTTGAATGCTTTGGCATCTATTTCTGCAACTGACCTGCATTCAAAAATATTTTTGACTTCTTGCTCTTATTCAAACATTTGCAGTGGTATTGTGTCCTCTAAGTGTCACAGATGGCTGGGTCTCAGAAATGGCTAAATTCACTCCAAAATTAAAGGTGCTCAGGTATGTTGGTGACAAAGAACACAGGCGCAGTGTACGGAAGGCAATATATGATCATGTAAACGGACATTCCTCCTTAGCTGATGTGAGTTTAAATCTTGCAATGCACTTTACAAACTGGATCACTATGTAAACTTCTCATGGTTCCACTTTTCTAGAATTTTTTTTCCCTTCTTGTGTTTTAATTTTGAACTTTAGGTTTTTCTCTACGATCTAAACTGCATGTCTTGACTGTTTAATAACTGCTTTACAGGGATCATTGTTACCTTTTGATGTGCTGTTGACAACCTATGACATAGCATTGATAGATCAAGATTTTCTTTCTCAAATTCCTTGGCATTATGCAATCATTGATGAAGCTCAAAGACTTAAAAATCCTTCCAGTGTATGCCTAATTATGAATTCATTTTATTTAGCATTCTGGTTGTCAATTAGATTTGAATATGTTAATCAGGCTTTTCAATTTGATAGTTCAGTGAATTCATCATGTTCACTGTGAAATTGGAAAATATAATTGGAAGATTCACGTTCATTTGGAAATTGACAAATATAATTGTGAAGAAAAAAAAAAAAAATACTCATTATGTCTTTTGTCATTACTGTATAATTGGAAATGCCCCGAAGTTGGTGAGAACTTTCTAGATTTTCAAGAAAAATTTTTGTTTGCAAGCATGATTGGGTAATACTAGATTTGAATGTCTACTGTGGATAACATTTATTTTCTCGCTTATTAGAGCTAAACCTCAACAGGTTCTATATAATGTACTCAAAGATCGTTTTCTCATTCCAAGACGGCTATTGATGACTGGCACTCCTATTCAAAATAATCTCACTGAACTGTGGGCCTTGATGCATTTCTGTATGACTTTAGTGTTTGGGACTCTGGAGCAGTTCCTTTACACATTCAAAGAAGCTGGAGATCTCACATCAGGTTATCCCGTAACTTATGCCTTCTCCCAAAATCATCATTACAATCTTAAGAGTTTGAATAATACATTTTTCTTTGATCTCTGATTGTTTTCTAGAGGTTAAATGGGTTCAGAGATCTCAGTGGGCTGTAATTTGCAGTCTAGTGATTTTTTTTTTTTGAAGATTTCCCAAAATAAGAATAACCGCAGGTCATAGATTTGAAAGGTTTTTCTTGCTAGCTATGCAGTCTATGATGCATGATTGAATTCAATGATGAAAATACTACTGATGAGATTAACTAAAAGTTATTTATAAATGTCAAAACATGGAATTACGTAAATTAGTGTTCATCTTGTTCCAATATTATGCTGTAAAATTGTTATGGTTTTAATTGAATGGCCACTTGTGCTATTTGACTTTTGAAGTGATGATATAAATCTGGTTTCTTAGTTTGTGCTGGATTTCTTAGTTTCTCGATTTCCTGGACAAATAATGGGTCAGAGAAGTTTCATTACTAATATTTTTATATTCTGACCTCAAATATGAGAAAGTTACATTAGTACGAAAGGAAGTTTTTTGTTGAAAGTTGATACTGAAATATCAAAAATTTGCGTCCCTCAGCTGGTATCACTACTAATTTGGTGTGCTAACATAACATATTCCTTATGATAAATATGGCTATTGATGCCTGCATTTCTCGGTCACTGTCGTTCTGTTCAGATTTCAAGAGTAATGACTTTTACATTCAACTTAATTATGCCTGCCTTTTGAGATATAAATACTGCAAAAATATTATTCCTGATAACAGGTCTTCACACGGAAAAGGTGAAAGGGCAATTTAAGACTTTAAAGTGCATATTGAAAGCTTTCATGCTCAGAAGAACAAAATCCAAGCTTATGGAGTGTGGTATCCTACTGCTGCCACCACTTACTGAGGTTACTGTGTAAGTTTGTTGTGTTTCAAATTTTGCGATATGTTTTCTAGTGTCTCTTTGCTCAAAACTTTGATTTTATGCTTTGCTTGATCTTGATAGGATGGTTCCACTGGTCAGCCTCCAAAAGAGGGTTTATATGTCAATATTGAGGAAAGAGCTTCCGGAACTTCTTGCATTTTCTTCTGCATCGTCTAATCATCAATCTCTACAGAATATTGTAATTTAATTCTTCAATCTTGGTTTCAAACATCATATTATAGCAAACAAAATTTTCTTTAGTTACTTGAATACAATGATATTTTCCTGACATGATGCTTTTGTTATTTTTGCCTCGTGTCTAGGTAATACAGCTTCGAAAAGCCTGTAGTCACCCTTACCTCTTTCCTGGTATTGAGCCTGAGCCATTTGAAGAGGGTGAACACCTAGGGCAGGTAGCCTTCTTTTCCATTGTGTATGTGTTGTTGGAAATGAGAGCGGGTGGAGTTTGTACCAAGTTCTGTGTTCCCGTAACTTTACAACAAAGGAAGAAAGAGCAATATAAAAACCTAGATATATAAATTTTTAAGTTGGGAACAGGCAATATGAGCTGCATCTCTGATTCTCTGAATCCACTAGTGCATTTGCAAGTAAATTCTTCTCTTTTTTCTTTTTTTCTTTTTCTTTTTGGGTGGTTAACTTCACATTTAGGCGAGTGGAAAGCTTATAATTTTGGACCAACTACTTCAGAAACTACATGATTCTGGGCATCGTGTCCTTCTCTTTGCACAGATGACCCATACACTTGACATTTTACAGGTATATTATCCTTAAAAGTTTTATTAATTCCTTCAATATAGGATTTTTATGAAAAGTGTTAATTATGGATATTTTATTCAATATAGGATTTTTTGGAGTTACGCAACTATTCCTATGAGCGTCTTGATGGTTCAATCCGGGCTGAGGAACGGTTTGCTGCCATAAGAAGTTTTAGTGGACAATTAGGGAAGTTGAATTCTGAAATTGACGAAAATAGTGCTTTTGTTTTCTTGATATCTACGAGGGCTGGAGGAGTTGGCTTAACTCTTGTGGCTGCAGACACGGTGGGTTTTTTTATCTAAAATTTCATGAAGAATTAGCCTTTGGTGTATGAACTCATTAATATGTTACTAAGCTGACAAAAAGATTACGTTCTCTGTCTGAAATTTATATTAAATTGTTGTAATTATAGTGCAAAAATCATGCTTTAAGTTTGATCTTTATATTGTGATGTCTGGGGTTAGAACATTGAGATATTAAGTAATCAGGATGGTAAGATAATACATATCTGAGGTTCATTTGTGCTATCTGGAAATTCTTTTGAATTTGTGTTCCTGGTGAGAATTTTAGCGGTGGCTGTGATGAACTTTTATCATAACGATGCTAGTTGTCAGCAATCACTAAGCCACAGTGCAGGCTTTTTCCTTAGTGTTTAAACTGTAAAGAAAGAATTCCTCATTAATTCATTTGGCATTGGGCCCTTCTTTCTCTCATTTACTCTTGAATTTTGTGACTCATGTAGTATTTGCTTCCACTCAAAATGGAAGAGTGTGAATCTTGGCTAAACTCGTTTACACTGACTTATAATGATGGGATAGCTAAGTTTGGAAAGTATACCATGTTAGTGGTAGTGTAGTCGGCTGCCTGAGTCTATGGTTAATGCCTCGAGAAGTGGCATTGAATTTTATAAGACATGCTGTAAAGTTTTGACATTTTACAAAATACTATGCACAGGTTATATTCTATGAGCAAGATTGGAATCCCCAAGTTGACAAGCAAGCTTTACAGAGAGCACACCGGATTGGTCAAATCAATCATGTGTTATCAATAAACTTGGTCACAAGGCATACTGTAGAAGAGGTGAGATTTTGTATATCAATGGGTAATGATTGATTGATGTCTTTTTTCTCAATGTGGTGTTCTTCAAACATGTGGATGTAGGCCATTATGCAAAGGGCAGAGAAGAAATTGCAGCTTAGTCGTAATGTCGTAGGGGATGACATTATGGAACAGGAAGGAAAAGAAACAGGATTTGAAACCGTTGATTTGCGATCTATCATATTTGGATTACATATGTTTGATCCTTCAGATATCAATACTGAAAAATCAGATGAACCAAATATGTCACAATTGACTTCTATGATAGAGAAGGTAATTGCTATGCACAACAATCAGAAATTGGGAAAGGACAATAAGTATGAGCTAAATCAAATTGATCAAAACAGTTTTGATGTTATTAGGGGAAAACCTGCTTTTGTTGATTATGATCCTGGTCTTGATGAGGCATCATATCTCTCATGGGTTGAAAAGTTTAAGGAAGCATCAAAATCAAGTGACAACAGTTTCTTGGATTTGGGACACAGAAAGAGCATACCTGAGGATAAGCATCTCAAACTTGAGGCTGCAAGGAAGAAAGCGGAAGAGAAAAAGTTATCTAAGTGGGAATCCCTTGGATACCATTCATTGTCTGTTCAAGATCCTGACCAAGATGTGTTTCGTGATGTCTTGTCAGATTCTGGCTCTCTTCAATTTATTGCTGGAGATTGTACAGATCCAGCAAAAGTATGCCCATCTGAGCCCACCATCATATTCAGGTATTTCCTTGTGTTGAAGATGCATCTGATTTGCTTCCTCACTGGTAGGCCTATTTTTCAGTAGGATAGGAGTTTGCTCCGAATGCATATTAATGAAGACAAGAAGTTCAGTTCTGTTTGAGCTATGTTTTTAAGATGACTTTGAACATTCTATTCTATGGAAAATAAGTTGTTTGAATTTTGTCAAGTAATAATCTATATTACTCTTAGGTTTGACTCTGATATTAATTTGGCAGTTGTGTAGATGGCTCTGGAAATTGGGGCCACGGAGGAATGTTTAATGCACTGGCCAAGCTGTCTTCAAGTATCCCTAATGCCTATCGACAGGCATATGAATTTAGGGATCTTCATCTTGGTGATCTCCATCTAATAAGAATCAATGGTCAGCTTTTGGGTGTTCTTTTATCTCTTTCGTTTGTTATCCAAAATGCTTTTTGATATGCCATTATTCTGTTATATTACTGACAAACAAATGTTCATCAGTAATATAACAAATGATCATGATTCTGCATTGCACACATTGAATCAATTGTGCAGTGTAGTATAATGCAAATATAAGGTGTCTGGATCAATTAGACAAGTCCTTCCAGATGTGTGGATATTGTTTTCTTCCTCATTCCTGCTGCTGAAAAATTTAATATTCCAAGTGGATTGTACATACATTGCTAGGTTGTTGTTGAATGCTTTAATGATGGTTGGTAGCAGAATAATAAGCATTCAATTCCCAGTAACTCATCCCTCTTCAGCAGTTTCCGCCGATTTGTAATGCTATAATTATGCAGTAATATGTACCATTCTATAATCCATTTGTTTTAGCATGGACAAATGTTAGTTTCGCTTCATATCTGAATTTTTGTTGCCCCTTGGCCCATCTATTGCCGTACAGATGATACAGGATGTGATTCTCCTCAGTGGGTGGCTTTGGCTGTTGTGCAATCATATAATCCTAGGCGTAAAGTGCGCAGCAATATCTCTATTCCTGACCTGGAGTGTTGCCTATCTAAGGCTTCATATGTGGCAGCTCAGAATACTGGTATAATTTTCCACTCTTTTGGTTTAGTTGGTTTTTGATTTATCGTTTATTTTCATCCCATAGGAAGACATGCTTATTTTTCTGTCTTTATCCAACTCTTCAAGGCATATGTGAATTTGTGGTATGGTTGTTGGTGTTTAGTCGATCCAACAAGAAAAAACATGGAACTTTATTTAGAAATCAGCTGAGTAATAAGGACTAACGTTTAGGATTGATAATAGGATGGACCTGAGCAGTGCCAAGCAATTAGATAATTTATCTTTCTGGTTTTTTCTTGAGGTGAGAAAATATCAAAATCTGGCTAAACCTTGAACGTCGAAGAACTTTGCATGCTATTTGATAAAAACTTACTCTACCATACAATAGAATTCTTGGATTACTGAAGTTCAGTGGCAGCCTCTGGCAGCTGCTTACTTGGAATAGTTTGTATTTGCATTTTCCTCTTCCATACATAAATTTAACTGTATCTACATTTGTTTTTTCCATAAAGCCTCGATCCACATGCCTCGTATTGGGTATCAAGATGAATCAAATAGGTCGCAGTGGTACACCGTGGAACGTCTTCTACGAAAATATGCATCCATTTATGGAATAAAGATCTATGTGTATGTCCTCTCTTCTTCAAAGAGAATCACAAATCCATCTCTCTCTCTCTCTCTCTCCCTCTCTCTCTCTCTCTCTCTCTCTCTCTCTACCCGTGGAACGTCTTCTTCTACGAAAATATTGCATTCCATTTATGGAATAAAGATCTATGTGTATGTCCTCTCTTCTTACAAAAGAATCACAAATCCATCTTCTCTCTCTCTCTCTCTCTCCCTCTCTCTCTCTCTCTCTCTCTCTCTCTCTAAACATATCCATCCATACAAGCAAACTCATTTCATGTTTATATTTTGCAGGTATTATCATAAGCGATCATCTTGAAGCTTGGTGTAGCTGATTGCGCAAAGCAAATTGATATTTGTAGTTGTGACTCACAATGGATTTGGACGAATGAAACAGCTGAAGCAGCATGTATATGATAGTATACTGAGAACGTTTGATCAGATATTATAGGTTTCACTTATTTATTATGTAAGACCTAAATTTTGCTCATTTGGATTTTGGTAGGTGATCTGGTGTAGGAAGCTTGAGTTTAGAGTTAACCATTTTCAGTATTAAACTCTGCCTCTCTAATACTGAAAATGGATGAGAATATAGTCTTCCGTTTTGAAATCCTGCTTGGAAGTTTCCATTTATAATGGGCCACGGTGATCATGGTTAAATGCGTAGTCCGCGTGAACCGTTTGCAAAAAATCCCTGCTGAATCTCTTTAATTGGGATGACACCCGCATTCTTAGGTCTTTCATTTTATTTTATTTGTTTTGTTTTTTGGCACTCATAATTTATTATTTGCTTGAAAATGGTTCATGAAAGATACACCACAATATGTTATGTTTTACATGTAATTATTCTCATACGTTAATATCCAATTCTTTCGAAGGTACTTTCTCACTTGGAAAAGCATTTATGCGAAGAATCTAGCAGGATTCATACCAACCAGCATTTATTTATTTAGGTATATTATAACATAAACAAGAGAAGTCAACAACACCCAGGGCTTCCAAAAACTTTGTTCTTCTTGTCACTGCTATACGTCTTCATTTTAGTTGATGCTGGAACAAGAAAATTAAGATCATATTTAGTTGACTGCTGGGAACAAGAAATTTAAGAAAACTAAGATTACTTGCCAGATCAAATGTTAGGAAATAACGTAATTATAATACTTAACAAACTAATATAATAGAAGTAAGTAATGACTATAAACTTACTTCTGCAATTTTAATGTTTTTGGAGATGGAATATTCACTTCAGACCCACATTTTTTTAGCGGAACGAAAGAAGCAGAATCTTCCATTATATTTGGATAGTGAGAAGCAGCAGCGCTTAAACACAGTCGCCGCGCCAGCTCGCCTATCGGCTGTGGTGGAGCAAGCGCCTATCAAATTGCTTGATTCCACCGTCAGGCATGCCCTGCTGATGGAGCAGTAATCTGCTGGTTGGAGCAAGCGCCTTCAAATTCTTGATTCCACCGCAGCATGCTGCTGATGGAGCAGTATCTGCTCCAGTCAGGAAGGGAATGCAAGGGGCCAAAGCCGAATTCACTTGCCCACAATCCACAGCCTCTCCTGGCATTGCCATGAATTGAACAAGAGCTAGAACAACCAAAACTGCAACTACTGCTCCCTTTATTTTTGCTACTTGTTATAGTGTGCGAACTGCTTATAAATTAACCGAGATATTGAGCTTGTACGCTATATATTTCTGTGGGTTTGAGTGGGATGAACTACGAATGTGGTATTTGTAGCCTCTTCAAAGATAACTAAGCTAAATATGTGAGTCATGAACTGATGCGTAAGCATAACAACATAGAATATCGGTTGCATCATTTTGGTTCTCTTCCTCGAAGTGTCGTTTTACTCGCCTTCAACTGTAAGAAGGATCAGCTTTTGGATATCGGGTCGAACTCCATTTGAACCTATCCTGACCCGGTTTCGAATAGCTCTACTTGATCCAAATGTTAGTGACTGTCCCGGCCCGGCCCTAGAACTCTTCCCAACAGTATCGTTTTTACCTTTGCCTGTCTCCCTCGCTCATTCGCCACCCGCATTCGCCACCACGTTTCACCGACGACAAATCTTCGATCCGCAAAAAAAATCCTTTGAACCTTGTCATTGCCTACAGCCAGCCCCAACCGTAGAAATCTCTACTCATGATTGCCATTCGTACTTCTCAGAGTTGGGCGCTGCCGTTCGTTGCTAGGCAATTTTCCAAAATCAACTCTCAAGAGCTTTTCGTCCCTCTCAGGTACTATTCTCAAAAGATCGAGAGCCGTGACGATGAAGAACTGGAAGCTAATGTTGAGCGAAGACTCTCCACTAAAACCAAGAAGGCTAAATCCATTGCGCGACTCATAAACACCAAATCATGGTCAAGTGAGCTAGAGTCTTCTCTCTCATCTCTTTCTCCCTCATTTTCTAAAACCACTGGCTTCCAAGTTCTTCGCCTTATCAAAGTTCCATCAAAAGCCCTTAAATTCTTCAATTGGCTTCCTCAAATGGGTTTCACCCACAATGACCAATCCTATTTCTTGATGTTAGAAATCTTGGGTCGCGCTCGGAACCTTAATGTAGCGCGTAATTTCTTGTTTTCCATCAAGAGAAAGTCTAATGGGACGGTTAAGCTTGAGGACAGGTTCTTTAATAGCTTAATCAGAAGTTATGGTCGAGCTGGGTTGTTTCAAGAGTCTGTAAAGCTTTTTACTTCGATGAAATCTGTTGGAGTTTCCCCATCTGTGGTTACATTTAATAGTCTTTTGTTGATTTTGCTTAAACGTGGACGCACCAATATGGCCAAGAGTGTATTCGACGAAATGCTGAGCACGTATGGTGTTGCGCCTGATACATATACCTTTAACATTCTGATTAGAGGGTTCTGCAAGAATTCAATGGTTGATGACGGGTTTAGGTTTTTCCAGAAAATGTCGAGTTTTAACTGTGATCCTGATATTGTGACTTATAATACGCTTGTTGATGGGTTGTGTAGAGCAGGAAAGGTTAAGACAGCACACAATGTGGTTAAGGGGATGGTTAAGAAAAGTGAAGATTTGAATCCTGATGTTGTTTCTTACACCACTTTGCTTAGAGGATATTGTATGAAGCAAAATATTGATGAGGCTTTGGTTGTTTTTGAAGAGATGGTCGACAAAGGATTGAAACCAAATGCAGTTACTTATAACACGCTTATTAAAGGCCTTTGTGAAGTCCAGAAGATTGATAAGATCAAAGAGGTTTTGGAGGGAGCCTTGGAGGTTGGAGGATTTTCTCCTGATACCTGTACTTTGAATACATTGATGAATGGACATTGCAATGCAGGGAATTTGAACGAGGCCTTGAAGGTTTTTGAGAAGATGATGGAGTGGAAGGTCCAGCCAGATTCTGCTACGTACAGTGTTCTGGTTAGGAACTTGTGTCACATAGGGGACTTTGAGAGAGCAGAGAAATTGTATGACGAGCTGCTAAAGAAGGGCATTTTATTAAGAGATGATGGTAGTACGCCTCTTGTTGCAGCCTACAAATCCATGTTTCAGTTTTTGTGTAAAAATGGGAAGACTAGCAAGGCAGAAAGGGGGTTCAGGCAACTAATGAAAAGGGGAACACAAGATCCTACTTCTTACAAGATTTTGATAATAGGGCATTGTAAGGAAGGCACATTTGAAGCTGGCTACGAGCTCTTGGTCTTAATGTTAAGAAGAAATTTTGATCCTGATTCTGAGATCTACCAGTCGCTGATTGATGGTCTCTTGCAGAAGGGTGAGCCTCTTCTTGCTTACCAGACTCTACAGAAGATGCTAAAGAGCTCCATTGTTCCTACAACTTCTACTTTCCATTCTATACTTGCAGGACTTCTGAAAAAGGGTTATGCCCATGAATCAGCTAGCCTTGTAGTATTATTGTTGGAGGGTAAAATTAGACAAAATGTTACCCTATCAACACATACTGTAAGATTACTCTTTAGCAATGGACTGCGAGATAAAGGATTTCGGATTGTTGGGCTACTTTATGATAACGGGTACATGGTTGACATGAAAGAATTGATTATTTTCCTTTCTCAGAGTAGAAAGTTACTTGAGGCAAACAAATTGTTGCTATTTTGTCTGGAGAAACATCACAATATTGATATTGATATGTGCAACACAGTAATTGAAGGTCTTTGTAAAATGAAGAAGCTTTCAGAAGCATTTGGGTTGTACTATGAATTGGTGGAGAAAGGCAATCATCAACCGCTGAGTTGCCTAGAAAATTTGAGAGTTGCCTTAGAAGCTGGGGGAAGATCAAAAGAAGTAGAGTTTCTATCTAAGAGGATGCCAAATGAGAAACAGTAAAGTTTCTATCTAAGAGGGGGCTAAATGAGCTCCAAGGTGCAGAGACCTTGGCCCCCTGAAGTCTGATTGCATCATTCAAGTGCAAAAGTTCAAGCATCTCCTCATATGGAAACTCATGAACATGCCCTTGATGAGTCACTGAACTCTGGCATAAGTGCAATGCTAGTCAGATGGTGGATATGGAAGCCTTTCAAATATACCTTTTTGCATATTTTGGTTAAGTAAGTATCGTGCGCCTTTCTGTTATATTGTGTTCAAGGATGAATGCATCTAGATCCCTGCTAATATAATATTTGATTCATGTCTTTGCAAAGCTTTATTCAATTATGCAACATTGTAGAAAAATATGTAATCATAATAATTAAGTATTTCCTTGTACTCTCCGTCACACATGTCACTTTATGCTTGTTTCTCATTCTCTACAGATAGTAGAACGGAATGTTCAACAGTACTAATGTTGCATGGTGATTTCAAAAAAAAAAAAAAAAAAAAAAGGTGTTGTTGCATGATTTTGTCATCTTGGTGTTGTGAAGGGGTCGCAGACTATTTATTCGGACCTGCAAAATATTTGCATTCATTAACATTATTGAGATATTTTTTTATGTTTTCAATTTGTCCTTTTTTTTTTTTTTGCATTCATTAACATTATTGAGATATTTTTTTATGTTTCAATTTGGTTCCTTTTTTTTTTTTTTGGGGGGGGGGGGGGGGGGGGGGGGGGGGTTTGGTTTGGGTTGGGGGGTTTGTGGGTGTTGGGGTAGAGTGTGCTATATGCATTTTCGTTTCCTTCTACATGCTATTGTTTCCACTAACCTAGTAGCTTGGAGGTTAGAATCAGAGAATTCAGCGCCAAATGTGATTATTTTTGTTTGTTATTGAATTTAGCTAAGGTTATATTTATTACAGTAAATGTAACTTATCAGATCCTTAGGATGTCACAGTCTTTGATTATGTGACCATTTCTTCAAAGTTTTTGCAGAAAAAGAAGGTAAGTGAGAATCAGGTCAACCACATGTTATAAAAATGGTTTTATAAAGGACGGATATACAAAAGAAAAATAAAACGCAGGAAAAGATCGTCGCCCCTATTGAAGGACTCATGCTTCCAACCACAAAAGACCAAAAAGTTATCAAACCCAAATGGAATATACATTTTCTTATTTCTCATGCCAGTCTTGCTTTACACCAACCTCTCTCCAAGTAAAGGTGAGCTCTTATTTATATTCTCTTATTTCCTCATTGTTTCTCCAATAAGTCATCTTCCTGGCAAACTATATTCTAGTTAAACTTGTTGAAGATGCTAAAAACAGACAGTAACGGTTCTTCAGGGCGCTGTACTTTCCTCACTAGACGTACTCCTACCTTAGGGAAGGCAACAATACTTGCAATAGGCAAGGCCTTCCCTAAACAACTCATTCCCCAGGACTGCCTTGTTGAGGGCTATATCCGAGACACCAAATGTGATGATGTATCCATCAAGGAGAAATTGGAGCGGCTTTGTAAGTGAACTTTCTTCTATTAAAGCTCAATAATTTCATTTCTTTGGTTTAAAGAAAAAAGAAAATTGATGTCTTTCTTTTGCTAGGTAAAACTACTACTGTGAAGAAAAGATACACAGTGATGTCAAAAGAGATTCTGGAGAAATACCCTGAACTTGCAACTGAGGGCACACCAACAATCAAACAAAGGCTTGAAATAGCAAATCCTGCAGTCGTTGAGATGGCAAAGGAAGCAAGCCTTGCTTGCATCAAGGAATGGGGAAGACCAGTGGAAGATATTACTCATATTGTCTATGTTTCTTCCAGTGAGATACGCCTACCTGGTGGTGACCTTCATCTAGCCACTCAGCTAGGCTTAAGAAGCGATGTTAGTCGAGTAATGCTATACTTTTTAGGCTGTTATGGTGGTGTCACCGGCCTTCGAGTTGCTAAGGACATAGCTGAAAACAATCCAGGAAGTCGTGTTTTATTAACGACTTCTGAAACTACTATACTAGGTTTTCGGCCCCCAAACAAAGCACGCCCTTATGATCTTGTAGGGGCTGCACTTTTTGGCGATGGAGCTGCAGCTGTTATAATTGGAGCCAACCCTGTAATAGATAAGGAGTCTCCTTTCCTGGAGCTGAACTATGCAGTTCAGCAATCATTACCAGGTACACAAAATGTCATTGATGGATGCCTTTCTGAAGAGGGCATAAATTTCAAGCTTGGAAGAGACCTTCCTCAAAGGATTGAAGATAACATAGAGGAATTCTGCAAAAAGCTCATGTCAAAGGCTGGATTAACCGAGTTCAATGATTTGTTCTGGGCTGTCCATCCAGGTGGACCAGCTATACTTAACCGGCTAGAGAGTACTCTGAAGCTAAACACTGAAAAACTAGAGTGCAGCAGGAGGGCTTTAATGGATTATGGAAATGTTAGCAGCAACACTGTATTCTATGTTATCGATTACATGAGAGAAGAAATGAAGAGAGATGGAGGTGAAGAATGGGGACTTGCCTTAGCTTTTGGGCCAGGCATTACTTTCGAAGGTATCCTTCTTCGTAGCTTGTGATCACATCCAGCATCCAGCAACCAGCAGCAGCAGCAGCAGCAGCAGCAGCAGAGGCATTACTTTCGAAGGTATCCTTCTTCGTAGCTTGTGATCACATCCAGCATCCAGCAACCAGCAGCAGCAGCAGCAGCAGCAGCAGCAGCAGCTACAGCTACTTCTATATTTCTTTATTTTTCCTTTTATTTTCATCAAGTGTTTTTCTTTTTCAGTCAGAAATACAATGCTGCGTTTTGAAATTTCTATAAGACCGAACCTATGAACTTTTTAGCAGATCAGTTGCTATTTCTGAGATCATTAATTGTCACCTTTATTTTTGTTTACAGTTTTTATGCATAAATATACTTTTTTAAAATTATTTGTTAAAAATATAATTTCTATTTTTAATAGTATAATAATTAAAGTTTATACACTTATCATTTATAAAAAAAAATTAATATTAGTCCTAAACTGAGCCTATAAGTATATTTTAGTTTTTGAATTAATTTATGAATTATTAAATTTAAAATATAAATTGATTAAAAAAAAAAAAATTCCCGATTAATCAACCCAAAGCTTGGCTGACGGTGGGCTGCATTCATCGTAATTCATAATTCTGTCATTTGGGCCAACATCTAGGCCCACATCCATTGAAAACGACGTAGTCTTTTGTTCAATTTCACCGCCCGCTACTTTGCCTTGCCGTTGAGATTGCCGATTCTATACGCTTCTGAGTTACAGAGAAATGTATAATTTTAAAAACTAATAATAAAAGATTCAATTCAATTGCGGATTCCTTTGATTCACAATTCTAAACTTGCCCAGTATTCTGGTAAGAAACTAATCCAGCTTTCTAATTCAGGCGTTTTCATTTCCTCTTTCTAGCTTTCTCAAATTTCCCAAATTTTGATTAATTTTATCTGATCATTCATCGATTTCCCAATACAGTTTACTGAAACCACATTAAGTTTTAGTTTCGGGTGGCAATTTTTATTCCTTTTATTCAATGTCCTGGAATTGCCTAGTTACACAAAAGATCAATTTACGAATCCATTGTATATCGCAATATGTAATGGTGGTGGATTACAAGAGCAATTTTTAGCAATCTTTCAGTTATAAAGAATAAAAGCAGCATTGAGCGATCTCAATTTTTTGGTTTTTTTCATATATTGGAGACAAAGTTTATGGTCTTCGGATATATTCGTTGGAGAGCTAATTTGTGTTGCTTCTGCATATGTTTTCTTGCTAAAGGTTGTCATGGGGGAAGCTGGAAGCCCTAGAACAAGCACAGAATCAAGAAGCCCATTGATGGTGAGTATTTACATTTTTATTCTGGCGGTTCATATTTCTTTTGCATCCCTAGATACGCGTTTATAATTACATATATGGACGGGGCTTTATGATTTTTGTTGAAGCATAACTTATGGCACATGTATGCTCATTTAGTAATTTGATGGTTTTTCAATTGATACAAAATTGGTTGACAGCGTAAATACTCATGTTAAGTATAGTTGATAACATGCTTCGATGCTTTGTTTTGGGTCAACAATTTGATCTTAGTCTAATAAGCTATAAAACGATGGTCTCATTAATTGAAGTTTTTTTCTTGAAAGGTTAAGTTTCCTATGACAGATGTGCTTTTTTCAGGCGCGGAATGACAGTGTAGGGGATGATAGGCTCATTCCTCCACTGTTGACGTCTGTACCAGCTCTCAATGAAGCTGCATCTTACCTTGTTCAAACAACTTCATTACTAACGCGCTGTTTCACTGATTATTCTGGTAAACTTATTATTATACTCAATATAAATTTTTCTTCTTTTACAATTTGACTCCCCAAGATTCATTCAATCTTTTTATTTGTCTCTTTATTTTTGAAATATAAACTTTGTTTGGTTGAAGGTGTAGGATCGATATCTTCATATTTTGCTACCGCTCCTAGGCAGCATTTATTTACTCAACCATTGCCTGCTCTATGTGTTTATAGTTTTTGTTTGGAATGTATTCTGCATCACTTGATTAGAATTATTTGGAAATGTTGCAGTGGAACATTCTCCTAGACATTCTGGGAATTCTACACACGCACAGGAATTGGTGACATTTTCTTCTGCACAAACTGAGGAATTTCCGGATGGTGATTGTGCATCTTCACGTCAAAACCATTCAACATTTCCTGAACCATCTACATCCATTAAACCATCTACGTCTGCCACTGCTGCACCTTCTATCCAAATAACAAGAACCTCTTCAGATGGCCCATCCCAAAATAATAGTGCGATTGTACCATCAAGTCATAGTGGGCAGAATGGAATTTCCATTTTTCAAGGGTATTAATTTTCTTCGTTGCTAAGGGGATCTTTCACATGATAAATAGATTCTACATATTGGGATATTATCATGTTAGATATTAAATTTTACCTATCGTTATATTTTGTTTACTAGTGACTGGAAACTTATTATCTTGAATAATTTTCATTCCATGCGCAATTTTAATTATAAAATTGAGAAGCAATGATTTTCTCCCCTTCTCCTGATGACATTTCAAAGTAGGGGAATAACCTCCATTAGTTGCTAATTTGTTGACAACACAGTGTGGTTTCCTTCACTGATAGCTTATTTGTCTTTCAAATCATGTGATGATTTTTCAGACTAATTGAGCGAGCAAGGAGGACTGTTCGTGGATCTGCTGATGATATAGGATGGATGCAACGTGCTTCAGGAATGCCTCCAGTTGAGGATGGAACGGGAAGGTTTATGGAAGTACTTGATAATATAAGGTACATCAGCTTCTTTACATCTTTAATGTCGTGCTCCTAGCTTTTTAAGGTATATGAGCATCTCTGCGTCTTTTATATGCTGCTAGCTTCTTTTCTCCATGTGCCTTGCAAGTGACCTAAAGAGTAACAATTAAGGATTATCGTGTGCATATCTGACATAACCAATGTTGAAATAAAAATTTTTAGAGAAATCTTTATAAATTCAATTGAAATGGGAATTGAATTCAGAAATATTAGGAAATAAATTAGTCCTTTTTTTTCATTAATTAATATTTAATTATCCTTTCTCCATTCAAAAAATATTTTACTCCCCAACATATATATATATATATATATTTTTGTGGTTTTCCAGTTAATGATTCAGCAGTTTCTTCTTTTCTTCAGGCATGGTCTGCACAAGTTGCCAAATTCAATGGTCTACTTGTTGGTTCCAGGTAGTGACTTTGATACAGAGTGCATCCAGAAAAGGTTTTTCTCCATTTTGTGCCCCTATTATGGGCATCAGGATTATCATTGATGTGTCCTGCATATGGGATGGGTTGCATTTATTCTTGATGCATGACTAGGTGAATGTAATTCGCATTAGCCTGTCTTTGGAAGAATTTTCTTCAAAATTTCTCTTGAATCAGACAAAATAATAATCGGTATTTTTTTAACAAGTTTCCATCATCTGTAGGGGACATATCTTAGAGATCTAGAACTCTTGAACAAAAACCATTGGGTTTGATTGACAAAGGGCAATGTGGATGTCTGAAACTAATTTTTGGCAGTATTTCTCAATTATATGTTAGAAAACCTTACAGCATGGCAAATTGTATAATCAATCAGGTAGAAGATTATTTTTCTTTAGGAGGTTTTATTGAAGACTGAGCTTTTTGGTTCTTATAAAGAAATTTAAATCAGAACCATTTATACTTGAATTTGCAATTCTGATGTACAATTACAAAATTTTTTTTTTCCTCCTGTCATCTGGGACTGAAATCATTTATTTATTTTTGTTTATTTGACAGGTCTTTTCAGTAATCATGGACCACTTTATTTTGTCAACACGAAAGTGCGTTTCTCTAAGATGGGTCTAACTTGTCACATTGCCAGGATTCACAGCGAAGTATGTTTATTTTTGGGCATGTTCCACCCTTTAATGATGATTGCTCAAATCCTTCACTGAGCTTTTTTGTAATACTTTACCAGGCTTCGGTTGAGAAAAATGCCAGAGAGATAAAAGAATACATTGAAGAAATCTATTGGGGTTCAAATAAACGTGTCATGCTTCTTGGGCATAGTAAAGGAGGAATAGATGCAGCTGCTGCTTTATCATTGTATTGGTCTGATTTGAAGGATAAGGTAGCTGGATTGGTATTAGCACAAAGTCCATATGGTGGTAGCCCAATAGCTTCTGATATTTTACGTGAAGGGCAGCTTGGTGATTATGTTAATGTGCGGAAGCTTATGGAGATTATAATCTGTAAAGTGCTTAAGGTAAGCCTAAGTTTTGTTGTCAGTTCTGAAAAAATCATCATGGGCTGCAATGTGGTTGTCAATTTGTCAAGGTCTTCCTTGTAAAATGACTTGCCTTTGTTGCCCGCTTGTTTTTTATCTTTGCGCAGTCATCAGGTTTTTATACCTTGGTTCTAAGTGTTCTGCAAATTTTTGTTTTATCTGTGACATTGAAGGGTGACATGCAAGCTTTAGAAGACTTGACATATGAGAGGAGGAAGGAATTCTTGATGAAGCACCATTTGCCGAGAGAACTTCCTGTTGTATCGTTCCACACAGAAGCTGGTATTAGCCCTGCTGTTCTAGCCACACTCTCCCATGTTTCTCATGCAGAGTTACCACTAGTTGGCGAACCAGCAAAACTCCCTGTGGTGATGCCCCTTGGTGCTGCAATGGCTGCATGCGCCCAGTTACTTCAAATCAGGTATGGTGAGAAGAGTGATGGGCTGGTCACATGTCGTGATGCAGAAGTCCCTGGATCTATTGTAGTGCGTCCCAAACGTAAATTGGACCATGCTTGGATGGTGTACTCGTCATTAAATGATGACCCATCCGAAGCAGATGCTTCTCAAGTGTGCGAAGCTTTATTGACGTTACTCGTTGAAGTCGGCCAAAAGAAGAGACATGAACTTGCAATGAAGGATGAGTGAGCTTCATAAGGTTTATGCCTTTCATCTGATTGCTGTGTTGTTTCTGTACATTTAATTAAAAAAATACTAATAAGTGGCTTTTGAGGCCATCTAAAATTGTAAATATACTATCCTGTTTCACAAAAAATATTGTAAAATTGTAGTTTTTTTTTCTCCCTTTTATTTTCTTTGCTGATCCATTTAAAATTTTGTTACTATTCATATATGTTTTAAGTTTATGTAATTATTAATTTAATCCATTCATTCTATTTGTGTTTACAACTACCAGGATCCACAAAATAAACGGTGGAAGTAGATCTATTAATCAAAAATTGTCCAATAAGGATTATTTATTTATTTATTTAAAACAAAGGGTGCGGATAAAATCCTTGGAAATTTGTTTTGGAGGGAGGTTTGTTCTTTAGAGCCGGCTACCCTCCAAACCAACAAAACAGAATTGTCGTGATTTGTCTTTTTGTATTTCTTGAATTTTTTTTTCGAGAAGGAGGATGTTTTTGTAATTTTAGTATCTTATTTCTTTTTAAACACCACAAAATAATTACTTATATATATATATATATATTTTTCGAGAAGGAGGCATGTTTTTGTAATTTTACGTATCTTATTTCTTTTTAAACACCCAAAAATATTACTTATATATATATATAATATATATATGTAATAGTTGAAACTTTTTTTTTCTTCCCATGAATTTCCTGAACAGTGTAAATAAAAAAAAAAAGTAATAAACTCTATATATATATATATATATATATGTATATAGTTGAAACTTTTTTTTTCTTCCCATGAATTTCTGACAGTGTAAATAAAAAAAAAAAGTAATAACTCGCGAATTGTTTTGGCCTGAGCAAAAAAATAATAAATAAAAGGGTATTATTAGCAAACGGTTTGACTCGCACGTGTGAGTAATTCATTTACGGCTAGTGGTATGTCTAAGGTGTAAAAGTAGTAAGCGCTTGCAACAGCCAATGGGAAAGTCCCAAGTCATTGGCGACTCCGTTGTCCTTGCTCTGAGGTGGCAGTATTCATGTATTTTCTCTCCCCTGCCGGTAGTTCTATCACAAACATCAAATCGCGTTTAATGCCGAAATTACCCTTCAATCGTTCGCGGAATTTCATGCGCCTAATGCCAAGTACGTTTCTTTCTCCTCTTGCAGCTCTAATGAGAGGGATCATCAGATAACTGAGTGCTGTTTTAGAGAGAGAAAGATAGAGAGAGATAGAGGATCGAGCTTTCCGAGACAGAGATAGAGAGAAAATTATATGGATATCTGAATAAAGTGATTTTGATTAGGGTTTCAAGAATTAGGGTTTTGGCGCAAGAACAAAAGTCTTTTTGGGTTTTAAATTAGGGTTTCGAGGAATTAATTGCCTACAATCTGCTAGATAGAATAGTCCTTATATTTGCTTCAGTTTTTTCCTTGGATTGTGTTGAAAGTTGTTTTGCCCTAATGTGACTGAAGCTGTTGCTGCCTTGCTGGGTGGGAATTTAGGGTTTCAATGGGAAGCACTGGCGAACCTGATAGAAAACGGCGCCACTTCAGCTCCATTTCACCCACGGCTGCTATGGCCAAGAAGCAGCCATTCTCACAACACTCGGAGGACAAAAAGGTGAAAAGCTCAGTGGGTTTATCCAATTTGCTGCCAATCTTACTTTGTTATTTTTCTTTGGCTTAATTCTTTGATGGTTAAACTGTTTAATTCTGCTTTTCATTATTGCATAATGGGAAAACTGACTCTTTGGAAAACTAGTTCTGATTCAAATGCTTGAAACTGGAAATGGCCAACATGAATTTCTCGTTTGTTTTGGTGATATCTAAATGTAATGTGATTGAAAGTATAAGCTTGCTTGTTTTGATCTCATGCTTTATCTTTCTCTGATGTAGCTTGATACTGCTGTTCTTCAATTTCAAAATCATAAGCTTGTACAGAAGCTAGAAGCTCAAAAGGTTGAGTATTCTGCATTAGAGAAGAAGTTTATACAATTGAAGGAGAAGCAACAGCCTTATGCTTCCACATTAAAAGCTGTCAATAAGTCTTGGGATGTGGTAAGTTTCTCTCTTATTTATTTTCTGTATTGTATTTTTTATTATTTTATAAACTACCTACATGTCCTGGCAAAAGAAAAAAAGCATGTGATATCTTTTGGATTTATGCTTACAGTACTGGATATTACTTTCTGAGTAATTGGCTTCTTGTTTTTAAATAGCTGGTTACTGACTTGGAAGCACATTCCAACCGCGCAAAAGAGTCTGGCATTGGGCAAGACATTGGACGCTTATCAATTGCTGAGGGTGAGCATCAATATCTGTTGTCTTTTCTTTTTTCCTTATATCAAGAACTACTTAATTCCTATGGAGTATGGACCTTGGAAATATTAAGTTAAGCTTGTCATTCATTTTGAGCCCGTGATTTTCTATAAGGTCATGGGATTGACTGAGCTAGAATTCTCCCTCCTTTTTGAGGCTGTGAACATAGTATACGCTAGGAGACAGCACCCCTATTTGGCACATTATACAATATAATTGTCAAACTTTTAACTGCACTGCCTTTGGTTAGTGGTTCTTGGCCTTGTGACAATACTTGTCTGCCTCCTCTGTTACTTGTTTATTATAGTAAGGACTGGGTGAAATTTTCTGTTTAACTTCATTGCTCTTGTTTAAAGTGAATAATCTTGAATGTGAATAGCTTTTTTGAATCCAGGAAACAGTACTTACTCTTAGCTTTATTCTCATATTTGATGTTTAATCTATTTAATATCCAGGAAAAACTCAATGAGTGGAATCTAGTTTAAATATACAATCTTTTGGTTTTGATGCATATGTGTCTCAAAAATATACATGGAGTTGTGGTTTTATATTGATTGGGAGATTTCAGTATTAAAGCATATTACATTTTCTGATAGGTGTGTTTCAAATTAATTGTCAGATGGGGTTTCATCCTCTTTTGAGGATGCTTTTCTAAGCCGACTTGTAGAAAATGGTGCAACCGAAACTTGTTCTGTGCATAATATCAATGATCAGATGGAAGAAGAAAAAGAAAAAGCTTTTGAAAAGATTAAGGACATTTCATGTAATATAGTGGCTGCAATCAATGGCCTTTGGCATATAAAGGATGGATTGCATGCAGTTGTTCTGAAAGAGATGTCAGATCATAGTAAGAGTTTACCGTCCCTAATATTTGCTATGGGCTTTCTGCTTTGATTTTTCTCTTGGTATTTTATACGTGCTGCTCCCTTTGTTAGGTCCATGCAGACAAAAAGAATCTTGTCAGTTAGAGGCAGAGGTTAAGAACTTGAGGATAGAACTAAGCAACCTTCATTTGAAGCACAAATCACTTGCAAGGGAGTTGCAGGGCCACAGAGACATTGATGCAAAAAGTAAAGCTGAGCTTAAGCGCCTGAAAGGTAACATTAGTCTAGTTTCAAGACTTCGCGGAAAGCTGTCACCCCTATTTAAATTATTGAAAGTACCCTATGCAAGATAAACATGCATTTTTTCAAATATGAAGATGCATATTTACACCCACAAGCATGACCATAAGTTTCAGCGCAAAGGTTAATTTTACATGTTTTGTAGTTATGTATAATCCTTTAGGCATTCTCCTTCTAGCCTGGCTAATCTGTTTTCCTTTGCGTATAAGTATGTGATCATGTCTAACTATTTTGGAAATTCTTTTTTTCTCAACAGTTGACCTGATATTTCAAAAGATACTGCAATATGTCTCACGCATTCTATTCTCTAATGGTGTATTTTGAACTGTTCATCTAATGCTGAGTGTTCTGAAATTTATGTATTAATTTTGTTTTGCTAACATCGAACTATTCAAACAATGAAGTACTGCTATATAATGTCTTGTGTCATGGAAGTTCGTTACATCTTTGAGGTTGACGATTTTTTTCTTTCTTGTTTTTCAAAGGGGAATTAGAGATTGCTGTTTCAGAATTAGAAGAGAGTAATTCTCAACTAGCAACTCTTAAAGCAGAAAGAGATGCGACAAGAGGGGCATTTTTCCCTGTCCTAAACCTTGGAAGCAAGCCTGTTGCTGCTGACAGGGCCAGAGATAAACAAAAAAATCTGCAAGAAATGGAGTCTGCTCTCAAAGGCCTTCAAGTAAGTTAATTTTCCTGTCCCCTTTTCTTCTGTGAGCTGCTTGGCCTCGAAGTCTCGCTGTTTTAATCAATTTGAGCCTCACAGGATCAAGCCTCTTCCCGATTGCTGGAATTGAAAGGTCTTCATGATGAAAGAATAAAAATATTGCAGCAGTTATCCACCTTGCAGGTTTTGTATTTTATTTTTTAGAAATTACCAATTTCATAGTGAAAGTGGACCTGATTTTTCTTAAATAAATAATCTGAAAACTGCACCCTTGCTTATTCATAATTTAAATGTAATGGGAAATTTTTTTTCTTGCTTTCAGAACTCATTGAAGAATGTAAAGTGCATTTCTTCCTCACAAGTCTTCCTTTTGGTGAGAGATCAACTAGAAAAGTCCAAATCTGAAGTTCTCCAGTATCAGACCTTGTACAAGAAACTACAGGTTGTAACTGGTCGGTAGTTTCATTTATGCCTTAGACTGTCATTTTCTTTGTATGGATATGGTTTTGGTACTAATGATACTCACCTCTCTTGGATCTCAGGTTGAGAGGGATAATCTTGTTTGGAGGGAGAAGGAACTTGGCATAAAAAATGATTTGGCTGAAGTTTTTCGAAGATCTTCTGCAGTTGTGGAGTCCAGAATTGCTGATTTAGGTTTAGAGATACAGAGGCAGATTAACGAGAGAAATATGATTGAGACTAAGCTGGAAGAGGCATCAAGAGAACCTGGTAACTAGTGGATGCTTTCATATGGTCATCTTGGACCAATACTGCCTTCTAACCTGCAGTTTAATTCTTAATGCCTGCTGGTGTTGCTCTGTTTCAGGAAGAAAAGAAATCATTGCCGAATTCAAAGCTCTGGTTTCCTCATTTCCTGAGGAAATGGGGAATATGCAACGCCAATTGAGTAATTACAAAAAGGCTGCTTCTGATATTCATTCTTTGCGAGCTGATGTTCAGTCTCTTTCAACTGTTCTTGATCGGAAGGTGGGCGTGACATGGCGCGTGTGCACTCATATACATTCTTCTCTTTAGTTAAAGGGCTCAAAGCTTTGTTTTCTGATGCAGGTAAAAGATTGTGAAAGTTTGTCTACCACATCTGAAAACCAAGTAGCTGAGATCCAGAAGTTGCAAACTGTGGTAGGTCATGTTTAAACTCCTGCATGTTACTTGAATTCAGTAATACCCAACTTGGGTCTGTAAAGTTTTCTTTTTGATCATAAGAATTGTAGACTGGATTAGCATGAGATGTCAAATTTGTATTGAACTGTCTTGGTATTTATTAATTGTGCATGTTTGAGCCCATTTTCTCATTGGTCAATCTATTCTCTCAAATTAATCGGGTTTTGTTGTCCTCTGCTCATTTCCTAGTGTGTGTTCTGCATATTTTAATATCTTTTTCACGTGTGCCACTAAATTCTGCATATTTTCAATGCAAAGAGATTATCATATTTCATATCTTGTTCTTCCTTTTTATTTTTATATCTTGTATCTTTTAGTTTACTGGTCTGACAGCTGCTGCAATCACTGTCTTGCCAGAAAAGGTTAAATATGTTTAGTTACAATGTAATTGGAAACTTTTCCTTTTAACTATTCTCATGTTTTGTTTGGGTATATAATTTAGAGTTTTGGTTTATGAACTTATATCCTTCTTTGGTTGCAGGTCCAAGATCTGAAGGAAAGTGATTTGGAGTTGAAGCTGATTCTTGAAATGTATAGACGTGAATCCACTGATTCAAGGTTAGAACTGCTTCCCCCTCTTTCCCTGTGAAATCCATAAGTTATATCTTGTGAACTGTCTTTTGACATGTTCAACCAGAATATAGATACTTATTTTTCAATCTGCATTCTTCTTATGATTTTTTTCTTTTTTGGGTTATTGAATAAATAGAACTATTGAGCTTCATATGAACTGGCAGTCCAACTCTTTGTACGAGTCAATTTTTTATTTTATACTATCCTGCTAAACAATTAATGCCGTGGATCTCTTATCATTACGCTAAAATAATCCATCGTCCAGTCATTAGGATACTCTCCATTGTCCCTCATTTTCTTGTCATGGTCGGCTTGAAATGTGAAAACCTACATTGATTTTAGAAGTTTATTATGCATCTGCAGGGATATCTTGGAGGCTAAGGATGTTGAATACAAGGCATGGTCTGAAGTTGAAGGTTTGAAATCCTCTCTTGATGAACAAAATTTAGAATTACGAGTTAAGACAGCAAATGAAGCTGAGGCCATATCACAGCAGAGGCTTGCTGTGGCAGAAGCTGAGATTGCTGACTTGAGACAGAAATTAGAAGCTTCCAAAAGGTCAAATGTAACTTCTATGGAAAAATGAATTCTAATTTGATTATGCTCTGATCTAGAGGTTCATTGAATATTTCAATGTCATTAACTCGAAATTTATTTTCTAGCTGTGAGCTCAAAACATGTCATGTGTATTTCTCTGATGAGCCTCCCTTTTTTTTTTTTTTTTTTTTTCCTCTGATGAAGCCTCTCCTTTTTTTTTTTTTTTTTTTTAACATGCTTGAGATAAGCAAAGCATGTGATTTTTTCTTTGCCTAGTTGCCATTTTTTTCATGCCAAATGGTTGTAAGTTTCTTCAAAGCTGAAGTTTGCATTATTGAAATGAAATCCTCTGTCCATTTTTTTTATTTTTTTTTTCTTTTTTTTTTTTTTTTGCTAATTGGGTAGAACTATCATGTGGACTTTGTCTCGTAAAAATCATTTATATGGAAGGTCCTGAATGTTGTCATATTGATATTTTCAGGGATATGTCGAGACTTTCTGGTGTTCTAAAGTCAAAAAATGAAGAGAATGAGGCCTACTTGTCTGAAATAGAGGTAACTTTGTTATTAACTAATATGGGCTTTTCTTCCTTGCAAGTTGCAAATGTACGACGTGTGAAAATTGTTAATCTGGTTTTCCTTCAGACAATTGGACAGGCATATGATGATATGCAAACTCAAAACCAGCATCTGTTGCAGCAAATAACAGAGAGGGATGATTATAATATTAAGGTGACTCACTTATTTCACAACCCATTTAAAAGTTTGTTAAGTGACTTTCAGTTTTGTTTAGTTCTCAATGCTTGTGGCTGACTTCTCTATTTGTGGATTGCATGTTTGCTTTTTGTCTAGCATTTTTTTTGCTTATGCATAACTTTGGACAGAGTTTGATGCATGCTCTTTCTCACAAACTATGATACATGTCTTTGGACAGAGTTTGATACATGCTCTTTCTCACAGACTATGATACATGTCTCTTACAATGATCTATGATTTCACCTTATGGTTTACGTTGTTTTTTTTTTTTTTTTTTGTTTTTTTTTTTTTTTTTTTTATGCCATATGTGTACTTCTGAGTTTTTTTTTTTTTTTTTTATGCATATGTGTACTTCTGTTTAAGCTTGTTGATCTTGCTGCCTGTTTCAGCTTGTTTTGGAGGGCGTGAGGGCAAGGCAGCTGCGGGACTCTTTACTCACCGAAAAAAAAACCATGGAAAGGGAGATTCAACAAGCTAACATTTCTCTTGATTTCTATAATGTGAAATCTGCAAGAATTGAAGATCAGGTACCCCTTATAATGGTTTTTGTGGTGGAATCAACATAGGTGGACAATGCATAGCATTGACTAATAACTTACCTGTCTTGCAGTTAAATATATGTTTTGACCAGGTCCACAAACTTACAGAAGAGAAGAGTCAAAACTCCGTTGCATTGGAAAATACTCAAAAACGGTTATCAGATGTCAGAAAATCATCCAGTCAAGTGAGGCAGTCAATGGAGGACTCACAATCTAAGGTCGAAAAAAGTCGATCAGATATTTTAGAACTGCAGATAGAACTGGAGAGAGAAAGGTAATGGAAGGAGTTCTCATTTCTTTATTTCCAATTTGTGTCAAATGCAGACATGGATCAATTATTTTTTATTTACCAGGTTTAACAAGAGAAGAGTTGAAGAGGAACTGGAAGCGGCAAGGAGAAAGGTTACTTGTCTTCGAGCTCAAACTGAGGGGTCATCTGTTGTAGAAAAGCTTCAGCAGGAACTTAAAGAATACAGGGAAATTGTCAAGTGCAGTATCTGCCGCGAAAGACCTAAAGAGGTAAATGTTTTCTGCTTCCCTAGTTGCAGGCTTGTTGTCTCATAGTTTTTTAAGATATTATTCGGTAACTTCCACAGAGATATATTGGAATGTATTTTTGAGCATTAATATGTACTAAGTTGTTTTTTACTGAAAGAGGTGGAAAAGTGAAAAGATATAAAACTATTATTAAGGAATCACATTGCAGATAAAATTTGGGAAGGTCTTTGGAAAAGAAAAAGTTCATACTTATCCCCCTTTTCTATTCTCCAGCACGCATTCATTCTGGATAACTTTGTTTCATTGCCTGGTGTGCAATAATGGAAGTGAACAAGTTCATTGTTACTGAAAGAGGGGGAAAAGGGAAGGTGAATGAATCTGTAATTAACTAATTATGGTCATTCAAAAGGGTTTCGATGTCTTACTTGTATACGAATTGAATGAAGTGATATTTTGCTATTTTGATTTATTTTTTCCCACATAATATGTAGTTAATATTTTAACTTTCTTTTCTTTCTCTTCAGGTTGTTATTACAAAATGCTACCACTTGTTCTGCAATCCCTGTGTACAAAGAATGGTTGAAAGTCGTCACCGCAAGTGTCCAGCATGTGCCACAAGTTTTGGTTCTAATGATGTCAAGCCTGTTTACATTTGATAGGGAATTTAGCTGGTGGGATGAATTTTCTTTTGTTGCTTATTGAGGAGGACTCGATTCCAAATTCAGGCGTATATATGCCTCTGTGTTGACTGGAGGCTTGAAGCCATGGATGCCCACAGGTTCATGTCTATTGTCATGTTAGAGAATTGTTGAGAGAAGAAAGATGACAGATAGAGTGCTGCTCCTGCCTTCTTGTCAACCTGTGCAAATTTAATCATCTTAGATTGAGTCTAGGTTGTCATTTTGCCAAGTTTCTTGTTTTTCACTGTATTTATGATTTGTTGTTTCTTGGTATAACTGCTTAGAGCCACTGGAATCTTTCAATTTATTATTTGCAGATAGATGCTCAGAATCGATGAAATGCTATTTGCCCAAGGCATAGGAGGTTGAGCAAACCCAACCCCATTTTGAGTGGCAAATGATGTTCTATGCCCTCTATAATAGCATCTTGACACACTGCATTGGGTTTTAGATGTCAGTTTTTCTCCATCCGCTTGAAAGAAGGAATGGAGTGTTCAACTGAATTTTTGGCTGCACAGGTTTTTTAGTATATACATTAGATATTTCAGAAACATCAGCTGCTTGTGTCTTCTTTTTTTGTTCCAACGATAATTATAATAATACAGTTTGTTCAGAATGTACACTCTACGTTAAATCATATATGTAAAGCTTTCTGATAGCAGTTTTTCACCGTTATTTCTAATTTCAACGTCTCGGGCAGATTAAGCCCCTAAACTGCTTGTGTTGCTGCATCTTAACAGAGCTGTAGTAATCGTTGCGTTCCTCAAGTTTTTGCAATCTGTCTGTCTATCATGTCTTTTTGAAATTTAAAAATATATTATTAGTAATAAGGAATTTCCTTTTACACGTTTGGGATCATATGATAAAGTAATCGTGGTACGTAGGATGTTCATTGTTGATCATATGCTTATATAAAATTTAGTACGTATTGTCGGCAATTGTTGCTTTTGCACTTTGCCCTTCCAAATTCTAAAATTAAATTCCACATCTTAAAGCAAAATTTTCTTTTTTTTTTCTTAAAGAAAGAAAGAAAGAGATTGATTTTATAGTTTAAGCTTTAGCAAATTGTGATATTACACATATAGAAAGGAATATTCTTCTTGTTGATGTTATGTTAATTATCCAAGAAAAATACTCCCTCCAAATCATGATATAAGTAAAATGATTTTTCTGTTTTCAAATATAAATATATAAATCGTTTTGAGTATTTTAAAGATTGATAAATGATCATTTTTTAATTTTATCAAAAATATAGTAACTATTTTTGCAAGTTATTTTTAGTTTTGAAATAAAAGGTTATTTGATGAAATTATCATTTTGTTATAGATGAATTAATTGTTTTCTTAGTTTTTGTGAAAAAATTTTGAACAATTTATATTTTGGATAGACCGAGTAAAAGAAACATGAATTCCATATTTATTTATTTTCCTTTTCAATTATTCTCTCTCCACTCTGAATTGGATTCCAATACATTTTTTTTTTTTTTTCCTCAAAAAAATGAAAATGATAATTAAGGAAGCCATTTCCTTGCGCCCAAAACAATCATACCCTCCATCTCTGCATGTGATTCGATGCCATGCATAAGTAGAAATGCCCATTTCCTCATTCTACCATCTATTCTTTAAGAAATTAAGAAAAGAAAAAAAAAAAGAAAAAGAAAAAGGAAACATTGGATTCCTCCGTCCTCTTCCGTTCTGTTGTCTTCACCCGTTTTTATACCAAAATGTTCGTTTTCTATTGAAAAATAATAAACCATTTCACTCATTAAATGTTTTATTTATGTTAAGCCACATCATTTTTTTTTTCTCAGATAAATGAATTTATTCTTTCTTTTCTAATTCTAAAAAATAATTATATATATCATTCCTTTATAATCTCAATAATGCAAATTCCTTAACGAGACAACTGGCTGGCTATTCCAGTATTATTGCTGTCCTTCGTACGTGAAAATAATTCCCCACTGGGAATTTTTTGTCCATTTTTCACTGCTCTTTCAAATCATCGTCTCTTTATATATTCAATTTGATTCCTAACTTTTTACTACTTATTCAAAATTAATTTTTGAAAGTTTTAACTATTCTGGAAGGTTTTTATATTGGATTTTTTTTTTTCTAAAATAGAGTAAATACAAAGATTTTATCCAAATTAACAAAATATTAATCTCCAAATTAAACATTTATCCTATGAAAAAATCTTGTAAGATTGACTGATAAGTGAAGACAACTTGTTCTAAAAAAATCCTAAACTAATTTATATATAATTCTTCTTCTTTAATTATAATCATGATGATTTCATTAGGTTTCATGTGATCTTTTTCAAATAATAATAATTTCCATAAATATCTCTAGTGGTTATTAATTAATTTTGTTCTTTAATTCCTTTTTATAGGAGAAAAAAAGAAAATAAAGAAACAAACACATGCATGAAAAGCATACAAGTATCTTATGATTTAGGAGAAAGCAATCTCTTTCCAACTTAAAAGAAAAAACATTCCACTCAAAAAAAATAATAATAATAATAAGAAAAAGAAAACCTAAGTTGTATTCTTTGTTCTTTAGTTCTTTCAAGTTCTCCACTGGTAATTCATATATCCTTAAGTTGTATCGTTTGTTCTTAGTTCTTTCAAGTTCTCCACTGTAATTCATATATATAATATATTATATATATAGATATATATATATATATATACTATATAATATATATATTATATATATATAATATATATATATAGACATTTTTAATTTACTAATAAGTAAATTGATCTTGATTAGCTAAATAATTATTTGGTTTAATTATCTTAGTCTCCCTCCGGTTCCATGTTTCCTTTAATCATTTTAATTACTAATTAAGTAAATGATCTTGATTAGCTAATAATTATTTGGTTAATTATCTTTAGTTCTCCCTCCGGTTCCATGTTTCCTTTTAATATGATTCGACGACATGTTCTTGCAGACAAGGCCAATCGCGTAAAGCGAAGCCACCAAGATTTGTTCACAATAATTTATGTTTTAATTAATATAATAATAATATTATTAGTGAGAGTAGTTAATTTAAGATTGTCAAAGTGTTCAAGATATCGTCAAAGATCATTAACCTATATCATTTTGTGATTAAACTTTTCCAACAAGAATCACGTGTAACTTAATTAATTATATCCAATTCCTAAAATAAGAAAGAATTACATTGAACCTAGCATCAGAATTAAGAAAAGTCTTTGACCAATTTTAATTCTTCAGAGTCTGTTAACAATATTAACGACTTTAGCAATGGCTAGCCGTTGTAATAATTATTAGCTTTTAGCCAGTAGTTTAAATTAGAACTGTTCAGTAAAAATAATTGTTTAACTTGAAACGATAAAAAATTATCGAGGTTCAGAGGAAAAAAAACAATGAGTATGATTGTTAAAAAAAATTTAATTAAAAGCTAAACATTAACTAAACTTTAGAGTATTTAATGTTTCACATCAACTTTTAAAAGATATGTTATCAAATATTACAATTAATAAAAATAAAATTTTGACTTAGTCAATACGCTAAAAGCTAAGTCAAAAGTTACCGAATAAGACCTTAGCGAAAAGAGGCATAGAAATTAATATGAGCTATTTGGAGGGTATTCTTAACAAAATAACTTTTCACTTGTTGGTTAGTTTTCAATTAAAATTTTAAAAAATGGATACTTAATTAGAAAAATGGATAAATCAAACTGTAAATTGATTATCAAAGATGAATTAAATTAAAATAAATGGATTTAAGGTGTATTAATTTGTCTTGTATTGATGCAGAGATCATATGATATCCTTATGGCCGTTGATATTAATTAGTATTAATGCTTTTCCCCAAGCAGGGGGATGGCTATAAAGTTGAAAGTAACAGCTCATATACGTATAGCTAAGTGACTATAGGATCTGGGAACAGGGCATTTATGTTTTTTCTTTGTCTGAAAATGACACATTCATGCTGCGGTTGCGACTGTAATTTAATTTAATTTCAGAAACTGTCTGTAAATTCCCTCCTTTTCTTTCTAAATTAAATTTTCTTTCCTTTCCAGTTTCCATTATCCCAAACAGAACCTTAGGTCCCTAGCTAGCCCCCATCCAGGGCTGCACCTAAAACGTAGTAATTAACTTCCGCTGATTTACTATTTTAAAACAGTTGCTGTATTGGATAATTTAATTGTTTCTATTTTTGGCCGTATGTTTCATTAGCTAACACTGTGTTAAGATTCTTGAGTTAGTTTTTCTTGCTTTTGTCTCTTCTTACATCATTTTCTTTCACAGCTTGCATCACTACTGCAAATTATTAGCTTTCAAATCCACCAAAATTAGGCCAACCATGAGGTGTATATAACTCTTGCTTGTGTAGTGGGTTGGTAGAAATGTTAGCTTATTGCTTTAGTTCTCCAAGTTCTTTGTTATCACAAAATGAACCCTACAATTTTTAATTGTTTCACTTAAACCCATAGATCAATAATGCTTCATGTCAACTCCTCCATATCTTTGATCTTTCTCACCTCATATATTCAATTGTATATATATATATATATATGATTTTCTCGTTCCAATTAGTTTTATTAAACCGATCACATGCAATATTTTGATTCAAATGAGAGTATTTCTATAATACACTGAGAAAAAAAAAATAAAATGATAATATTCTCTTTTATTATTAAAAAACTAAGTGGTCTTATCCTATATATTCATGTTCAAAATAATAGATCGTTAAAAAACAAAAGTGGGTCAATTAGAGTTCAATTTTTAATGAATTAAAAATTGTGGGGGAATAATTAATTTGCAATTAAAACCAAACCCTTACATTTGAATATGGGAAAAGAGATGATATTTTGTCCGATCCAAATGTTTGGCCAATAAGTAGAGGAAACGTAAACAAAATTGATTGGAAATGGGATAGGAAGGAGACATTGATGGTGAGGTCAACAGTCACTAATAAAAACATGTATAGATATATATCTATGTAGTGGAATGAATAAGTCTAATGGAAAATAGGGCACTTCGGTTTTCTTAAATTTTGGAAACTTTCATTAAAGATGGGTCCTTTGTACCATAAAATAACTTTAGTTAGATGGTGCTGTCACCTTATTTTGGTACCTATTTACATGTCCACACATCTTGGGAATCTACAACAACAAGTCATCTTGGCAAAATATATATTCCACTTAGATCTTCCTCCATGTAATACATTAATTTTTTTTTTTTTTATCAAGAAAGAAAAAAGAAAAAAAGAGCATAGATAAAGAAAAAGATTAAAAGAAAAAAAAAAAAAAAGAAAGAAAGCTTCCAATAATATCATTGCCATTTGATGCAAATTCAACCTTTGAGTCTCTTTCCACCAAAAATAATTTATAGAAGAGTATCTAAACTTAACATGGTGGGTTATTACTTTAAAGTCAATTCCATTAAAGTTTCAATCTTTTTTAATGAAATTTTGGGTATCTTAATCCAGCTAGCAAGAATGTTTTTTTTTCTTCAGGTCAATTTGCACTAATCAAACCCCGCAAGAAACCCTTCTCCATGGGATAAGTTAAATTGCTATGTATAGTAGTATATATAAAATCAAAAGCATACAGCTAAAGAGAACTGTCATTTTAATTTATGAGCTTTATTGTTTTCATATCTTACAGTGCAGTCAAATTTCCAGGCCCTTTTGTTGTTTCTAGAAGACAAAACAGGAATTTAATGTAATATTTTCTGCTAATCTATCGATCCCAATTAGGACAAACACGAGACTCCCAACATGGAATTCTTGAACTAAATTTAAAAGAACTTCAACTAAGCTATTTACTTTGGTGTTAAAAAATAAATTAAAATTCTCTAATAATACTCCCATATGTAAGGCTCCTCAACCCGGAAACCGGTATCCGCTGTACACAGATGCCATGAAGGAGAATATTGACAAAACCCATTGCTCTTGAGGTCAACACCGTCGATGAATAGATCAGGCAAGTCAAACAATGTATCATCAGATTCTTGTGTATTACTATTATCCATAGCCGAAGTAGTGTTTGTGTTTGATGATATGAGCTGATGAGCTTCAGCTTGAAGTTGAAACTGTGTTGTTTCGGAGAGAGCAGCCTTAGCAGCCGCAGCTTGAATGTCTTTAGGAGATTTGGTGACAGGTCGAGGAAGTTCATGAACCAGTTCGGGGAAATTGAGGTAAGCAGAATTACCTTTGATGGCTAAAGCAGCTACATCGTGAGCTCGAGCAGCCATTTCTGCAGTAGGGTAAGTACCAAGCCATATTCTTGATTTCTTTCTTGGCTCTCTAATTTCAGATACCCATTTCCCCCAACTTCGCATTCTTACGCCTCTATATTTTGGATGCTTATTGTTATTGCGATTAGTTTCATTATGATCAGCACTAGAAGTAGACATCTTTTGCTTTTTCTTACTCTCATTGCCATTTTCCAGTTCTTGAAAGTAAGCCTTTCTTGAGCCTTTATTAGAAGCTGAGGAGGAGGAAGAAGAAGAAGATGAAGAAGGAGAAGAAGAAGAGGAGGAGGAGGAGGTAAGGGAATTTTCTGGAGCATCAATTTCAAGGTTGATATGTTTATCCATGAGAGGAAGCCTAAAGAGAAATGGCTGAGTGATTGGCGCATGAAATAGAGAGAGGAGCTAGGGATAGTAGCTTTTATGATTTTTTTTTTTTAAAAGTTTATAAATTAATTAATTAATTAATTTGTTACTACCCTACTGTCATGTGGCAATTGAATAATTAATTATTTAACATCCATTTGGCCTGTTCCTATTTCCCGTGTCAATTTGTACGTCTTCTTTGTACAAATGACTAATCCTTCTGAACTTTTTTTATGTTTCCTTTCTTTACTTGACCAATGGTAGGCCATCTATGCTTCCTAGCAGCTGTTCCTCCATGGATTTCTCATGAGAATTTGAACTTTTTATAGAAAATTGCATGTTCAGTATAAATTAAGGAGTAATTTAAAATCAAAATGCAGATTTTATAACCTTTTTTTTATTGAATATAAGAGAGCAAATTGGACTTTATTCCTATTTATGATTATATTATATGCCAGAAAAATCATATAAATAAATGGTCGATCAAATCATTTTAAGGATTAGTTTGTTGATATGTCATTTTCAATTTTACCCAATATATTATTTTTGTTACAAAGTGTAATATTTGTATACATTTCTTAATTAAAATAGCGTTGATTGAGCATCACACGTACATTTTTAATTTTAAAAAAATTGATTAATAAAAAGTAAAAAGACCAATTGAAACGTGACTTGTGCCCTTTATTTTGAAGGCAATAATAGAAGAGAGCATAGAAAAAAAAAAAATGAAGTAATTTGAAGCTAGTGAGAACAAGTGGGTGGTTGTATTGGAAGAGAAGAAGAAGACAATCGTTGCAACGCACAAACACATGTATTAATAGTGACATATTATATTAATTGTCCTAAATTTATAATCACCAGATCATATTTGCTTAATTTTTTGTTGAAATATTACCACAACCCTATGCTTTTTAATAACACAGATCACTGTCTTACACATGGCTCACATGGCTAGTGGGTCCAATGCCAGATTTTTTCTACCCGATGCTCCATGCGTCAACCGTGCAAGCTATTCTTCTTCTTCTTCTTCTTTCGTTTTATTTTTCAGTTTCTTTATATGTTTTTATCTCTGCTGTTCGATTTTACAACCTGTGTCATGATTTATAATATTGACCTGTTGGGTTCTAATGCTTCACTCCAAAACTTGCACTTCTTGTTTTTAACTTACATATCAAACTTTTTCGACCCCAATAATTGTATTCATTGGCCGTCCTGTGTTCTTGGAACCATTTCATGGTTATGAGATAAAATGACATAATCAAGATTTTGCATGCATGATTTTCTGATTAAAATACCTCTTTCTGATTAATCATCTTTTTTTTTTTTTTTTTTTCTGATAAAATACCTCTTCTGAATTAATCATCTTTGTTTTTTTTTTTTTTACTTACTTATCTTTTTTTTTTTTTTTTTACTACTTCATCATTACCAAGATATAAGTCAATTAAAAAAAAAAAATTCGCCTTTTATCAAATAAAAAAAAAAAGAAAAAGAAAAGAAGTTGCATTCTTCCTCCATTAAATTAAAACTCATGATAACCAGGTAAAATACCAAGAGTGTTTGAAGCAATCAAAGAAAAGATAGACTATACAGGACTAATCATAATGTACCAACTATGACATGTCTTGAAATGGTGGTCCATTTCTTGCCATTTTTGTTGATCGGTCCCTCTGCGCAGTGACTTCATTTTGGGACCTGTAGTGGTTAACTTCAAAGATCCAAAAATCTGAGACAGGGAAGGTGATTTATTGTCTCCTTGTTACCAAATCAACAGAAGCTTTCTGTGTTGTATTTGCGTGTGCCCCTAAAACTTCTAGATATCCTCCTTCTTTCACTCATTGTAGCAAAAATGTACTGACAATAATTTATATTTCTAAACACTCCAAATAAGTTTATGTAATAAATCAAAACCTAACTCTGGGCCACTTATATCCTCTGGCTGTCTCGCACCTTTTCAGCATTTATTTAATTAATTTCCTTCATGCCCTCTCTCTCTCTCTCTCTAGGACTTGTGTTTCTAGCGCGTTGAGCTAAGTCTAATCAAGCTCGTGCCATGTTAGGTTTATAATAGATGTAGGACGAGTTTTTTCTACTCGGACGGACTCTTGTTGATATATATTTAATAGAGTTTGTACTCATAACAGAACGAGATTTGACTTGATTCCTTTGAGAGGTGGAGCAATAATTGATCTTTTCTCATTTTCTAAATTGTCTTATCTTACTTAAATACTTTAATTTATTAATTAGACCATTAATTAAGGATCTAAAATGAATTAAAAAAAATGAATTTCCTCAATCTAGGAAAAACATATAAGAATCTCCAAAGTATATATATCAACAACTCGTTAGCTTATGTGCATTAGTTAAGGAAATTATGTGTATTTTAATTTGGTTTTTTGGCTCTTTCATGACGCCCTTAAATTTTAATATGCGCACGCATAATGCTGCCAAACGAGCTGCCAAGCTTTAGTAGTTATGCTCTTCTAATTAAAAAAAAAAAACAAAGACTTCTTCTTCTTCTTCTTCTTCTTGTATAAAGCCATTTCTCATCCAATCAAGTGGAAAGATTTATGCATCTACCGTAACTTCGGCAGCTTATGGACTTTATTAAGTAAATTATCGAATTCCAAATTCATAAATGAAAATTTCAATTTATTGAAAACAGTAGGTATCAACGACCTTTTTACTGTTATAAAAAAATTGCTAATAGCTAAAAAGAAAAAATGAAAAACCCAAGTATAATATATTCCATAAAACAAAGAATAATTATTCATCTGTCTCTGTATAAAGGTTTTCAAACTCTTTCATGGCAATTTCTCAGCTCTGATTATTCCCCTGTGGAAAGCAGATGTCATTGTCCAAAAACGTTATTGGAGAAGGAAGCTTTTTAAAGACAATGACAAAAACAGATGCAAAGATTAAAACTTTAATTAATCAGAAGGAAACTAGAAACTAACCTGACTTGAGCTGAGCAGAGCGTACCCCACTAAATGTATAATCATATATATTGCAGTGCGGTGGATGGGAGCATTGATTAAATCGTAGAAACGAAAGCCTGGCTGCTATTTATTTAAAGTATTTGTCACCAATTTAACTGTTTCTAATGCTATGTCTCAATCCTTACTCCTGTAGCTGTAGCCTGTAGTTTCACGTTCAGCTATAACCATGTGCTCGAAACAATTTTACCACATAGGTATTGTGCAGAATAAAGATTACGCAATTCATTGAGCAGATAGTTAATTATTATCGCTTTATTACTTGAGTTAATTAAGAAAAAAAAAAAAAAAAGCACAGATAGTTACATTATTTATCGCTCTTATTACTTGAGTTCAATTAAGAAAAAAAAAAAAAAAAAGGAAGAAGATCTTTGAGCTAAAATTCGAGACTAAAAGAAATAAACTCTATTTCTTTTATTTAATTTTAATTATTATAATTATATATATTTGTATTATTTGCTATTCTGAGTTAATTAAAAAAAAAAAAAAAAAAAGGAGGAGATCTTTGAGCTAAAATTCGAGACTAAAAGAAATAACTTATTTTCTTTTTTATTTAATTTTAATTATTATAATTATATATGTAATTATTTGCTATTCATTTTAATTTTTTTAATTATATATTTAATTACTAAATATTATTTTGTTTAGATAAAAGAAAATATTAAAAGACAGAAAATAACGAAGAAAAATAATAAAACTATGTCATTAAAAAAAAAAATGCAATTTTCTCAATTTACTAATTTTATTTTTCTTCAATTTAAAATTTGAGCCCAAAATACACTGCATATTTTCCTTCCTCACTCTTTTCAAATAAGAGAAAATTCTTTTCTTTACTATTTTCGTCAAATATTTTCTTTCCTACAGAAAGAAAAGAAAATTCCTTTCATATGTTCACACAAATAGGATCAAAATCTTATACTAGTATTTTCCGTCATCAATCATTGGAGAGACGAGTGTTTCCATGTGGCTGCTTTTATATCAAGCAATCCTACACATACTATTTGTGTTAAATCACCGCAATAATCGTTCTTCGATGTCCTCATGTTCAGTGCTATCATGGCCGCTAGGATTTTTATTATAAAATTGCTTTTTCTGTCATTCTGCGGAGCGACATTCTGAAACTCAGATATCAGAACCACACGAGGACGCCCAGTGAATTCACATTCACAGATCAAATAAAATTTCAGATCATTAGGGCAGGCCAAATCATTTCAGATGACCATAAGGCAGCAGAACCCATAAACCAAATAAAACTAAACAAATACCGCTTAATTCAACTCACAAAAGCTTAATTCAACTCACAAAAGCTTGTAACAACCGGAGATAACTAGCACAAAACATAGTTATGTATGGTATGACCTCGTTCGTGGTGTATATGTATATATACGTAAAAGAATATAATAACTAGCTAGTTTTATATGCTAATTCAGTTCTTGGCAATTGGCTGCTCTAGCTATACCATTTGAAACAAAAAGGCAGTCTTTGGATTACTGCTGCGCGCATTGCACGCCTGGCATTGATGGTTCATCATCTTCATCATATGCCTCATAACGCTGCTGATGTTGCTGCCTCATCCGCCTCTTCTCTTCCTCCACCATGTTGACATCATGCAAAATGGTCTCCTCACATTCATCAAGCTCCATCTGAGACAAGTGCTTGCTTGACTTTGGGGAAAGTATGGTCTCTATAGTAAGGCACTGCTCAGGGGAGAGAACCCCAGACTCGGGGAATTCCACATTAAAATGGATATAAAGCTTGCCTCTCATGAAGGGCCTGCCATGGTGAGGCATCCCCTCATCATTGATTACTTTGTATTGACCTGAATTCAAACAATTAAATTAAGAAACCAGGAAAAGGATCTTAATAGTCAATAATGAAATTAAGGAAACACTGGAAATCCACCAAGCAATACCAGGCTTTATGATCTCGCCGGGATTTGATTTGATCAGAAGTTGCCTACCATCAAGATGAGTCAGGGCAAAGTGAAATCCACAAAGAGCCTCTGTTAAAGAAAGGGTATGCTCTACAACAAGATCATCATGCCTCCGCTCAAACTTGGAGTGATCTTTCAGTTGCAATACAAAAACAATGTCTCCGGTAATAGTATCAGGCTGCAAAAGGCAGAAAGAAAGACATAAGATTCTTCACTTCATTAATTACAAGTACACCCAGATCCCTCCAATGTTGCAGAGGAAGAATAAAGAACTATTAATTTCAAACAAACAGTTCAACGTGCCAACATTACACTAACATGTCCTCAACACTAAAGTTGGCTCTGGAGGGAAAATATAAAAGATCTAAACTACATACTTGTAATCAAATGAACATCCAAAACCAAAATCTGTAACTATAAAAGTATTCCTAACCTGTGTCATTTTATTTCCTTGTTTCACACTTTAGACGTTGCATTGCATTCAACATTTGAACAAACAATTTGACAATTACCATTTGAGACAAACAGTTTAATTCAACCAATCTGATAAAGAAAAGCAAAACTAAACCCAACTCAGATACCAAATTAACTTACAGCTTCATCAGCCTGTCCATCAAAAACTATTTTATGGCCATGTTGCATCCCCTTCTCAACATGCACCTCCAGCACCTTCTTTTCTTGAGTTATCTTACTTCCCTTGCATTGTGGGCATTTATCCTTCTCACTGATCATCTCACCTGCACAAAAGAAACAGGCACAATTCAGGAAACTAGAGCCAAAATGAATAAAGAGAAATAAATCTGTTCCATTCAAATACCTGAGCCTCTGCATTCAGCGCAGATAAGTTGCATCTGTTGAATAATTCCTGGTGCAAACTGCCGAGTTGTAATTTTTATTCCTGAACCTTTGCATCCATAACACGTCCCAGAAGCTCCACTCTTCGAACCCTTCCTGAGACATTTATAAAGCACAAAAAGAAACAGATATCAGAAATTCAGTGTTAGCTGTTAGAAAAAAAACACTGCAAATCCCAACAGATGAAACCTTAACCACCAATTTCATCTGAACATGGCGATGGTGACTTCAGCTGATTACATCTTTGTAAAACAAAATGGCACACTTGTCCTACCCAAAACTAATGGAATTAAAACGTAACCAAAAGAACCAAGTTAAGATAAGACCATACCCTCTACATTTGCGACACAAAATATTTCGAGAAAGAGAGAGTTTCTTGGTTGCTCCATTGTACAAGTCCTCCAAGGAAACCTTCAAAGTATGCACTACATCTTCACCTCGTTTCTGCCTTCTTCCTCTTGAGCTGCCACCTCCTGAAAGATTCAGACAATTGTAACTTTCCTATCTAACAGAACAAAATAGAGAAAATAAAGGGGCAATAGAGACAAGAGGAAGAAGGAACAGTAAGCCAGTCGATACCACCAAAAGCTCCTCCACCAAAAATCGATTCAAATATATCAAACGGGTTGTGAACGCCACCACCTCCACCTCCCATTCCGTCTTTAAGTCCATCTTCACCATATTGGTCATAGATTTCTCTTTTCTCTGGATCACCAAGAACATCATATGCATGAGACAGCTCCTTGAACTGAGAAAAGACCAGCTAATGAATGTAAGTAAATAGAGAATAATCACATAATATTATATCAAATGACATTTTCAGATTTTTATTCTGGGAAAAATTGCTTCTCGCGATTTGCATAAAAGCTAATAATAACAAACGGGCAAATAACTAGTCCAAAAAGATTCATAGCATGCAACTGCAACAAAATAACTGAGAATCTACCTTCTCGGGATCTCCACCTTTGTCAGGATGATTCTTTATGGCAGCTTTTTTATAAGCCTTCTTCACTTCATCTTGAGTTGCATTCTTTGAGACACCAAGAATTTCATAATACTTAGTGTCATCACTGTGTCTTCCACCATAACCAAACATGGTTAAATCAGGTTAATGCCTCTGGTACGGATGTAGAAAGTTGGATCAGCAAATTGAACAAAAATCAGCAAAAGTTGATACAAAGCTTGCAAACTCCTTTCTAGCATCATAAATTGACATTTAACAATAGAAGCAGAAAAACTCATAAGAAAGAGAACAACAAATTAAAGCATTTGAAGTGGTAAACCGCACACATAAAAGCAGAGTGAAAACCCCTCAGTTCGAGTGAATATTGCAATCTCCGGAATAAGATGGTTCTGAGAAAAACTCCCAAATAGGTAAGTACTCCAAGCAATAAAGTCATGTTTAGCTTATTTTGCTTTTCTCATGCAATCAAGACCTGTGGGTAATATTATTACAGAAAACGAGCGCCGTTTTGCATCTCAGTAACACAGGAAACGCAATTGAAAGTAGAATCTGTTGTTTTTTTCTCCCCTGAATAGTGAGCATACCAAATTCAATAAAAGAACCAAACTTTCAAAAAGTATACCAAGTAAGGTCATGGCATAAAAACCAAAAGTTATACGAACAATCAAACAGAAAACCAATCAGACAACAGAAACCCTTAATCTCATATCTTTAGAAGAATCAGAAACAGAAACAGCCATTAAAAGGTCCGAAATCAAAACAACGCAAGTAAGCTTTACACATGCGAGCTAAATATGCAAACAGAAGAAACAGTACCGAATCTGAGACTGTATTATCTATAGTAATAATTAAAAGAATCGAAGTCAATTTATGGAATCTCATTAAACTAAATCACAAGGAAGATCTATCTGTATAATATATAAGGAATACAGGTACCAAAAAAATAATTACTCGCTAAATAAAGTACAAAAGAGCGCGACAAACACAATAAGAGAAAATTTTCACAAACAGCGAGAGCGAGAGACACCTTAAAGGAAGGTTGGAGTTCTGATTTCAGTTTGTAGCTTGCACAGAGAGAGGGAGCGCGCGAAAGAGGAATTGTGTACAGTCTCCCGAATATCTCCTCGCAAAGCTCAAAACTGTTTTACCCTCATGTTAAGGATCTTGATGTCTATGCGATTGGGAGTTGATATCGCCAGATTTCTTTTTATTAATTCCACTCCCCTATAAACCGCCTTAGTATTTTGGAAATAGCAAGTCCTATTGTGGAGACTGGAGAGGGAATTCTGGCACGCGTGCCAAGGAATGGTTAAATTGGCGAGTGATCTTGGCCGTCCAGTGTCAAAATTGGACGGTTGATATGGAGTAGCCAAGTTAAGGGCCTAGCGGTATGAACTATGTGGGTAGGTCAGAGTCGATGGCTTGAGTCTTGAGAAATAGTGAGGTGGTCCACACGGTCTGGTCTCATGCTTTCCACTTTCGACAGTTGCATGCTAGGGCCCACTGCCCACTAAGTATTGGCGCTCATACACGGATGGTCGTTCGATAAAAGAGGATCGTGTGTCTTTCAATGGTTTAAACGACCCCGTCGTCCGTCTTCTTTTTGTCTCTACTTTCTTCCGTCTCAAATCTTGAAATAAACAACTAATTAGAATATCGATGTTTCACATTTTTATATTAGGAAAAAATTGTAAAGGGTACACTAAAAAAAAAATGTAAAAACTACAAATTTAATTTCTTAATTTATATAAAAATCAAATTACATATATTTTTGTAAGACAAAAGAATGTGTACGTAAAACAAAAAGAGAAAAAAATTTAAATAAGACAAAAGGAGAAAAAAATTTTAATTAATTAACGTAATTCTAACCTCTGTAAAGAATCCAATGTATATAATTTCAAAATTCATGTATTCTTTTAGCAACTTAAAAACAAGGATATGTTCTTCTGTTCTGCCAAAATTACAATTAATTTATAAATAATCTATATAAAGGTATATTATATATTATATAGAGGATATAGAACTTAAGGAACAATTTTTAATTTGGCATTATATTTAATGATGTTTTTAATTTTTTTTCTCCTCAAACGACATCGTTGAATTTAAAGATAAAAGTACGGATGTCTCTCTTGCGTGCATGTAACAAGAAGTCCATGAACAAAAACTAATTCACAAACGACATATTATTTTCAAACTTTGCAAACTTCCCACAATTGTATGTAGCAAAAGAGTTTTTCTTGTAAAGTCGTTTATGAACCATCGCAATCCTTCACTCTTGCTTATTGAATGAATTTTCCTTGTAATTTTGTTTATGAACCATTCCAATCCTTCGCTCTATAACGCATATATAGACTCTGAATTCCTTCTGTAATTACACAGATCAACACAGTTTTTATCGCCCACAGAAACACAGATTATTTCTAAACACAACATAGTTAGTCTCTTCAATGGAAACATCGAAAGCTTTTATAATTCCCCAAGCTAATGCTGCAAGGTCTCTATTTGATCGCATGATAGATATGGACAGAGGAGTTGAAGAGTCTATAAAAGCCATAGCCTTTTGGATTTGGCTAGAGTCACGAGGTTTTCCAGATATCATTACAGAGCTGTCTTCTCGTGACGATAAGTTCTTGGATTTTATATTTGATGAAGCCAATACTGTTTTGACATCTCTAAAAAAGAACTCCTTTCCACCAAATCTTTTGCGTGTCACTATTACAACCTTAGCAGGACGACGGTTCTTGTCTCCTAGTGTCATTCTCGCCGACAAAGAAAAGGTGTTGGAGAGTATCTTGGAAATCTGTAAGAAAATATGTTTGGTGCTCTTTGAAGATATACTGAATGAGAGAGGCATTGTCATTGATATCGAACAACAGACAAATAAGGGGATAACTGAATACAGCAACAGTAAAGCTAGTGCACCACTAAAATCACCATTACCATCATTAGAATCCAAGTTGAATCCTTTTGCTAAAGAATGGAATCCTACATTAGAGAAAGCACCCGAAGAAGATCGCTGCTTGTTCTTAACTTTTTCAAATGGATATCCTCTCACTGAATATCAAATCACCAACTTTTTTACCCAGTAAGTATATATTCTTGGAAGTATTTCTGCTTTTAAATTAATTCCTAACTATTTGATTATTGATTAAACATAAATGTGAACATGCACGCAGGAAATATGGGCCGTTCGTAGAAAGGGTGTATGTGCATTGGCCAAATCCGAAGAATGGAAAAAAGACATCTCCATTGTTTGGAAAGGTTGTTTTTAGGGCGTCTTTTATACCCATTTTGATTTTAAACGGACAAAATGAAGTAAAGTTCTGGGTTGATGCAAAACCTCTCTGGTGCAAAAGATTTGATCCAGAGAAGAAGAACCGCAGGAATTCTTGAACCCTTTTTTTCCCTGCAATTTATTGTTTTGTGCGAATTCTTTTTTTTTTTTTTTGGTTTGTAATTGAAAAGAGGGGTTGGGCCTTTGGCCCATTGATACTCTAGTTGCTATGATATTTTTGTTCATGGGGTATATGCCATTTTGCATAATCCAAGAAACAAAAAAAAAAAAATTCTCAAACCAGGTTCTTGGAAACCAGAGGGTTTAAGAAGATAATGCTAGACCCGGTCCAAGTCTACCTTAGGTCTTAACGTGAAAATTTGAAAAACCCAATTCTTCATTGACTTTGATTTAGTTAATTATGGTTGCGTTGGCATGTATATCTCTCATGGTGGAAAAATCCATATTTATCAAACATCTGGTTGTTGAGTTGACTAGTTTTATAATAAAATAATAAAATAGATATTAAGGATATAGATAATTGGAAAAGTCTGAAATAATTTTCAGGAAAAGGAAAAAGAAGCGAATCATTTTCCTGGAAAATAAGAATAATAAGAAAATGGAAGGGAATATTAAAAAATGAAGGTCGGTTTACGCTACCTTCATTTCCTAAGAAGTTGCAGTAACTCAACCAAGTATAAACTATAAACTAACCACCACCTTCGTTCAAAAATATTTAATATGTCTTCTTCCTTTGCGTCTGCATCGTAAGTTCTCTACCTATACCAAAGCTATGGGCTACTCCGCCGCAGAGATTACTAGCGGATCAAGACATGAATTCTACCAGAACGTTGTCGTAATGAGGCACGGAGATCGCATCGACAACTTTGACCCGCTTTGGGTTTCCACCGCCGCTAGGCCCTGGGATCCACCGCTAGTAGAAGCTGGTCGGGTCAGGGCATTCTCCACTGGCAACTACCTCAAGTCCCATATCGGCTTTCCAATCCACCGCGTCTTTGTTTCTCCCTTCCTCCGCTGCATTCAGACAGCCTCCGAGGCTGTCTCGGCGCTCTGCGCCGTCAAAGACAACTCCGACGCCGCCATCAGAGACGGAATTGCTATCGGTCCCTCCAAAGTCAAGGTCAGATCACTTGAGCTATGTTCATAATTACGAAGATAAGATTTTTGTATCCGTAATTGCTTTTCAATCGAGGCATTGCATTTTAACAATACTCTGCTAATCGGGTTAAAAGATAATTGAGAAACCAATTGTCTAAGCAGAAATTATACAATTATCAGGTTTCTATCGAGTACGGATTATGTGAGATGATGAACTCGCAAGCCATTAGACATGATTCTGCACCCAAAGATGGGAATTTTGGTTTCATCACTTCTGAGCTTGAAGCCCTGCTGGCTGCTGGGACAGTCGATCATACTGCAGAACCAGTGTATGAAGAGGTGTATATTCTCCCAATCCCACAAGAAAAAAAAAAAAAAAAAAAAAAAAAAATTCCAGTGAATCATTAGAACACGCTAAGAGAGTTATGGTCCTGTATATGGCGGTTTAAGACTTTAGGGGTGTATAGAGTTTGCAATTGGTCCAAATTTAACGAAAGAAATGGAAAAAAGAAGAGACCATCTTTCCATATGCTTTAGTTTGGGGTGATACGGGATATAACATTTGTAAAATTTTTCAGTCTTTTGTAGAGGGGCACTCTGGACGTAGACTCTTTCTAGTGTTAGTAGTAAATAACCGCTCGATTAGGTCATTTTAGTTTGTTCAATTTTGTAGAAACGAGACTAAAAAATTGCAATAGTAATAAGTTTAGCTTGGGTTGATGTCAGCACGACACCCTCTATATACTTCTAGGGTGAAAAAGATTTTAGCTTTTCCAGAGAAAGATAGAAAGGGGCTAAAAGAGTAAATGTGCTTGACTTAACTCACTTTTTATGTATATGTACATGCCTGCAATTTTATTGAGTATGATTGAAGGTGCGGAGTCAAACATGTGCTCTTGCTTCTCTGTTGATACTTTTTTATTATATATTTGAGGTTAGTGCTAAAATTGTAAAACAGAGGGTGTTTGTGGACACAGTTACCTCTATTGAGCCTGCGATAGATGATTAATGTCTTCTCTTACGTTAAAAATATTGCATTTGAGTATTAAAAGTAGTATAATTTGTTTTTTTGAAATGTCCTTCACTTTTGATTAAGGAGGAGATGTTCTTGAGAAGTTTAATAATATGCTCAATTTTGTCTGCAAATTATATGCCAGGAAACCACACAAGAATTTAAAAAAAATCAAATAAATCTTCATTTTCAATATACTTCCAAGTGTTTACCTTGAGAAAACCAAGTGAAAGGGTTTAGTAAAGATTATACACATTCGTGAAACTATATGATTTGCTAATGATCCGTGATTTGTAAACTATGCTGCGTGTTAACCCAGTGTTACCCTTCTCAGGTTCTCATTGAAAGAAAAATGCGTCGGAAAATTTTTGAGAGAGAAGACACACAATGGTTCTTCATTAAGTAATTTTGTGTACTCTAAAATGATATAGTATATTATTAGTTATTAATTATGGTTAGCGTATCTTTGTGCATGGTAATTGATCTATCATGGAATGTGTGAATAATAAAAATTCCATTATTTATGCAACATCTGGTTGTATGAGTATTTGGACTAGTTTTGATAATCTTTATATAATTGAATAATAAAACTGAACAACTGTGTAAGATTTTATTTAAGTTGATAGTATAAGAGATAACTTTAGAGATAAGTTCCTATGAAATAATAATTAGTGAAAAGGAGAAAAAAGGTTAAAAATGAAGACGAAAAAGTACATTTTTATCTCTGGAAAATATAGACAAGTTAAGCATTAAGGTATAGAAAAGTGTGGAAAGATTGGAGATAAATTATTAAAAAATGAAAGGTTCGGTTTACGCTTACCCTTGGTTTCATAGGAGTATTTCTCACAGCGTATGAAAATGTAAAGTGGACAGAATGAACTCTTCAAGGTACACAGATATTCGTATAGCTTACTAATAAAGAGCTCTAAGCGCTCTTACCACCACTTAAGTAGAGTTTCGTTCAAAAAATATTTAATGTGGATACTTCCTGTATTCTTGTAGGCGTGCTGCTATAGTGAAAGTAATACGTCATACCCTATCACGGATCGTAATGAGCTACATCGGGCCTCATCCTCGATCGTCCGCCAGCCAGGATTGACTTTATGCGCATTCAGTCAGATGAATTTTTCATAAATCAGAACGTTTGGTCGTTAAATTAGGTATGGTCACGCGCGAGATTCCGCTTATATTCGTGAGAACTTTGACCCCGCTTTTGGGTTTCCACCGCCGTTACTTTTTAGTATGTCGCCGCTAGGGTTTCCCTTCTAGTGTGAGCTTTCACAAAACCGTTCCATAGTAACAGAGGCCTGTGTCGGACGTTCTCTATCAGGGCCATTCTCGCTCAGTCTGGCACTCACTTATCTTCATTAACGTCCCATAATCGCGCCCTTTTTACGATCTTCCAATCTCACCTATGATTTCACCCGAGACCGAAGTTGTCTCTTAATTGATAGTGTCGGAGTCGGTTGAGGCCAATCTTGCGTGCTAATTACTCAAGAACATGCGCCCTCCTCGCACGGCCTTGATGTAATTCGGCGTCTTTTGTCTGTTCACAAACCGTCCTCAAAGTACGCAAACTTCCCGACGATTTCTTTTCCACGAGTCATCCAGAAAAAGAAACATCGCGGAATTGATAAATTTTCGTGGTCCGCTCGCGCCGGGCTCGCCCAAAAGATTCGTAAAGGATCAGCGCAGTATTTCCACATAATTTGACGGTGATGCGTTTCTCCCTAAATTTTCTAATCATTTGGGCCCCAGTAAGCTTATTATAAAACGAAAAGATAAGAATTTCTAAAAACTCAACTGATAGATAACCGTTAAATGCTATTCTCGATCGTCAAGCGAGGCCATTAAGACATTGTAAAATACTTCACTGAGACCAAAAATACCTCCTCTGGACTAAGCGAGAGTATTATAAAAGATAACGTTAATTTGAGAGCACACCTAATATAGTTCCCTAAAAGTTGTAAACAAGAAATTCTAATCCAAGATATAAACCAGCGCTTCTATCATAAACCGTGGCGATTCGGATTAAATCCGGACACCGTAATACATGTGTGAGAATGATCTTTGAAAACAAACCCTCTGTCCCAGCGCTACATATTAAGAGTCATGATTTCTCGTCTACCCATCATATCTATGCCTTGGTCGCACACTTTCTTCTTCTCTTGGTTTTTTTTCTCATCTCACTCCGTTTTTATTTTTTCTGAAGCGTGAGCCTAGTGAGACCCCCTCCTTCCCTCGCTCCTCGGCTGCTGGGCAACTAGTACCGATTCCAATCCTACCTTGCAAGAACCTCCAGTGTTACTGAAGAGTGCTGTATCCGTTCTTCTCGCTCGCAATCCCTACCAAGAAAAAAAGAGAACAATTAACAAAAAGAAAAAGACATAAGAGATATCTTTTTTCCACTCGTGTTTAATTCGTAAAGATAAAAATAGTTGAATCATTTTAGATGTTTTAGATGTAAGACATCTTAGGGTGGTGGCAAAGTATTAACCGGTAAATTGGTATTCATTCGAATTTGAGGGGTGACCAAAAAAAAAACGTATTTTGTTTTTCAGTCATAAATCTCCCATCTTTAATTTAGGCCAGAGAGTGCCCCAGGTGCGCCGCATCCAGAACCTAGGTCTTGAGTCCCTCCTTCCTCGCCACTGTCCAGTTTGACCTTTTTTTTTTCTTCTTCCTCGCTGCTTTCTTTCTTTTTTTTTTGCTTCAATTCTAGTTGCGCAATGGGATAGAAAACAGTTGAATACAGGAACAAGGATCGTCAGATATGCAACGATTTTTTTAAAGACACTATGCAGTATAACTTACCCTTTTCTGATAGAATCCTGCTGCTGTGTTCACTGCATGGTAAGCTCATTTTCTTCTTTCCCAATTTAATTTTCCTTTGCCATAAGCACCTAGTTTTTTTTCCGCGTCTTATTTTATTTTTATTGCAAAATTAGGGGAAAGGCGTTGGAGTTTTCCCCAGTTTCCTGCATTCATGAAAGATGTAACAGTGTTGAAGTAGAGTATCTGTGCCATTATGCGTATTAAGAGAGGCCCAATTTTTAAGGAAAATTCAATCCTTTTACAACTGGTAGAATTTTGGAAGTCTTTACTAATAAGCAGTGGCATCCAAGTGCTTACTAAGAGCCTGTAACCATTGATTTTAACCATAGCACAATTTCTGCCTAATTATTACTGTTGTTCTAATTCTTCGATTTCCACAGATTGTAAGAATTTTCCTTTGGTTTTCGGTATAAGTGAACCCATTGTTTCTGAAGAGATGAGAATAAACCCTAGTCCAGATGAAACCAGCAATCTGTACCTAGAAACAGTTATCATCACAGTAATGAATAAAAACGTGACACAGAAAGTTATAAAGGAGCCCAGTGGCATGGTACTACTTATACATGTTACATATAGTGGGCACTAGGTGTTAGTCAAAATAAAAAAATAGACAGTGACAATGAACATGTAAACAAATAGTTAAAAGTTTCCATTTCTTCAAACAATTGCTAGGCGGCTTCTTTGGAAGTGGTTCAATGTTGGTCAAACATGTCTGGTACTCGTGCGGAAAGTCAATCGAAGAAAGTGCTATCAGCGACAGTCACGACGCGATTCTCCCTCTTCACTTCCCCTGTTCCCACATTCTCATGCTACTTGAGAGACCGCGGAGGATCCGGGAAAAAAATGCGGGATGGCGGCCGGCAAATGGAGAAGTGCAAGTGCTCGTGAGTTCTCCATAGACTTTCTAGAGCAACCATCTACTGTCTCACAACCGACCACATTGAAATACCGAGATTAAAGTGATCCCTCGCCCAGTTCTAAAGGTTCCACTGCTCCCTCCCTGGCCGAAGCAATTTTTCCTGGCATTTCCTGGGAGCAGACTGCTTCATCTTCTCGGTGTTTTTGTCTTCTTGTGCTGTGTGGTGGGACTATTTTGGAGGGAAAGGGATAGTTGCATAATTGGGCGTCAACGTTTTCAAATTGTAGATTTGGCATCACACGTCTCAGTTGTCAACCGTGCACACGCCCTATAAAGTAGCTTCTTGCTTGATAGTCGGCCATATTGCAAAGGGCTCCATAGTACACTCTATGAACTGGGTTTCAGGGGCTTCATTATAGCCTGATGAGCAGTTGTAGCTGCAGCGTCCCGCATTAATTGAGTTGGGAGCTTGTTACTTTGTGTTTCATTCTTTATACCCTGCTATTTACGCAAATAAAAACTCATTCATAGATAGGAGTCTTTAAACCCTTATGGAGAAAAGCTATGTAACACAAAAAAAACTACGACAAAGTATTTTAAGAGTAATTCCCCAGAAATAGTTTCAAAAATTATCCTCAGAGAGTATGGAGATGGATCTGATGGAGTTCTTTTTATTTTCTTGTTTATGGTAGTTTAAGGTATAAATTTTGTTAACATTCGATAAATATTTTAACTTGGTGGTTTCTCTATATATACAGAATAATGTGTAAAAAATCCTGTTTCATAGACCATTATTTCAAAAGCTTTCTATATTTTGGTCTAATATGATCGAATTAGTTTGATTTCTGCAAATTACGTTCACGTGAAGACCAAATATGGAAGATCGAAAAATAGCGATATGAATTGGCATAACGATCGAAGAAAATATTTTCTATTATACCATGTAAGATAAGATATTTTTCAGAAAAGCACTCTTAACACGTTAGACAGTAATTAGGGACTGCAAGTTTGCATACTGTGATACAATCACACACGAAACGGTGTCCCCTTTTAGACTAGGACTTTCCGTGAGGCTATAGTGTTTAAGACGGAAGCGTAGAGCTAGGAGTGGCTGCAGAGTTTCTGACAGAATCGTATGCAACAGCCATATTCTTCTGCCGTGCTGCTACCTAGAAGCTCAAACAATTCTTCGAACATAAAAAACTCGTATCGAAGTTCGTTCCAGGCAAAATAGGCCTTGGAAATGTTGCGCGCGTATGGTTGGCTTTAGTGTTTTCGTCCATTCCTAGTGATTCGAGCCAACATTGTGTGTTCCTGCTCTAACTCTCGTGGACCGGAAACTCGATGTCCTTTCCTCCAAGCCTCTGAAACTATGCATCCACTTAAAAAAAAAAAAAAAAAAAAAAAAAAAAAAAGATCTTTTCCATTTTTATTCGTAGAACAGTTGAATCTTTAATGTTTAGATGTAAGAACTTAGGGTGGCAAAAGTATTACCGGTAAATTGGTAATTCATGATTTGAGGGGGCCAAAAAAAAAACGTATTTTTTTTAGATACCTTTAATTTAGGGGGGCCATGGCCACTGGTCTTGGTCCCCCTTCCTCGACCACTGTAGTTGACATTTTTTTCTCTTCCTCGCTGCTTCTTTCCTTTTTTTTTGCTTCAATCTAGTTGCCGCAATGGGAAGAAACAGTGACAGGAACAAGGACCAGATATGAACACGTTTTTAAAGCACTTGCAGATAATTACCCATCTGAGAACCTGCTGCTTGTCACTCATGGTAAGCTTCATTTCTCTTTCCAATTTAATTTCCTTTTAAGACCTAGTTTTTCGTCTTATTTTATTTTATTGCAAAATTAGGGGAAGGAGTTGGAGTTTCAGTTTCTGCATTCATGAAAGATGTAACAGTGTATGAAGTAGAGTACTGTGCATATTCAGTATTAAGAAGGCCAATTTTTAAGGAAGATCAATCCTTTACAACTGGAGAATTTGAAGTTCTTACTAAGAGTGGCATCCAAGTGCTTACTAAGAGCTGAACATTGATTTAACCATAGCACATTCTGCCTATTATTACTGTTGTTCTAATTCTTGATTCACAGATTGTAAGAATTTCCTTTGGTCTTTGGTAATAAGTGAACATTGTTCTGAGAGATGAGAATAAACTATCAGATGAACACAATCTGTCCTAAAACAATTTCATCACAGAATGAATAAACGTACACAGAATTATAAAGGAGCCAAGTGGCATGGTACTATTATACATGTTACATATAGTGGGCACTAGGGTTAGTAAAAAAAATAGCAGTGACAAGAACATGAAAGAAATTAGTTAAAAGTTCCATTTCTTCAAACAAATTGCTAGGGGCTTGGAAGTGGTTCAATGTTGTCAAACATGTCTGTCGGGAAGTCATCGAAGAAAGTATCAGGAGTCACAGGATTCCTTACTTCCCTTCCACCATTCATGCAACTGGAGACCGGATCGAAAAATGGCGGCCCAAGAGAAAGTTGTGCTCCAATTTCAGGAACATCTACTGCTCCAAACACATTGAAAAGATAAGGATCCCCAAGTCTGGCCAGCAATTCCTGGCTTTCTGGTGAGAATGTAAGCTCTGGTTGCTCTTGCTGTTGTGGGATTTGAGGGAAGGGAATTTGCATTTGGGCGTCAACGTCAATTAGATTTGCATCACAGTCAGGCAACTCAGCCTTAATAGCTTCTGCTTGAAATGGATATGGCAAAGGCAACACTCTGACTGGTTCAGGGGCTTCCATATAGCCTGACGAGCACGACTGCGCCTTTGTGGATGATTCTTCCTCTATTGAATAACTCATCATTGGAGTCTTACCATATGGGAAAATTTAAAAAACAAAAGATTTAAATTATCAAAATTTCATAAATTACAAATCGAGGATCATGGTTCTTTTCTTTTATGTATTAGGAAATTCCTTTAACTTATTTCCAATCCAAACAGGAAAATCCTTCAAATTTTCAAAAGCTTTCTATAGTCAATTGATCAAATGCTTTTTATAGTTCACTGAGAACAAAGGAAGACGAATGAAATTTGCATACATGAAAAATATTATTAACCAGAATTAGAATTTAGAAAAGATCTTACCTGCAGATTAGGAACATCACGAAACACAGAAACTTCCTTTCTAGGCTTCCGTGGCTTAGTGTTAGAGGAGGAAGGAGTGGCTGAAGTCTGCAGAATCCTTGCAAGCCTCTTCTGTCTGCTACTCCAAAAATTCTTGACATCATTATCAGTTCGTCCAGGCAAATAAGTCGCTATTTTAGCCCATTTATTTCCAAATTGTGCCTGCAACTCTATCACTACCCTCTCTTCCTCCCCTGAAAACTTGCATCCACTACGCACAATATCAAAATTAACACATGCATTATTAAATTTGTTGGAGAAAATTCCATGATTAAAAATTTTTATGCATAAATTGTTTGAGTATACAGAGTCGCGAAGTAACTAGTTACTTCTTTAAGTTAGGTCTAAGTTTGTTGACCCAACGGAGACGACAGGACTTGCCGGTTCGCTGCAAGAGGCCTTTGGATCGAATGGAGCTCCAATCGCGAGGGCCATATTTCTTGACATGGTTTATTAGAACTTCATCTTCCTCTGCTTTCCATGGCCCTTTCCTTATCTCGTCTCGTTTTGCTTCCATTTCCTGAAGATAAAAGAGACATTCACTTCTTCAATTTCTATTCTTAACTTATTCTCTGGGTTTTTCCTTTTTGATTTTTTGGCAACTGACGGTTAAGGCGGTTACTTCCACTACTCTCCACCATATGCCCACTTTCCCATTTTTTTCTCTGGTTCAAAATTCCTATGAAATTACTCTCATGTCCTTCTATATTTTGAATCCTGGGCGCGAATTTGGATTTGTGTTTGGGCCCAACCAAACCCTAATTGCTGCTCTTTGTTTTTCTCATTTTGTGCCCAAAACTAATCTGGGCTTGGCCAGCATGGCAAAATCCAACGACTCCATTTCTCGATGAATAGAAGCCTCATCTCAATTGGAAGGCAATGAAAAGAAATGAAGCTAAAATAATTTTCTTAATCCCATACCATAAAATGTTTCCAGCATCTACAATTATTACCTTGGATAATTAATTATTTGTTGCTAATAAAAAATGGACATGATGAATCCAAATTCTCCAGGGATACGTAAAATTATCTACCCAAGTAAATAATCAACTAATGTCAAACAGACTGTACACTTGAAAAGGGATCCTATATCAGCAAAATTTCAGCTATCAGTAGTTTACCAGCATCTCCATGGCCTCTATCAGACTCTCTGCTTGCTATAAGGGGCACTGGCAGTGCCTTCAGGAACAATACCATTCGTAGCATCTAACTGGCTTATATCACTTTTTCCATTTGCGACATCTGTTTGATGCGTATGACTAATCAAAGACAATTTATCGCGTAAAGATGGTTTCTCATGAGAATTGGTTTCTTGAGATGTAAGCTCCATATGATGCGGTTTGCCACTGTTACTTGATGTTGACAAGCAATTTAACTGTGATTCTGACATTATCATTCTTCCAACTGAACTTAGATCAGGATTATGTGTCTCCTTATCATCCAACCTGTTTAATGAGGAAACATTATCAGTAGGATAATGGTTGTCAGCATTGCTTCCATTGTCACTTTCTGGTTCTGTCACTGTATTTTCTACGGCTCCTGATGTTGCAACCATGCCTATCACTTGTGGCTCGACAGAGTTGGCTAAAAATACGGAGGCCTTGTCAGATGTATTATCTGCATCTGCTGTGTTGGTAATTACAAGTGGCTCAGAACCATTGTCGCCAACATCATCACAATTAGTGGCACATTTCCCCATAAAATCCACCAGTGATGTAGGAATATCCACAGATGGAAGTTCGGTATCTGCTACACTATCATTTTCAAGCTCAATTTGATCAGTCAAAGCATCATCTTTCAAAGTAGGACCCTTAATACTATCATCTCTGTTCTCCATGAAGACATCATTAATTACAACCTCATCGACAGGAATACAGTTAGATGATTGGTCAACGTCCATCTCGGCACAAGTGGTTTTTTCTCCAATAGGCTCAGCAGAATCACCTGCAACACCTCCGCCAGATACTTCATGTCTGTCCCCACAATCATCTGTGTTATGGAATGATACATCCTTGTCCATCAAATGCCTTCCATCTGCGTCACCTGTCTGCTGCTCAAGAATTTCCACAGCTTGTTTCTGAATTGGATATGCAGTACTATTGCTGCTATCCAAAACAGCCATTGCGTCTAATTGCTTCTGTACAGTAACCGCAAGAGAAACGGCATGATCGCGAATAAGAGAATCGTGGGGTGGGCAATGCAGCATGTCAATCAAGGCCTGGTTGTACTGAGATAGGCTAATAGACGGCTTCCTATACCCTTTGTTGCTGGACATTCTTATAACTTTGAAGACATGCTCACACAGGTTACCCATTTCTGCCCAACTGCAATCACAAAGAGCAAAATTCGATCTAGGGTTCCAAACAACATGAAACCTATCTCGATCAAGCTGGTCAGCAACTCTTGCACATCTACCTTCCATGACAACATCAAGATCTGGAATCTTCAATGCTTTCCGCCAAGCTGTTAAACCACTGTCCCACTCATCTTTCCAGTATCTTGCAAATTCATCCTTCTCTGAGTACTCATCAAGCCAGAAGTATGAATGCACCTTGGTACCCAACTTATCAACTAACCAATCAGCACGCTGATAAACACTGGGATCCTTCTCATTCAGTAACCTCACCTTCAATTGATTGTGGTAAAGTTCGATAGCTGCAGAAGTCTCCTGGCTGGCTAGTGGAAAATTTTTCAATGCATGTGTCCAAAGCCCTGGTACAACATAAGATTTTTAATTTTCTAAAGAATCATAATAAAATATCCCACTATTTCCTAGTCATCCTAGCCACGTTTCAATAAAATACATGCAATTCATTTGATCTTCAATTAAATCCAAGTAGCTATATACACGTGTGTCTATGTGTGAGATTTTGTTGCCACCCAAAACATAGGTTTGATAATGGCATTTAATGATAATAAAGAAAGAAAGAAAGAATGCTTGCACTTCATTTAAGAAGACAATTAGTTATATAAAACAAGAAAAGAAAATGTAACCAACCTAATCTAGGATACCAGACTGCTTTGAAATAATCCATGAAATCAGAGCAATCAACAAAATCTTCCATGAAAACCTCAAATAAATCCACAGATCCAGGGCCTCTGCAAATATCATCTATTGCCTCTCCAAGCCGTTTCCATATCTGGGCACGCATCTGTATTTCTGAGCATCTTCTTAATAAATTTTTATGCCACGCCTGACGGACCCGCCAAAATGATATCAATACAGGGCACTGAAAGACATCCCTGAGAAGAAGGAAGTGAAAATACATAGTACCTAAATTTGGTAAGTAATATCCACATTAAAAATAAAAAGGAAGCTTTTACACCATAAATTATCCTCCAAAGTCTTGCAGCAACAATATACTGTCCCTACCCTCATCAATCTTAACCACTGAAAGCCATATTGAATCAAATTGAAAGTTTAAACTATTCCCCCAATCTGATCCAGCATGTTCACTTTAACTATTCAATATCAATCAAAATGCAAAAATTTAAATATCAACCATTGCATTGCCTACAAAGACACAAAAGAAGCCTCAGGTAGATAATCTGAAAGAATACCCTTGTTCAGCAGTACTCATAAGAATAAAGGTTCTGGGTAGTGCCTGGATGTCAATTGGGGATTGCAATTCCCAAATGTCAATAAAGAATCCGAACATTAAAATCTATAAGCAGGTTAATCCTAACCACAGGTGCTCATCAATCCTAGTAGCAAGAACCTCACGACATTTTTTCCATTAAACAATTACAGAACATCCAAGAGGCATTAACTTATCTATGCTCATATAATATATAAAATCCAAAAGGAAAAATAAAATATAAAAGGCTAGCTGTTTACCTGATAGTAAGGATGTCTGTTGAAGGATCATCCACTATGAACCCAGCCAACTTAAATGTAGGATCTTTTGTACAAACCCTATTGTAAAGTGCCCTCATCCATTTATGGGCATCTGCAGTAGCAAATCTTGGTGTCATTATCCAAGCTACTGGAATGGCCTTCTTGTCTGAGTTGAACACGACTAGGCTGTGAACAGGATACTAAGTAGACAGAAGGCAAGTAGTTAGCATCAAAATATTTAAAAGCCATCTTTAACTGGATTAAGATTATATTAAAAAAAAAAAAGAACAAACCTTCAATTTGTTTGTTCCAAACCTTGAATCAGAAGCCAGAAGACTGAAATTGCCAAAACGGATCATCTGTTGCAGCTGCCACTCTGTTTGAATACCCAATGTCAAAGGATCTGAATCAGAAAAATCCTCATAAAAGAATACATTATTCTGGTGGCATTCAACCCAGAGGCTAATGCTTACTGCATCATCCATGTCCAGTTCATACGTAGAACGGCGGATGCTCCTCTCCTGTCGTCGCACATACCTATGAGTTAGAAGGTCATCACGATTACAGGGACCGCCCTGTTTCTCTACCGATTCATTGTGTCTCTGCATTATGGTCTCCACAGAAACCCCAACATACAGTAAAGAGAGAACACGAAGCCGAAGATCCTCTGAGATGTACGGGGCAAACATGGCTCGTGTTCCTTCAGCCTTCTTGTCCTGTGGGCCATGGCATGGTAACCCTTTCTTATCCACATGCTTGTCCTGATTATATATGATAAGTGCTACCGATGGTTCGGCAATTAATCGCTTCACAATAAAGTGGCAGGTGCACCCTCTTTTAGTATTTGGTCGCCCAGCATTCTTCTTCTTTGGAACATAAACACTCCTACTTGGTCGTACTATGCCGCCTTTCCGATGATCATCAGGGCCAAATGAACACCAATACCTAAAGATTCAAAGCGATCATTAAGGATTAGGTCCTTGTCCTAGTACCACAAAGTTAGAACTGCTAAAAGAATATAGTGGGACTTACAGTATGTACTCAAGAATGCCATCAACCTTCTGCTTGTAAGACGTTTCTGAAGGCCGGCGACGTCTTGCTTCAACATGAAATCTGGTTGGACATTCCTTATTTGCAGATTCACCCCTTACAAAATCATCCACCCTAGCAAAAGGAATAAGGGCAAGTCTATCTATTTTATCGCGCCAACCTTCAATTTTTGACCACACAAGATCAGTAGCAGAAAATTCCAGAGTTGGAGGATTCTGCACGGGAAGAGACAGGATCTCATCCCATCTGGCCATCTGGAATGCATGAACATAAGCCATAAATAATAGTAGCAACAAGAACCATGTAAATACTTCATCAATTAGCAATTCGATTATCAGTCAATTGAAGGCCTACATCTTAGACATCAGTCAGACAGTTACAGACCCAAGGCAAGTTTGATATGCCAACAATCAAATGAAATATGATGTAATAAGAATGCACTTTAGTTCAACATTACACAACATTAAGGCATTCAAAAATCACCCAAGTTCAATGAACGTGGATTGAAATTTCCCAACATATATTATATAAACTTAGAACAAATCACAAAATCAATAGTATATTGGATTATAATAACTCCTGACATTCGATCATTGAAAAAAAAAAAATTCAACTGTAACTTCACATATGCATAAAAACTATCATAGAGAAATTGCAGTAAAATTTTTTAAAAAAAAAAAAATGGAATCATAAAACTTTGGCAGGCCGCTATTTGAAGAAAAATCTGCTCAATCCTTAACGTGATCTTATGCCCTTAAATATTCCAGTTTTGAGCTTCAGCACATGTTATACAAAACCAATTGCTCATTTTCAAATGTAGAATAATAAACAGTGCAAGATATAAAAGGGGCCAAACTAATAATAAGAGGGAAAGTTACTTTGACGAAATTTCGCATGAAGTAGCTCATATTCAAATTCGCCACATTGAAAAGCTAATTAAAGACTATGAACAATATTTCTACCACCACATACATGGAGAAACGGCAACAAATGCGTTAATTTTCCATGTAATCAAAAGTTAATCAAGTAACCAGTCAAAACTACTCAGCTGACAGCGAAAATAGTGAGAAGTATCCGACTACAAGGGAGAAAACAATTTTTTTTCTTTATCTTCCTTGCATCTTCTCAGTACTCAAACGGAAACAAACGGTTATTCATGTGATGGCAAGCATATATAAGTACAGAGAAACTTACCAGAAGGAAAGAGAGCTCTGGTTGCGGCAAGGACAGAACGGCGGCAGAAACTGGAAGAATTGAAAATAGCGAAAGAAAGTGATAAAAGAGAGGAAATTTTGTATTTACTGTAGATGAAATTATGAATTAAATTTTCTTCCCTCGCTAAGCTCGGTCGGTTCCTCTGCTATCTTTTGCTTCTATCTGAAGCACAAGAAGGGCAGCTCCTCCTCTTTCTTTCTGGTTTTGAGGGTACTGAACGAAATTTGATGGAGGCCTACCTACTAACGGGCCAAATTTTAAGGAGAGGGCCCAACATCTAAGATTTCTTGTACGTGCGGTTTTCTAACGGCACGTGTCTGTAATAAAACCCCAAATTGTGCGTTCGTGCTATTGGGTTTTTGGGTTCACCGGTTTGCCTGACCGTAGTTGTCTCTCCCTCTCTGAAATTCTGATTTCTCGTTCTTGAATATCTCACTGTTTTTAATATCTGTTAATTCTCTGTTTGATTGGTTAAAGACCTTATTAAATCTAAGCCCTTGAGCTGTGTAAGCAGAAGGGTTTCAGTTGTTCGTTGAGGTTGGGAGTTTCTTTTAAATATATATAGTTATTTGAAGATGCAACATATTAGAAGATCAGCAATGTCGCTTAGGGGTAGATGCAGTTGTCTCTTGGAATACCAAAATGGGTTGTCTTCATATTTGGAGCGGAAGCATATGAGGGGTTTATCTGATGCGGGTTTGGCGGCTCTTTCATCATCGTCCACGGCTACACAGAGAATTACAGTTGGTAATTCGACTAAAAGGGTACGGTTCTTTTGATTTTTTTTTTTTCCTCTAGTAGCGTCCCTGTCTTTTGCAAAGAGTCTTTCTTGCTTGTGTTGCGTGTATTTGCAGTAGCAGTTGGTGACTTTATAACGCTCTTTTAGGAGTCTGCTTTCATTTAGATTAACTCTACACAGAGTATTGCTTGATGTACATTGCTCAGCGACATTGAGATTTTTAACCCTCCTGAAATCCTTGTGCCTGAAATCTTTCGACCTTTTAGTTTCTAATAAAACTCCCTTCCTCATCTCTTCACTATATCCTCAAACTATGACATTTCTTCGAAAAAATAAATCCGACTGGTGTCAAAGTAACCTTTTCTTATGCAATAATGCTCATATGAAGTATGGTACTTGAATTTGATGTATGGACATTCAATGTTGAGTTACTTTCTGGTGTTGATACAGTTGCCAGTGTCATTTGAGTCTGGTTATGTGAGCCAATCAACTTCTGCTGCCAGCCATACCTCTAAGGTGAGGTAATCTGCAATTTTTGCACTCCCATTTTTCTTAACACATAACTATGTGCTGATTTTTCTTTGTTCATTTTGTTCTGCAGGAGATACTTCAAGCTACGGGTTAGTGAATTCTACATTATTTGCATTAATTGGATTATGGCTCTGCCGTTTGATTTGCAGCGTAAAGAAATTATTTATTTTCTACCAGATTCTTCTTTTACAGTTTTCTCATTCTTTGTGTTAGATGCTTTTTAAATGGTGGCCTTCTTGCTTGTCAAAGACGCTAGACTTATTTAACTATTATTAGTTTTTCCATTTTCTCTAAGCCAAATTCAGTATCCTCTCCTTTTGAGAGAAAAGGAACTTCATTAACTCCTGCCCCCTTCTGGCTTTTATTTAGATTCTTCCCATTTACTTTCAAAAATAAAAAGAATTATATGTTCCCTGCTCTCTTAGTTGTATTTGTTTTGCTTTTTTATTCATTTCATGCTTTATTTTATGTATCCCGTCATCGGCCTTCATGCTGCATGCTATAATCCATTTTGTTAATCTGTATGATTTCCACGTTGCAGTATGCCTAATAAACTTGTACGTTTTCCAGCTGAATCTTGTGTGTGATGTTTATTATTTAGCTTTTAAAATTTTCTTTTTCTTAATTCTCTGTCAAGATGTATGTCAGTCCTAAGTTTTGAAATTGTGCCGCAATCAAGGTGCATATGAAACAGCATCTAATTAATCATGCTACACACTCTTTTATCCTTTGTATAAGTTAAGTTAAACAACCACTTCAGGCAAAAGATCGTGGAGAAACTAGTCTAAGATAGACCCTTTGGATGCTGGAGCCCAGTAAGCAGCCTGTTTGAAGGTGTCACCACCTTCAAGATAGAAAAGATTAATAACTATACAAGTTGAATAAGATACATATGTTTACCAAACGGTTCATATTAGCTTTTAGTTTCAAGCATACAAATCCACTAATTGCTGAGGTAGTTAGAGAGTAGAATTGTGCCTGTAAGTGTTTCTCTTTTCACAAATTATTTCTGACAATAGTGTTTGGCAGGAAAAGCGGTTCTCTGTGGGGGGTGCCATGGTAAAGAATGCCTAGTTGGTCTTGGTTCAAAATTCCCGCCCTTGAAAATGCATGGAGCAAGCACCATTAATCCTAGCTTTGCTAGATCATTTGCATCAAAAGCTTCAAAGCAAACAGGAAAAAAAGAATCTGAGGTTTGAATTCACTGTTCTTATATTTATGTTGCACATCTTAGTGGGTTCACACAGTTAGTGCTGTCATTATTTTATCTATATGATTGATCCAGATCTCTGAATCAACCATTACATGAAGGTGTTAAATGATAGATGTGAATTTCAGACCTTTCTATAAAACCAGTCACTTTCTAGGTGGCCCTAGATTTTTTACTTGTTCACAATTCATTGCGAAATAAAATCTGTCTTTTTATATGAAATTATGAAAATTCTTTTGTCTGACAATTGAATTAAGTTGTCAAGCATAAAAACATTTCATTCTGACTTGAAAATGTTTCACTGTTTTTCCTTCATAGCTTCTTTTTTTGTTTCCGGATTTTTACTTTTAGTCTGTCATCTAATATTCTAAACTTGTTATTGTACTCTACTTTCATGAACAGACTAGAAAAGAGGTATCTACTGTTGAGGATCCCTTTGATGCTCCTACATATAATATTCCAGAGAAGCCTGTGACATTTGTTGAGGGGGCATCCTACAGTGTTATAATTCTTGCAGGACTTGGAGTTGCAGCTGCTGCAGGTTATGCTGTTTTCAAGGAACTGATATTTGAACCAAAAGAGTAAGACTTTAGTTTCTCTAATTAAATTCGATGCATTACAGATTTAACTTCTTCTGTGATTCTGCCATGATACGAGATGTGGTCTATCGTAGGTACAAAATCTTTAACAAAGCTCTTAAAAGGGTACAAGATGATGCTCAGGTTTGTGAAAAGCAATAAATATTTTTCCGATAAAGTACCATGGTACTACCAACAACCATGGTTGGTTTTTTTATTGCAATTCTGGGATTGAAGTTGGGAGTTCTCTTTCTGTGTGTCAGGTCAGGGTGAGGATAGGATCCCCTATTACAGGTTATGGTCAAGAAAGTCGAAATCGCGCTGCTCGACAACGTATCCCCAATAAGGTCTACACTGATGAAGATGGCGTAGAACATGTTCTGGTAACTTCTTAAACAACACTATGGCAATATATATATTTGCTCTCATATTAGAGAGGATCTAAGGCAGGAAAAAAAAATCACTTCTCCCCTTCAATGAGGGAAAAGAAATGTACAATAGCTAATTGAAACTGAAGATATTTCTTTGAGGTGCAACTCACGTTTTACCTAATTGAATGTAGGTTAATTTTTATATTCGTGGACCGCATGGAGCTGGGAAAGTTTCTGCAGAGATGTTTAAAGACAAGGTGGATAAGCAATGGAAGTATACATACTTAATTGTTCAGATCATGCAACCTTCCCAATCGCAATTGATTCTCGAGTCCTATATGCCAGCCCCTGCCCCGGTGCCTGCATAAATTGTTCCCAAGCTTAGAAAGGTTGCTGTCTGTGTACCGAGTTATTGCGAAGCATATCAATGACCAATATCGTCAACAACAATCAAGCAAAATTTCTGAATTTTTTTGTATAAATAAATTGTCCTCTCAGTTTTTGACCTGTGTTAGCTGGTGGAAATGAATTTATTTTCAAAGATGTCTGGAATTTTGACTATCTGATCAATTTTGCATAAGAATCAAGAAGCAGGCCTGTTGGATCAGGCCTGTTGGATCATTGTGGATTTCTTTTTTTTTTTTAACTTTGGTTTATTTAAAACTGATGGTGGATCTTTGATCAATATGGAAATTACAAGAAAAAGGATTGACCAAACGGTATGATATTTAATTTGAAGATTGGAGAAAAACTTTAAAAAAAATGATCCCATAAAACTAGATTATCTATTCTTTCAGATGATACAAAATTCACCGCCATTCAACCTAAAACAAATAAGCTTTATTCAACATCGTCGATGCTGCTTCAAGTGAAGGAAACTCTGTAGCTCTGAGTTGAGTGTTATTTTCTAGCAGAACAAACGGTAATATATCAAAGAAGGGTCAATTAATAGAATAATCAAACTAATAAAAAATTTATGGAGAAAGAACACTTACTCCTCTCGTACCCTCGGAGGAATCCCAAGTCCTGTCCTCATATTTCTTCCCACCTTCACAAGATCCTCTACCTGTCCAAAAATTCATGAATTCGCCAGTCAATACAAAATTCTAACTTTCCATTAAAAGGAAAAAGGTTGAAGGCATAGAAAATCCAAGACCTTGTGGATGCCGGAAGCTTTAAGCGCAGCAAAGGAGGCTGAGGCGGCGGAGCCGACGAAGAGTGAAGCAACCGCAAAGGCTTTAAACGGCATGAGGCTACCGTCACCGGCGCAACCTTTTTGAAACGATGACACGCCCCAAACGAGCTGGGCAGTGCTTGCCAAGGCCCACCATCTCCACTTGGTCCCATCACCGTTTGCGCCACCACCCCCGCTTCCGATCGCCTCCATCTTCCTCCGCTGGCCTTGAGACCCAATTTCTAGTTTTTCGTTTGCAGACTCTTTCTATGTCATAAAAAAAATAAAAAATCTGTGTTGGGCCTTCACCATATTCTAAATTCAGCTGAAACTCTAATGACGAAGTATGTGTTAGATGGGCCTCCGTTTTTATTTTCAAGCTCCCGCGTGGGCCTTTATTTCATTTGTGATGGATCTATAATAGGGTAACCAACACGAGCCCATAGCTGGATGGATCTCTCTCTCTCTCTCTCTCTCTCTGTTTGAATTCGAAATCACTTAAAAAATCGATGAATCTGTAATTTTAAATAATTTAAACATGATTCCAAAAATAACCTTGAAATATTTAACCCACGCGAGCATCTCCGAACCATTATTTCGGAGAGCTATTTGTTTGATAGCAGAGATTTCGAATACACCTCTAAGGAATAAATAATCAATTCTGAGAAAAAAATTATTGTGAATCACTTTCGGACATCAATCTATTTGAATCATAAGGTTTCTTTATCAGGCTTTCATTTGGTTTTTTATAATGAATCCTGGATTTTTTTTTTTTTTTTTTTTTTTTTTTTTTTTGAGAAAAATAATAAATCCTGAATATTAAACGATGTCAAATGTAATAAAGAGATAAAAAATACAATCCTAAAGTTTTTGTTTAATCTATCTGCAAGAACCCTAGAAACCAAATACAGTAAGCTAATTACCTAATCGTTACCAAAGCTTCCAAATTTAATGACGGATTATGGGTGATGAATAGTTGAGAACAACAATGGTAGTACTAAAACGAAGAACAATATTGAGAATCAGTTGAATTGAACTGGACGATGAAGAAAGAAGAATTTGATTAAGTCTTTCTCTGACGAACATTGTAAGAATAAGGTTTTATTGAAGACAAACCCAGACCTGGAAATACGCAATCGAGCTCTCTCTGAACAATTTTGCTTCTCTTCTTCTTGGGTCTCCTAACCGACTTGGGTCCAACCATGGTCAATAAGTCCATTTCAATCTCCTCTTTCGTGAGTGAAATAGAGAACTTGGGAATTGTCATCTTCTTCTTGTCTGCTTCTCGAATTACAGTAGATTTGTCTTTCTCTTTCCCTAATTTTGGTGGGTCAATTTCCGATTCATTGACAGTAGTTTTCTTGCATGTCACTCTTTTGGGCCTCAAATTCCAATTACTTGGCGATTCTTTGTCACACTCTGATGGCGCCGCCATAAGAATGGCTGCATCGTGGTTGTCTGAGGCAGCTTTGCCGCCGTTGAGGGAAGAGTTACTCAAGTGGAATTTGAGTAATAAGGAGAATTTCTGTAGAGGGTGTGGCGATTCTAAGGATACGTCTCCCATCATTCTGTCTATCTTACCAATCCCAAATCCTAAATTTTGTGTGATTTTTAAATTTGAGAATGGAAGAATGAAATTTATACAAGGAAGTGTTAGGCAATAGGCATAATAAAATCCCATACCATGTTGGATTCCATACCTTTGGGTCATAATCCACACACGACTAGGAATTAGGAAGCACATTGATACTCGAACCTTGCTAATTTTTTTTTTTTTTTTTTTTTTTTATTTATCTATTTTTTTTATTTTTTTTTTTTTGGGGTTTTTTTTTTTTTTTTTTTTTTTTGGGGAAAATTACCGTACGTCCTGCTTTAGGAAATATAATTAGTCCTTCTTTACATTTTTTAAAATAGATTAATTTTTCTCCGTATTTTATTTCCATTTTGTTATTAGGTCTTTTCTTCATTTTGCATTTTTTTCCCCTAAGTGATTTATAAAATGATGAAAATATCCATTTATCTCTTCTCACATTTGATATATTTTTTAAAATAGATGAACAAATTAGTTTTTTTGTCCTCAAAACACATAGATCATATTATAATTTTTTCAATATTAAAATTTTAAAAACTCTGTATTTTCTTGTTGACTTGATTGAAAGATACAAAAATTGAATAAAATGACTTAATAATATAATGAAAGTGAAATATAGAGAAAAATTGGTATATTTCAAAAAAAAAAAAACGAGGATAAATTAATTATATTTCACGGACCGGACCACGTTGAGTGTACCGTAATTTTTTATTTTCTTATAAATTTATTATGTTTTTTTACTCCTCTATTTTCTATGGCAGTATCATTTTCATCCCTACATGCTGTGATTAAAAATTGACCACGCTATTTTATAGTAGTAGTATATTATTATTTTCTCAAAAGGAAAACATAAATGGACCATACTAGAAAATTTACAATCTTTTTTGTTGTGTGATTTAACTATCTAATCCCAAAATCTAAACCTAATCTATAAATGTGAATGGAAAAAAAAATTTTAGTAATATTTAGTAACGGAAATATTAATATTATAACTGTACAGAATCCATCATCTCTAAATTGAATATTTTGTTATTTACTTATTTTAAATATTAGAGGATTGAGATTTCAACTTACATTTAATATCAAGTCAGTGTTTACAAATTATAGTAATTGACATTTTCTTGGCAATTCAAACTAAAAAAAAAAAAAAAAAAAAAAAAAAAAAAAAAAAAAAAAAAAATCAAGTATTACCCTATATTATATTAATGTGTAGAACAATTGATTTTTATAATTCTTAACCAGACATGGATTCTATGGATCAAAATACCGATAATGGTGAGAACAATATCTATCAATCTAATGACAACACATTCATCTTATTAAGCAAAAGTTCCTGAAAAAAAAAAAAAAAAAAAAAAAAAAAAATCAAGTATTACCCTATATTTATATTAATGTGTAGAACAATTGATTTTATAATTCTAACCAGACATGGATTCTTATGGATCAAATACCGATAATGGTGAGAACAATTCTATCATATCTAATACAACACATTCATCTTATTAAGCAAAGTTCCTGAAAAATTACAGAACTAGATAGAATAGTAAAATATTAAAATAGCTTTTTTAATTTAACCCCTCTTAATTTTTGAAATCTTTCTTCTTTTTTTTTTTTCCCCCCCCTTAATCTTCAATCCTGGCTTGGCTGCTAGTTGCACATGTAGTAGATAACATAAGTTTCAAAACAAGGAAGTGGAAGTAGCCTTAAAAGTTTGTGGTGTCTGATATCAGCATTTCTGTCCCTAAGGAAGATCCCAGGAAATGCATGAACTGTAAACTGAACCACCAGTTCAGCTTTTACTGAGTGAGAAGCTGCTGGAAAGAAATAGAAATATAGAATGAATGGAAATATAGTAATAAATCAGATGTAACTTTAGCCTAAAGTTTTATTGTAGAATCAGCTAAACAGTAATTAATCACAGCATTAGATGTACGAAAAATAATAAGAAACAAGTCAGTTGCTAATTTAATTGAGAAGCAAGAATTTAAACCTAACTTATTCTCATCTGCCTCTGATTTAGATGTTTCTTGCATTTCATTCTTTTGGAGTTTGAGCCTCAAATTTCAATTCTTTGCCAATCAGTTCTGGTCCCCAGCATCGTCAAACTTTCATATTATTAGCATCTGAAATGTTATTATGTGAATGTTCGGATACCAATTAATCACGATAACAAAAATTTTAAAAAAGCAAAAATAAAATTCTCACTTAGATTCTTCGTTGTCATTTGTTAAAAAAGGCACTGCAATCCAGAGGTCTCCTTGGTTGCTGGTTCAATGGGAGAAAATAGGATGCAACATAGATCTGATAACATAATCTTCTATAATTTCCCCATGCAAGGGAAAAATTTCTTGGGATAATTTTTCCAAAAAGGATGAAAATTTTAGTGACAGCTAAGGTCTCTATGAAGAGGATACAGCAAAATTTTCCATGTAAAGTTTCAAAAGGGTTATCGGCATCGTCTTTTAAGTTCATCCTTTCCAGACAACAGCATATGATCCCCAAATATCACATGCAATTGCAGCCTCAACTTCCAGGTACCTTCTTGTTTCCAGCTGCTGAAAATGCCAAAGCAATTTGATACTAAATCCAACTCCAAACAACTGATAATACTATAAAGTAATTAATAATAAGAACAGTAATAGTAATAATAATAACAACAGCGATAATCAATATATGCAGAAAGTTTGAGCACCTGAATTCCCCTCAGCAGATTGTTCCAGATGGCCTAAAGCAGCTCATACAGAATTGATTCTCAGTTAGCATGTAGATTGCATCCCATAGATATATCTCAGAATGCTTTAAAGTAGAAAAAGGTGAACATTCAGCACAAAAAGCACCCTTATTCACAGTTATATATGCACCACCCTTGAGCTGAATATCGCCAAGTTTTCACCACCACGGCAGCTACTTTGCTTCTGTATATAACATAACAATAATCAATGAATTGTACACCTAAAATCCAGCAGTATATGTAACCTCCAATAATAAAAAAGTACAAAATAAAAAAACAAGAATCTGGTCACAGGACAATATGGGGAATCAAAAAAATAGATAATTCTAAAGTTCCAAATCTTTCAATTGCTTCAGATATCAATTTCCATCACTTAGGAGGTCAAACAAGTTAAGGAATGTAATAAAGTAAAACCAGACTAACCCATTCATTGAGCAAATACACATGTGTGCTGGAATTAAAGATCATAATTTCATGAACGTTATGAGTGAAGGCGCAGCATCACGACTACATCCAGAAACATAAGATTTCAGATGTGGAAAAATACTACTACACTTATCTTAAGGAAGCTGAAAAGTTCAGATATATTTAGAAGATTAACAGTAACATCTATACCAAAACAATTAACTTAAAAAGTTTCTGCATATTCCAAAGTCACAAGGAGCATGCAAAAGGATGTCCTGCCTCACATGCTTACTTCCAATCTCCCATTTTTCTCATCATCAAATTGACTAGTTTGAGGCTAATCCTTATACTTTACTAACAATCAGCACATATCAATTAAAGTTTCCTTTAAATGATCGTTATTCAGACCCTGCACCAATTTTATAATCATTTTCTAATCCTTTACATGAGTTTTGTCCAACCGTAAGATGCAGATTTAATTGCGACAACCGTAATCTGCACTAAAATTTCTTTTGTACTAATTGATCGATCTGGTTGCATCACAATGTATGCAGACATCTTGCTTAGCAATCTTGCACACAAAGCTCGCATAACTTTTAAATAGGGATATACAAGGAGCCTGGAGCAACTTAACTCATCCAAGCATAACATTTCATGACTTCACAAAGAATATTACCTTCATCAAATTGATAAAGGGCCACTAAATTTACAACATTTCAAGACAAGAAGAACTGAAATAATAAGTATATAATATACTTTGTATGACACCTAAATTGAGTTCGTGCACAGCACATATGTAACATGCATTTCAGCCTGTTCATATTTTCTGCTCAAGTTTTCATTAAACAGCAAGCAGTACTCTTAATTACCATAAAGGAACTGGAGTAGCAGTTCTTAATATCTACCTACAAACAACAATCAAATACACTAAAAAGTAGAAAATGGTTAAAATGGGGCTCAAAAACTACATCATACACTTGCCAGTAAGATCCTCATGCTGTCATGCCTTAGTAGGTAATTGTTTGACATTAAAGTACAAGTGTGCATTATTTACAGACTTTAATAATGATCCGGATGATAATTAGAAGATAAACAGTTGTACGATTTGATAACGGGCTGATTTATGCAATGCCTATTTGCCGAAAACAACTGCTCGTAACCAACTCAATTTGTAAAAGGCACGTGTCTTACATTGAATAGCAATGTCGCGCAAGATCATGCATGCTCTAGATAACGACAACGGCGTGCATGGCTCATGCAGTCCTTGAATAACGACAATGACGTGCATGGCTCATGCAGTCCTCGAATAACGACAAATAACACATTTAATTTATCATAGGATCACATTACCTTAAATTGGTTAAGAACCGAAAATCTAACCTTTTTCCTTTTTTTCCTTTTAGCACTGCTAAATGCATATTCAGAAAAAAAAACAATGCAGATGCACAAAACGTGGAAGTCAAAGAATCTCACTTATCTTAGAATGATTTAAGAATCTGTAATCTAACTTATCATTTTTCTACTTTTGGCTCGAATAAATGCATATTCGGAAATAAAGATAATGGCGACATGAAACGTGGACGTCAATCACAACATCATACACCAATTACTTGGGGTACAAAAGATATTTCAGTATATCGGCTAACAAGAAACTGTATCTCGTGAACTATCACACAAAACAAAGCTCAACAGAAGCATTTCATTTCACGGATATTCAAAACATAAAGGCTGAAATTATTAAAACCCATTAGATTGATAGTTATTATGTACACCGGCAACTACTTGAAAGATGAACTATAACATTAACCCTTCTAATTTGCAATGAGCTCCTTGTATAGAGAAAAGGCACGAAAACAAGATGCATTTGTTACCCTTTCGTCCTTACAGGCTCAAACTTTGTTACATTTTCAGCTGTTGTCAAAAAGTTGGGCAGTCATTCACCACCGAGTTTCCCAGTTTACATGAATGAATCACCTAACCCTGTATGAGCAGCAGAGTATCATCATGCTATGCTTAAATAAAAAGCAGAAATAAAAGTATCAACTTGTAATGAAATAAAGTGCAAATGAAAATGCCATAATCATATGCTTGTAATTGCTTAAAACCAATCCAATCAAGTGAGATACTTTCTCTTCTTTGATGCTGTTTGTCCGCTTTTTACTCACCTCCGTAAGAAGTAGCTTCAGAAAGATTAAGTTTTTCAATATTTACCAACAAAAACAACATTTACCCAATTTTTATCCTGTCTTATTGGCTTATCCATCCATCAAACACAAAATAAAGAAAGTTTGATAATTCTCAAAGATCAATATCAGACCTTCAGATGTGGTTCAGAAACTCTGTATGCATCAGGCGTAATCGATGACAGCCACAATCCAGGAAAAAGGCACTGCAAAACCATCATAAAATAATTGATTTGTTAGCTGCTCGAAAATTTATTAATTTTAAGGATAATTACCATAGATTTACAGGAATCAAAACAAAGAAAAGAAAGTAGAAACTAGAGGATGAATTAGAAATAACGGAAATCGACTTGCATCAAGTTGTTTCTGCACAGGTTTAGCTCTCTTCTTCGGCCTCCTCGCAGGCTTTGACCCAGTCAAAGCATAGATATCCTCTTCAATTTCCGCTTTGGTAAGCGGGATTGAGAACTTCACCATCTCCACCTTCTCCTTACCCTTCCCTTTCTTCTCACCCACCTTAGCACCGTTAGCATTCCGCGACCCAATCAATTCAGGGCGACTCGTTTCCTGAGCTTTAGTTTCCGGCGCGGCAGTTCCACCAATCTTCAGTAAACCTCCATTCCCATTAGAAGCCTTAGTCACAGCTCTTCTAGGCCTCAGATTCCATGTCTTCATCAGTGTTTCGTCCGCATCATCCACAACCGAGGTCTGATCCCCCGCATTCGCAACGTCATCAGCACACTTGCTGCTCTTAGTCTTAATGCGAATAAATATTTTGGATTTCCTGTCAGAATTGTCAACTGAGAGCCCCGATTTTTTCTCAGGTTTCTCAGTCCTCCGAATGGGATACGCCTCCGAGTTGCCAGTTTTGGCAGCGTGAAATACCGGATTCCCATTGAATTCTGAGGTGTCACAGTGAGGGGATTTGTAGGAGGAATGGGAAGCAGGCTTGCGAATGGGATATGCCTCTGAGTTGCCAATTTTGGCGGTGTGAAATACCGGATTCCCACCGGACTTTGAGGTGTCACAGTGAGGGGATTTGTAAGAGGAATGGGAAGCAGGCTTGCGAATGGGATACGCGTCCGAGTTGCCAATTTTGGCAGCGTGAAATACCGGATTCCCACTGGACTCTGAAGTGTCACAGTGAGGGGATTTGTAAGAGGAATGGGAAGCAGGCTTGCGAATGGGATACCCGTCCGAGTTGCCAATTTTGGCAGCGTGAAATACCGGATTCCCACTGGACTGTGAGGTGTCAAAGTGAGGGGATTTGTAAGAGGAATGGGAAGCAGGCTTGCGAATGGGATACGCCTCGGAGTTGCCAATTTTGGCAGCGTGAAATACCGGATTCCCATTGGACTCTGAGGTGTCACAGTGAGGGGATTTGTAAGAGGAACCGGAAGCAGGCTTGCGAATGGGATACGCCTCCGAGTCGCCAATTTTGGCAGCGTCAAATATCGGATTCCCATTGGACTCTGAAGTATCACAGTGAGGGAATTTGTAAGAGGAATCGGAAGCAGGCTTGCGAAAGCGGTGGCTGTTAGTATGGTGGTTTATAGACCATTTCAGGTCCGGTAAGGAGAAGTTATGGAGAGGCTGGTGAGGTTTAAGAGTTGAAGAAGCCATGCCGGTGAGTTTGTTAGTGTCTGTAGGCTGTGACTTCTTTGTTCTGGCGAATGAACGAAACACCATTGCTGGATGGGAAGAGAGAAAGGTTTCTCTGCCCTCTGATCCTGTTCGAGGCTTCAATGGAGTAAAATCCAGCCCTTGTAATGACAAAGAGCAAGATAGGACTTGATCAAAGAAAAAAACTGATATTGATTGGCTATAGAACTGCAATGGAGCAAAATGAATTCTAGAAACTCGAGAAAATTGAAAGGAAAGAGATACAGATAGGAAAATGAACACCCAAAGACTGAAAATTTTTGAAGAGAGGAAGGAAGGAAGAAAGAGAGAGGAATTGGAGAAGAGGAGAGCGAGCATGTGCTTGTGTGCGTAGGAAGAGCTGAGCAACAGTTACTTGTAGTGCTCCAGGAACTGGAATTGAATCAAAACAAAGAGCCATTTGTTTTTTCCAACGTGACGATATTGCCCTCGTGTGGATTTTTATTTCCTGCATTGCCCAGAGAGCGGTTAGGGATTCGGTACGGTTACATTACAAGTGTACAATCAAATGGGCTCTGTTTGGCAATGTGATTTGTAATAATCCTAACTAGTTAGGAACTACATTGAGTTTTGAATTTTAATTCAACAGAGACTTCCATTTATTCCCAATTCAACTTTAAATGGGATTATTTATCTGAGGTAGAATGAATACAATGCAGCTATCTGAGGAAAATTTACTAAATATTATTGGTACATTTTGTAATTTTTTTATTTATTTTTATGGGATCTATACTCTAATTAATTACTTCCTTTTAATTTCTAAATTTGACAGTTTTTAACTTTTTATAAAAATTAAGAAAATGATTAAATTATCCAAATTTTATAAAAAAATAAGGATAATTAACTAAATATCTTTTAATTAATATTCATTTGATAAAAATAATATTTAGTGCAGATACCTAGACAACAATAAAATAATGAATGAAACTGTGAAATTTAAAGAATGAGGAGTATCTAAGTTTTTTTTATTATTACTATTATTAGGAATGAACTAAAATATTAATAATAACTAGAAAATATCAAATCAAAAATGAAAATGATATAATTTGGATACGCTCAACAATGCAATAATACTCCTTTACCATAAATAACTCATCAATAGTTGACATTATTTATTTAAATAAGTAGTATTAATTAAAAAACTGCAAATTTAATATTTGGTCATATTGCCTTGATTGGTTTGTTGTTTGATTCCTTTATCAATTTCATATTATAAGAAGTATATATTATATTATTAATTTAATTACATTATTTTTCCATAAGATCAGGAAATAATAGTTAAACCACCTTCGTATTTCACGCCATCAATATAAATTCATACTGACCTCAAAAACCTGCTGTATCTTATAAGAAGAGATGGTCTGAATCTCTCTGAAGCCTTGGAAGGTAAAATTAGTTATTTTAATAATTATTAGTTATTTTATGTAGTTATTTTATTAGATTATTATCAAATCAAATATTAAATAGAGCAACATTTCATGATACAATTCTTCAAACTCTAAACAATATAAAAATTACGTTACGGAATACTATAAATAATAGAAATAGTATTTTAACTTAGTGAAAACAGTAAAAGCTATATTAAAAGTTGTTTCTCAAAATTCAATCGAAGAAATCTGACTATTGAGATTTGAGAACTTGAACAATAAATTGTCTAAGAGCAAGTTGAATTTACATTATGGAAAAGCAAATGTTATAATTGTCCAATAACAAGCGTTATAGTAAAATAATACCACAAATCCAAATCAGATTATAGGTATGACTGAGAATCTCACAAGTCCTATGCCAAAACACCTAAATTTGGATATTATGCCCTGCAAATGTTTAACTCTCCACAGACAATTTAATATTGCAGTTTAATTACGAAATTGAAGAAATTGCTTTTTCAGCACGTGTGTTACATGCACGCAAACCAAATATGAACGTGGAATAAGCATACCTGGGACATATGTGGTTTCTGTTTTTCTTCACTGGCTACCAATCGTCATATGGTCTACATCATCTCATTGCCACGTGTATATGGAAAACACTAGGGATATATTTTTCTTCTGTCATCAATTTGTCTGCACTATTAGTCTACTTTAGACCAATAAAAACCACTCTAAATCAATACTATGGTCTATTAAAAGTTAAACCCCAACAACCTAATTTGAGATATTGCAATTTACTAGTTGTTTGTCAGTAATAGGGGCTGCAATTGCCATATGCAACCATAGCTTACTCCTCATATGCCAAATGGCCAGACAAGACAGACTTGCAATTGCAAATCCTAGTAAATACACTACTACATTTGAAAATGGAACTTCTGCAGAACTAGGTTTAAGTTGCAAATGACCATGAGGGTATAAACAGGGCCCACATAATCAATTTCTGTTTCTTTTTTGGCAAAACAACTTAGATAAATCATTAGAAGTACCTGATTCAATGTACACTATCATCTGTAGGATAGAAAAAGCTGTGTGGTCATGAATTAGCATGAAAAGCTGTCACTCCTCACCTCTGCCAACGCCAATGTAGGGCAGAAACTGAAAATTGTACATAGCATTTTCTTCATGCAGGGTAAATTCCGAGTCAGAGACTGTTGCTTGCAACATCAGAAGCATATGGCTGAGAACTTTCTGTGCTTTTATTTCCCACATTTTTTGAATAGGTGAAGAGAGGTGGAACGAAGCCTGATAGATGCGACCTGTAAGTTTTCCTTGGTATTGCTTATGCTTCTGGCTACAATTTCAATGCATCCTTTAGTAAATTTATGCTCTAGAGGAACTGAAACTGTGCAATGGCATTGTTGCATTAGTCAACCTGTCAATGATTAGCGATTTTAGCCTAATAGCAACAAGGAATTATAAGAATATTAGCGGTAGTAGCAACAAGATATCCAAGATCAGTGTTTGATTCTTACCCTCACCAACTTCCAGCCTTCACAATGTTCAAACTGTTTTTTCTTTTTTTCCCCAAATCGATTGCTCAGACAACAAGATCAGCGAACACATTAGTTGCAACATCAAAACACAGAAATTTAAGTTCAGACATCCATAATAATTATTTGCTTAAAATCACATATTGATGCATCATAACACAGCATTCATCCAAGAAGAAACTTAACAGTTTTTCAAGCATTCTTCACACCTTGCTTTCACCTCTCATAACAATGAAGCCATCTACCAACTCTACAGCATTCATTTGCCATCACAGGAAAAATAATTATCATCTTCCAGATTTCAACAAAAGAGAAGTATTTCGTTTTAAGCCTATGGCATAGCCAACACAGAATCTTCTCATCACCTAGGTGCAAACAGTTAGAGAATGCCTAAATTGGAATAACCCTCATTTTCTAAACACAAGATATGGTTATTTCTAAATGAAAGATCCAAAAACATTGTAGAATAATGGATATTTTCATGATTGTGATAAATGAACTCGAAATTTCTATAAATGTGCTGCAGTGCCGCAAAATAATAATAATAACAATAAATTGTAGGTAAAATATCACAAGTCATTACTAAGTACTAAAAAAAATTAAGGACTATGAAATACAATTTCTTTTTGAGTCAGAAAACAAAACTTACTTGGATGAAGTAGATGTTCACCATTTTCAATTACAACATCAAACTGCTGAAAATTTTCTAAAGGTTGCACCTTCATAGCTAAATTTATAAACTGGCAAGCTGTTAAATTCAGTATGAAGCAAAGGCTAGGAACTAGGATCTAAGGAAAACATATGATGCAGTGGTCACCCAGCAATTGAGAAATAAGGACATGATTAAGGTATGTCAATTTAGAAAGTTAAAACTACAAATTTGTATACACAGATTTAATAATTCGTGAGAAAATAAATTCACATCCCACACCATACACCAAGAACCAAAGTGCTCGCATGCTGCAGTGACTAAATTGAAGTATTTACTGAACTTCATTCATTAGTTTGTGCTTTATAATGAGAAACGCTCAAACCAATGTTTTAGAGCTGCAGGATGAATTCCATATATGCGAGCCATAAAATTCTTTTCACTAGTTGCTACAATACTTGAAATAGAGTAATTCTGCATACAAAAACCCCTTTCTTTAAGCCACATATGGAATCTATACCTGGGTTTAATTCGATTCTCCAAGTTATAACACAGATATGCAGGAAAAATATATAGGTACTCCAAAGAGGAACTCATTTCCTGGCACAGGAAATTCATTTTCTGTTCTAGTATTTCTGCTTTTTGGTTTAGGATCTTTGGCGCGGTATTTATCATCATACAGAGCTTTGAGAATGAAATCCCTGAACGAAGAAGGCAATCAAATCGCTCCTGTAATTCAGTACTAGTACCATGCAAATGAGTTAAGACCTTGGCTGTTATAGCATTTTCTCCAAACCCAATTCCATGCACAAAATCCAACTTGCACATTGTATGAGTGTGGGTTCTGGAGACTCGAATTCTCTCCAAGATATCAGTAAATTCTCTATCCAAATCTTCATCAGGGTCTCTCATAGCATAACTAGCTAATAATTGAGGATCTCCATCCTTGAGTTTATCGAAAAACCAAGCATGCAAATCCATAGCTTTCATCACGTGCGGTAAATTGGCCATTTTATTTCTCCCCAATACGTGAGGATAATGTTGGGTAATAACTTCTAACTTATTATCAGTAAACCCAAAATGTTTCAGTAATCCCTTGACTGAAATTAAAGGTGTCACCAAATCAAAATTCAATATTTCTGGTCTTTGAAGTAGCAACAAACCAACAGCTTCTTTTCCAACCCCAAATCTAGAAAAATACTTAATCTTTTGGACCAAAACCTCTACTGGGTAATCAACAAAAATATTTTTACTCTTACCGAACAAATCCCCCAGCTTCCCCTTTTCAAAACCCAAATCATAGAACAACCGAAGTTTGATACACATCTCATGCCAAGCATCCACATTTGCTTCAACGCAATTAGCCATGCCATAATCAAAGACGAACCTTTTCATGTCATCAAATAAGGCATCAATTTCCTCGCTCAAGTCACCGCTCAGAGTGTAAGGAAAAGCCAGACAAATACCAATAATTGGAATATTACCAAATCCTAGTTCTTTAAACCTATTAAGCCTAGACGTTAACTCCTCAGAACCCCTGCTAAAAATAGAACTATCCTCCTTACACAATGTGCCCAACTTGTTCCACGGAAACCCAAACCCAGCAAGCGTACAAGCCGCATTCAATGCACTCTCATCCTCAGAAAAGAAAAACTTTTTTGTGGGCAAAAACAAGTGAACTTCATTATAATCAATCCCAATGCTTTCATAAAAGAATTCGAATTCGTTTATGGGATGGTAACTGAGAAACTTCCGCACGGACTTTGAAAAATCGGAGACTGAGAAGTCAACGTTGGCAATCAGATTGGAAAGAGAGATAAGAGAATTCTTACTAATGTGCTCTGCGAAGGCGTAAGGCAGTGACCTCGTGGAGTGGAGGTAGTCAGTGAGAGCTTGCTGGGCCTCACGGATTACTTGCTGCTTGTACTTCCACGGAATTTTTGAGACTCTTGGAAGAGAGCTGAAGTGCCGGCATAGCATCGTACAGAAAGATCTCGACACGGTCATGGTCAGCTGTCCTTTTCGTTTTTAGGGTTTTAACTTTGGCATGAAAGTCCTATTGTCTAGTGTAGTAGCACTCGCTGTAAGGGTATATTTGTAAATTTACACGTATGGCAAAGTGATCTTCAAAGCGAAATAAAGCCCTTGACTTTGAGATTTGTTTCGCAAATTTTGACATTTCGCTCAATTTTTCTCTTCTAGCCTCATGTATTTCCCTTACCCTTACACGCAATACTATCCCCAGACGACGTCGACAATGATGGCCCAGCCCGGTGAGATTCCGATGAACCCACCCCCTCCACCGGTGACCATGCCCCAACCGGAATTTTACTCTACGACGAAACGCCGCCGTGACGATTTTGACGGTGCGTGGGCTTCAGCAGGTGAGACAGAAGGATCGGCTCCAAAACGGGCCAAAGCGCAAGATGTTATATTTAGGATCGTAGTGCCGTCGAGGCAGATCGGGAAAGTTATTGGGAAGGAAGGGTGTCGCATACAAAAGATTCGAGAAGAAACCAAAGCCACCATCAAAATCGCTGATGCTATTGCGGTACTCTTCGATTTTTCATTGCAACTTATTCAATTAGGGTTACAAATTAGAATTTTCTTTTTTACACAAAGATTAAAGAAATGCGGTTCTTTTGTTATTTATGCAGCGACATGAAGAGCGTGTCATCATCATAAGCTCGAAAGAAAGTGAAAATGCTTTATCCGACGCCGAGAATGCCCTCAAGCAAATAGCCTCCTTGATTCTAATGGTGAGATTGGAAAAATTACATCAATCGTCAAAGTGGCACATATCTACTACCATTACCAAATTATATATTATACAATGGATTTGATTGGATGTTTGACTTTGGCTTTATTTTTGAATTTATATATACAGGAAGATGATAGTCCAGCAGAAGCATCAAAATTAGTTGGTGCAGGACATGTGGCTGCAAACACTATAAGGCTCTTAATAGCAGGTTCGCAAGCGGGTTATTTGATAGGGGTATCTGGTCAAAACATTGAGAAATTAAGGAATTCATCTGGGGCCACTATCACTGTACTGGCTCCAAATCAGCTGCCTTTGTGTGCTTCTGCTCATGAATCTGATAGGATTGTGCAGGTTAGCTTGTAATCTTCAATTTAATTTCTTTTATGTATGGTTAAGCCTGGCTAATTTAAAGCAGCTTTATAGTGCTACTAGAAGGAATATTATGGAAATTTGTGTTAAATGTAGATTTCCGGGGATGTACCTGTTGTGCTGAAGGCTCTAGAGGAGATAGGTTGTCAACTCAAGTAGGTGTTGTGTGCATTTTTTTTCTTTTTTCATTGATGTTTGTTCTTGTATTTGTTTGGAAAAAATATGGGATTATTATGCTTCAATTTCATGTGTTTCAGGGAAAACCCACCAAAACAGGTGATTTCTATCAGTCCAACATACAACTATAGCACGTTCCGACCCACTCAACCGTATGTGGACCCAGCTTCAGGTTATTCAATGTTTCATCCTTTAGAACAATCCTATCTTCCAACTGCTACATTATGTGGCTGTATCAAGTTTTAATATTTTGTGTTATAACCACATCATCTTTAGGACAAACAATCTTGCAGCTGATTATGTAACTTTGGAGATGATGGTCTCGGAGACATTGATTGGTGGCTTGATTGGCAGAAGTGGCTCCAACATATCAAGGATCAGAAATGAATCTGGAGCAATGATCAAGGTGGGTGGGTCATCAGTTCTTAAGCTTTAACTGCTAGGTTAATTTGTTGCCACATGCCATGCAGCACTGGAAGTGTTATAAAGTCACATATTAAAGTGCTCGTCTGATTGAGATAAAGGTGTTCGTGGAATTTTATCATTTCTGGATTATCAAATGCCGTGTTTGCATTTTTTAGGTTTATGGTGGAAAAGGTGAACAAGAACATAGGCAAATACAATTTGGTGGTACTGCTCAACAGGTACAGTACTCTATTTTCAAGGACTCGTTCCTAAGAATTACTAGTGCTTTTTTTATCAAAGGAAATAAGTAAAATTGATGAAGTGATCCATTAGAATGTATGGTGTTAATGTTGGTGTCTATCTTGTTGCTTGGATGTTGGCAATCATTTTCACCTAGGGCTTTTGTTAAAAGGCTCTGCAAAATACCTGTACTGCTAGATTAAAGTAAAAGGGGGAAAATTATATGTTTTCTAAAAGTTTGTCAAAAATAGAATTCTTCAGATTATTTGATGTTGGTTGAAAGTGCAGTTGGGTTTTAAGGCGAAATTATTCGAGGTTTCTCTTTTATTTTTATATTTGTTTATTTATCTTTGAATTGGTGAGAATATGTGACAGGTAGCATTGGCAAAGCAGAGAGTGGATGAATACATTTATTTTCAGCTGGTACAACAAGCTGGTGCTCAACCTCAACAGTCATAGTAAGTAGTCCAGCCTTTATTATAATATGTTCTTCAAGGTGTTGAACATAACTTCCTGTTTTGTGAATTCGTTGGTATTGGTGTTGGTTTTAGGTCTGATTACAGAAAGTTAATTGTCTTATGGGTTTATGTAAACATATTCATACTAACATTTATCAAAAGGCCAACCTTGTATGTAGCTCATTGTTCTTCCGTTTTCATTTTTGTTCCTTTCCCTCTTCGTTACTCTGTGGCTGAACTAATAGCTTTACCGAATTTGGATGAATGAGGTCCATTGTTTTGGGCCTTTGCATGATAAGTGTGCTCTTGAAGCTGCTTCCAATGTTATCTTCTTTGCATCCTCTCCTCATTTTCACCTCTTTTTCTCAGTTTTCAGAGATAATGAAAGCTGGAAGGTCAAGAAGTTTATGAAAATGGGTTGGCACAATTTCTTCTCAACAGCTAGTCTCTCTCAATACTTATATCCCACCAATGTTGATATAAAGATGAGCCGTGTAGTTGGATGACCCATGCTTTTTGCAAGGATGATGTACAAGAGTGCTTACTTAGTGTCCAGGTTCCTTAATATTAGTGCGTAATTGAACAATTCCCTGGTATTGTAATGGTTGATTTTGGGAGAGTCAAATTGAAGTTTTAAAATCCTTCTCTGTAGACATGAATATTCATTAGAAGAAGTTCAATATTGGATAACACCACAGGACTATGGATTAGATTTCTTTCAGTGTCTTGAACTCTAATAATTTTATCAGGGGATTCATAATGAATCTTCTACAGATTTAAATGGCAGATGAAATTTGAGAGCGGGATCCTAAACCAACTAAATGAGTCCAAGTGATCAATGTGTAAAGTTCAAAGAAAACAAATCCAGGTAGGAGCATGGCGTTGAGGTTTTCTTTCTCACGCACAGATGTCAGAACACAACTTCAAGGTGAAAAATGAAAAAGGTTGATTCTGCTTTAAAGCAAGTATGCTTGCTTGCTTTAAAATTTGAACTGTCAAAAAATGACTATCATGAGAATAGTAACTGCATCAATTGTTCTTCCCCATTTTTACAACATTGTCCCTCACAAAGGAAAGTATGGGCTTCAAATTAAACTGCCGATGCATGTCTTTGGGTCTTGAGTCCAAACAAATTCTCAAATAATTTGGGGGCCATAGGAGGAATGTTCATGGGTTGAGGAGCCATGAAATTTACAATCTTCTCATGGACATTGTACCTATAAGAAAATAGTTTAGAATGAAAATAATAAATGAATACAACCTACTAGCTTAAAAATGAATGACCAAAAGTAAAAAGATAGTGACTAAAAGCTAGTTGCATGGCCAGACACACATATACCTGATCTTGCGACTCTTTGAGGCTCTGCGATCAACGATCTTTCTCTTCTTCTTTTGCAATCTTTTCAGAGCATAAAAAGCAGTCTCTGAGGAAACAAGTAACATTCAGATCAATTCATGGGGGTTTAAATTAAATGCATAAAAGTTCAACATAAGTTCATAAATGAAACCGCGTAGAATCCTTAAGCAGCTATGCTTAGAAATGTTCATTGTGAACCCAACAATTGTCAACCTTAGCATCATGCATTCTTTGCAAGATAATAAGATTGAAATTTGGGCAGTCAAACTGCATATCCAGCCTGTGCAGACACAGAAAGATTAAAATTTGTGTTGTGCAAGTACTAACCAGAGGATGTGGGATCAGTTGTCTCAAAAAATTCCTTTAGTAATTGCTGATAAAATTCGGTGTCATCAAGAAGCTCAGGATCACCATCAAGCCTTGCTTCCTAATCAGATTAAAAGGTCTTGTTAGATTGACAGAAATCTAACTTCAATACCATGTCCAAAAGTAATACTGATGGTGATCGGTAGAGAAATACTTAAATAATTTACATTTCTATATGCAGTCATTAGATTTCCAATACTCTCAGTACTAGGTAGGCACTGCCCTCATCCTACACCTTGATTCAAGCTCATGCATTAAACCCTTTACAAGGTGGGATGGTGGGACCTGTTACCCTTTACAAAACCCAACATAAAATATTACTTGGATTATTTAGTTCAGCTATATGAGCACAGATGATGAATTACCTCTCCACTGGTATCTCCAAGCGGCTCAACAACCTGACCATATTTAATGCAGGTAATCAGTACTTTTTTTTTTTCTTTTAAGACAGAGGGGGGACTCCCCTACTCCTTATATCATTTGAATTTCTCATCATTTCTGAAACTAAACTGGAAAGAGGTGAAAATTGACTTAACAGTTCCAAATACGCTGATTGTTGATCTGCTTTGTTGCATTTGCTTCAGCATTCTGCTTGGATCCCTCATATAAGAAGCAACTTGTTCACTTATGTTCTGTGGATGGAAAAGGAAGATCCAGTAAGTATCATTATCAACCAGTGGCAAATGCATCTTCAGTTAGGTACAAAGCCAAACCTGATTAAAAGCCTGAAATTTTCCCTTAATAGCAGCAGCACCAGTAGTCACCTGTGCCTTTCTTTGCCATTTATCAATTGATTTGTCTCTAAAAGGAGCTATTCTGCAAGATAAAAGTTTTGGACTTCCACATATATCAAACTTTTTTCATATCAACAAACAACAATTGGCCATTTCATGGGTTCATTTCATGGGTTGAATACCTTGGAATATTTGACCATTTGGCCATTCACATTTAAGTTATTATTTAGTCCCTCACATTTATTATTGAATTACTATCTAGTCCCTCACTTAATGGCAAATGCAGAGCATATATATCATGCATAAAACAGACATTCAAATGAAAATATGGCAGCATATATTAACTTTTCCGAGCGGATATTTGAAACAAAAGATTCATACAGTCGACCCCAACTAGTTTGGGACTAAGGCTTGGTTGTTGCTGGATACAGCAGGCGTTCAAATGAAAATATGGAAGCATCTGAAAATTTCAAGGCAGACATTTTAATATAGATGATAGGTTTCATTTCACGAGCATTAAAAAAAAAAAAAAAAAGAACTTGTCAGTTGGACGAGTAAGACAGACCTTGATCGACCAATTATTCTCAGCAAGACCACTAGTTTCACACATGAAGAAATAGAACACCAAGAAGAACTAGAAAATTATGTGCTTCCTAAAAGACACATGGATTGCCAGCCTCCTTGCAATCAAGGGGAAGGTTTCCCCACAAATCACCAAAGTGGTATTCAAAGAAAAATAGAAAACCTCTTTTACAGACAGAATAAAAGATAAACAAGAATAAAGCATGGATGAATGAAATACCTCCTGTGCATTTCAGAAACTCGTGACCATTCTTCATCACTTTCCATATCCGAGTTCTTAGAATCTTTTGAAAGCTTCTTTGCAGAGTGTCCAGAATTACCTTGAGAAGAGAACAAAAAGAAAAAGAAAATCATATGGAGCAAACAAAAGAAAAGAATATTCCGCTCCATTTGAAAGTGTGTAATGTTATTTGGACGAGTGTGTATGGATTTGAATGATGAAAAAATTAACTCGAGAATCATCTTTTCATCATGAAACTACAACACGGTAGGAATAAAACAGAGGAATAAAACAGACTCCACTTGTAATTTTTTATCTAACTTAAAATACAAAAACTCAACTAATGAAGTCAATAACCACTTGTAAAGAGATATGTGGAAATTTCAGAATTATCTAGCACAGATTATTGGAAGGATGATCAAACCCACAAATTCCCTGTTCCATGATGCAGGACTTTATTCAGACAGGCATGACAAGGCAAAATAATTATAAACAATTGACCAAGAGTATGACAATTTCAATTTCAAATCACCAATAGAATAAGTATGACAACAATTTCCATTGAATATCAAAGGGCGTCCACAGCACTATCTGCTAAAATTAAATAAACAATTCCATAAACACTCAGCAGAATGTTGAAATGTAGACAAGTTTTGTACATACATACCATTGGAAGATTGAGAAACAGATGGATTCTTCTCAAGCAAAGCCTGAAAAGTATCGGGGAAAAAAAAAAAAAAAGCTGTAAATCAAGAAAACAGTTTGTGACAGTAATTCACAACAATGAGGAAGCACAATCGTTTATTCTTGGTAGCTAAAATACCTCCTGCAATTCCAATATAGATTCCAATGTCTTCTTGGATGAGGCAATCACATCAGCATAAGTTGTGCCAACTCCTCCATCTAAATCACAAAATGAAGACCTAACTGGTTCCTGCAGAAAATGCCTCAAAATTAAATAGATCATGATGTTGCAAAGTCTTATTCAACAAAAACATAAATAAGTAAGAAATTACAGCAAAAAGCTTGCCTGTGGCAATCTATTTGAACTTGAAAATGCTTTCTGAAGTAAGAATCTAAACTCAAGAGTTTTGTCCCAGAGAGCCTTTAAGAATGAGTCAAAGAGAAGTTCGCAGATGTTCCAACAGAAAACGAACCAATCAGATCGAAAAAGTGAATAACACATTATTAATGATGACAGTATGAACTAAAACTAACGGAGCATTTAGCAAAACCACCTTTTGGTTCCTCACTGCTTGACCTTTAAGAACATCCTCATCCTTATAGCGTTTGAGATTCTTCAATATATCTCTGAAAGAAGAAATATGTTGACAAGATCTATTAGTAGTGGGCATTGTAATGTCATAACTCAATCCATAAAACTAGTACGAATCTTTCTAATAATCTAAATTCTTCCACTAACAATAATGTATCTATTTTAGAGTTGAACCTTTGCCTAGCAAAAACTTCCAAGACATTTGATTTTAACTGCAACCAACATATATATCAAATTCATGTTCGCAATCCATCTCAGTGAGAAAAAAAGGCTGTAAAAAGCTGAGAAATTCTTACTGCTCTTGGTTGCGAAGATGAGTATACTCTTTCTCAAGGTCTTCCATGTCAGCATCTTTATCGCTATCGTTCTGAATTTCTTCCTCTCCATCACTCTCACTCTCAGCATCATCATCGTCTTCTTTCTTCTTCTTCTTCTTCTTCTTCTTCTTCTTCTTCGATATCATCATCATCAAAATTTTCTTCCTCTTCCATCTGCAGCATCAATCCTTAGAGTATAAGATCATGATATCATCACCTAAACAGCATGTAATCAAAAATCAATGCCAAACTGACCATCAGCTTCCGATTTTCAAAATCATCAAACTCTTCTGATTCACTGTCGCTATATCTTGTTTTTTTGGATCGCTTTTGCGACCCCATGCTTTACTCCTAAAAATTCAAGGAAGACAGATTAATAATCAGTTCTCCAACATAATCTGATAAAGAAAGAATCTGAACTCTGAATCCACAAAATGCACAAGAACTCAAAAAGAGCACTAGTAACTCTAAGCTAAGATTCCTCTTCCAACTTCTTGATATTAATTGAAAGTACTCAATTCGATACTCTCTTCGCATAAACAGTACCTTTTGGAGAAACTGAGACCAAATGCTGGAGCAACCCTGTTCCTATTATGAATAGATTAGAACATTATCGTCGTCGTCATCTCCAGGGTTTTACGATGTCAAAACCCTAAAAAGTAAAAAAGAACCGTGGGCTCCGAGACAGACTTCAGGCCAACCCAGTATTAAGCCCAAAACTATTAACATGAAAGTTTTTGGGCCTAAATTTCAAAGGGGCGATAACTAAATTGTTACCATCTTACAGTTATTACTTATTAGTCCACGTCTTTTTATAAAGAATTAATAAAATTATTAAATAGTTCTATATATTTTTTTAAAATAGTTATAATCATGGAACACTTGACACTCTTATTCTTTTAATTAAAAGTTTCGAATTCAAATGTTAAGTATGAAATTTCAGTAATCGGGACGTAATCAAAATCTAGTGAGCCTTAGACACCAGGGGTTATAAACTAAAAAAAGCAGTTATAATTGAAAATTAGAAATTTTCTGCTAAAAATTAACTTACAATAATGCCCTTTAAATTTTGAAATATAAGAATTGAAAGTGAAATAAACTGAATGATTTTTGTTGTGGTTTGAAAAGTGAAATTTGGAATGCGATGGTACCTACCTGACAAAAGGGATAATGTGTTTATGGAATGTGGAAACCAAAAAAAACCAAGCATCGATTCCATTCGTTGCCTGTAGATAGAGATTGAGAGAGATCACGTGGGCAACCATGTGAGAGCCCCACTCCACTCATCATCTTATTACACGACACAACACAACACAACACAACAACTGCCTATATTTGGGTAAGCTCCCCGCACGTGCAGCCACTGCCAACCATGCACATGATCTTCTTCTTCTCCAGCGAATCTCCACCGTCAAAACGGTGCCAACTGCGAACCACATCTTGTATTACTATTTGGTCTCCAAATTCTATGGGGGAGGGGAAATGAATCTTGCGAAACTTTTTAAAATCAAATGATATTCATATATAGAGTCGGGATTGATTCCATGCGAGCACACCACACGTGTGTCTCTTTTTATTTTGTTTGTCTACGTACTATGATGTTCTTATTATTCTAAAATAAAATCATTGAATACTTACTTTATCCCTTCAATTTGTATGCGATGTTTAATTCGCAGGTCGAAAATAAATGCTAGCTTTCGAGGAAAAATAATATTTATTGATTTTACATATGGATGGAATTTATACACCCTTGACTATAATTTCTTTAATTTATATTTTAATTTTTTTACATAAAAAAATGAGTTCTTTGCATAAAAAATAAAGTCTACAATTAAAATAAATAGCTATTTTTAAGATGGAAGAATTGAACAGTGATACGAAAGCATAATTTATAGTATCTTAATAACTAAGTTCCAATTTAAATATAATTGAGGGATTTAGTTATATATTTCCTTAAATAAAAAAAATAAAAAAAAAAAAAAAAGAAAAAGGAGAAAATGGTATCCAATGATTGGAAAAGATAGGGTGTCTGCAAAGAAAGGAACAAGATGACACGCGTGGGTGCGAATGGGACCACGTGTGATATATATGAAACGTGGCAACAAACGCATGCTACTTCACGTGAACTCTCTCTGACATACATTGCCTCTCTTCCTTCCCCTCACGTGATATTCGTAATTCTGCAGTCCCCACTCTCTCGCTTTTCCTCCACTTGCAATTTTTAAGTTGACTTCATAATCTATCCACTTTATTTACTTCTATCAATTTTAACTTTATTAAAATTAATTAATTAAGATGAAATAAAGTGTTAGCAGGCAATCGAAACAAAGCATTAAGCATCTCGCCCTTTCCTTTATAAACGCTTTTGGTCACATGCAATGGAAATGGGTTTCGCTAAGGTTTTGAAATGGGATTCCAACCAGTTTGATTCTTCCTAATACAAAACTTGAATTCAAAAGGAAGAAAACATCTTCCCCCTAAGATTTTTCAATCAATTTTTTTTTTTTTTAATGGCGTGCAAGTCATGAAAACTACACAAGTGAAGAAGACAGCCTGTGTCGGTGTCCACACCCTAACTTTTTTAGTTTTGTAATGGCATCATAATTAGTTTAGTGTGACTGACTGTCATTATATCCTCTAATTAATCTTATGATTATGTGATGATGAGAACTTCCACACTTCCAACTCAACGACAAAATTCAACTTCTTACCTATTATAAATTATAAATAATTATTTATTTAATCTTTATATTCGGACATTGTTTTGATTTCTCTAAATTTGAAAATAAAAGAGAATTTTTTTTTCTTCATAATTATTAAGATTTGCACTTTCTCAACATTGCACATGAGAGAGTCATAAAAAAAATCTGATATAGTCATCTCATGGTACGGACCATACCATAGGAGAATCGATAACGAGGTATAGACAACGGGAATTGTCGGCTGGTGATGGATTCCATAATTGGAGGAACACACGTGGGACAGCTAGCACACGTGGGGAAGACGAACTCAATCATCAACCAACAAACGTCTCCTCTTCTTCGAATCATTGTATTATATGCCAACTAGTAACTTCCATGCTCCAAACGTCCTGTTCCTTATCTTAAAAAATATGTCACATTATTATATACTTTAGTTTCTGTCTTGTCGACCTAAACATAATCTTTTTTTTTTTTTAGTAATAGGTTGATATCATGGATTAATTTTGCATGATTTATCCGGTTTTATTTTACCGATTCAATTAAAAATATATTAGGATTAGAGAAATGCATAAAAGAAAAAAAATTTTCATTTATACTTTTGATTCTAAATATTAAATTTTCGAATTCCTTTGCTCCGTTTGTATTAATTTTTACTGAGTTCAACTTACTTATATTTAATCAATTTAATTTTACTTTTTGCTTTGAAATTATCTATATATTAACATTTTGTTTATTCTAAATTACACTTCATATATATATTAAAAATTTTTTATTAATAATATTAGAATAATTTAAACTAATATTTACGTCATTTCCAAATTAAAAAAAAAATTATATTTAAATTAATCTCCGTTTCAAGGACGAACTGAAGACGGTGAGAGCAGCAAACAAAATAGGAGCGTGCTTTACAATCGCCTTTTTGCATGGACCAAACTAACCAGAGAAAGGATAAAAAAAGAGTATCCAATGATTGTAGAGAAGTGCGTGTCCGGTTTTCAAGAGACAGTATGACACGCACGAGTATTGCAAGGGACCACGTGTAGCCATGTGGCTCGACCTTCACATGTCAGTGCACGTGAATTTGCACAGTAAGTCCACGTGACCTCCACCCCCACTCTTTGTTCTTCGACCGCCAAATGGGCCGTGTAGACTGTAAAATCTCATGGAACAAGTTTTGTATAATTTCACGGATTTACTTTTTCTTTTTTTATAAAATAATTTCACTGAATTACTAGAAATACTATTTGTACCTCTCCCTATATAACGTTTCATTATATCTTAATTTAAAAGATATAACATTTTATAATCCAAAATTTAAATTAAAATTAAAATTACTTTTTCAATTTTCAATGGATTGATGGGACCAATATACAAGTGGACGTGGATCAATGATCGGTTAGCGGACCCTCGTGTGTGTCCATTGTGTTTGGAAGATTTCATGAGACACCCGCATGCATCATAATAATCCCCATAGTGAAAGAAAGAAAGAAAGAGAGATTTATTAGAGATTTGGAATTAGGAATAGAAGCTCAAGTGAGAATATTTATATTGGTATCCATTAAAATTTTATTATTCGTACTCATATTAAATTCATCATTTTCTTTTGTATCTGTATTAAAATTTATTAAGATTTTTATTATCGGTATTTATGGGTTATGATTTTAGTAAGACATTATTAAATACGGTGGATGACTTGAGAAAAAGAGTTACTCCTGAGAGATTTGAAAATTGAGTACATATTGAACTCCTTATTAATGAGAATCAAAGTGGAATTAGACTTCTCCTTTTGTAACTCTTTGTTTCCATTAATGGGAATTTGTGCCGTTTACCGCTACCGTTAGTGAAACCAACAATTCAATAGAGCCCTTAATTTCAGATATTAATTAATTAATTAATTAATTAATTAATTAAAGGGAACAAAAACATATCCAATTTAGTATTCAATGCTCATTAATTTCACTGCCATTTACATTTGCTTGCTCCCTCTCTAGGTAACCCAACCATTAATTACCTGACCAACCCCCCACTCCTCTTTATCGAGCCAAGTGCCTTTCCCCACGCGCTCATACGCGCTCTGCCCAATCCAACTCTACTCCCTACCTGGTTCTGGGTCCCTCCTCATTCAATTAGCCCCGTGATTTGATGTTAGAAAGACCATATCACGGGTCCCACCTTAACAGATGCTTCTGTCATTCGTCGCGATTAAGCTGCATCATGATCTGATGATTTTCATGCGCGTGCACTTAGCGCGTGTTGGGCAGAATCAAAAACTTTGTAATCCTAGTCAACGGTCAGCGACCGGGAAAGACGCTTTTTAAGCGAAGTTAATAAGGACCTAAGACTGTGACTTAACCATGGTCTAATACTACTAGTAGTAATAAAAGAGAGAGAGCAGTTTACGAAAAATTTTCATTAACTAAAGTTAAAATCTAACCGTTGTAAAAGGTAGAAGGTAAAAGGTCCTTAACCAGGGTGAAGCCTAGTGGCTAGTAGAAGCCACATATATAAATGATGAGTTGAGCCAATAGAGAGCACTGACACAAGTCATGATTGAATCTATACCCACCTGTCACTCTCTACTTTCTCTCTCTGTATCTTTATATATGGACTAGTCCCATCCTTTCACTGTACTGCTAAAAGCAAAAGGCTGTGACACCTCTGGCTGCAAAAACTCAGCCATTTTCTACCCCTCTTTTCCACTTTGCTTTTTCAGACTCTCTTTGACACTATATAATAAAGCAAAGCTAAGAATCACTCCAAAGTCCAAACTCCATTTCACGGGGAGACTGCTTTGCTTGGAAGCAGAGAAAGTTTTTAGTTGGTTTCAAGAAACGAAAGGAGGATGGGCGAGAAAGACGATGGATTAGGCCTGGGTTTAAGTTTAGGCTTCGGAGGCACAACTCAACAGAATCAGTCTTCTTTGAAGTTGAATCTCATGCCATTTCCTTCGCAGTTCATGCAAAATAATCACCTGAGGACTTCCCTAAATGACCTGTTTCAGTCATCTGGTATTTTTAATTTCCCTTTTCATGTCTTTTTCTTATGGATTATTTTGTCTTTCTTCAGCAGCAAAATGTTCTTTCTTTCAGGAGGGTACAGTTAAATGTCCCTTTTCTCGTCTATTAATTTAGTACCAGATTCCAAGCTTTTTCCTGATTGCTTTTTGATTCTGTACCTTTTCTTTTCTACTTAAAAACTTAGTGACTACAAGTTCGGGTTTTTAATTCGGATGCATTTCACAAGGAATTACTATTTTTCTTTCCTCTTTGTAATAGTGTTCATACGCTAAAGACCTTTGCTTTTTTCAAAATTAATCCGTGTGGCTCCATTGATTTCAAGATTTCCATTTCCTGAATGCATGGCAGATAAGAACTCTGATGCGAGGTCGTTTCAGCGAGGGATTGACATGAATCGGATACCAACAGTCGTCGATTGCGATGATGAAACCGGCGTTTCTTCGCCGAACAGTACGATTTCGAGCATAAGTGGAAAGAGAAGTGAAAGGGAACATATTGGAGAGGAGGCAGAAGCCGAGAGAACCTCTTGCTCTCACGGAGGCAGCGACGATGAAGACGGAGGCGCTGGTGGCGACGCTTCTAGAAAAAAGCTGAGGCTTTCAAAGGAACAGTCCTTAGTGCTCGAAGAGACCTTCAAGGAGCATAATACTCTGAATCCTGTGAGTGGCATTTTGGTTAAAAAATTACCAAGAGAAGGCTATTTTTGTATTTTGAAACCTGGATCGGTAATAATTTGGTTAACATGTGGTGGTTTGTGGTTGCAGAAGCAAAAGCTGGCCTTAGCAAAGCAGTTGAATCTGAGGCCCAGACAAGTGGAGGTGTGGTTTCAGAACAGGAGGGCAAGGTTAGATAATTTTCAAACTCAGATAGGGTTGTTATGGTCATTTAAACTTATAGGCGTGGTCATTAATTTACTCAGCAAGGATACAATAGTATTTTCAACTTGCACGGACTTGATGCTTTTAAGTTTAAGTAGCTTTCAGGTGCAGCTAGCATTTGTATCATGCATAGTCACACAAGGCAAGGAAAGTAAAGTACAATATTTGCCATTTTGGCATACAATGCTTTTAATAGTAAACTGGCAGTATGAAGGGTGTTTTTGTAATTGCACTTGAATTTGAATTTAATGAGATTTTTTTAGGTATAAAAATAGAAAATTGACCTAATTTTAATGATGTAGAAATCAATGCATGATGCAGGACTAAGTTGAAGCAAACTGAAGTTGATTGTGAGTACTTGAAGAGGTGCTGTGAGAATTTAACACAGGAGAACAGAAGGTTGCAAAAAGAGGTGCAGGAGCTTAGAGCATTGAAGCTCTCTCCGCAGCTCTACATGCACATGAACCCGCCTACTACACTCACAATGTGCCCTTCATGTGAGCGTGTTGCTGTGTCATCATCCTCCTCGTCGGCAGCTGCTTCATCAACTGCTCTAACTCGCCACCCAGTCAATTCCCATCCCCAGCGACCTGTGCCCATCAAGCCGTGGGCAGCATTGCCTAACCAACACCCTGCTTCCAGGTCATAAGATAAATTTTTAGGATATGGAGAAGATATGATCAAAAGAGGAGGAGTTGGTTAGGATGCGATTTTGTTCAAACAGTGTTGGGTTGTATATTACAGAAACAACTAGTGTTCATAAAAATGGCAACTAGCTAGGATTAACTTTTAAGGACATGACAAAAGAATCTTAATAGCTTTTGGTTAATATTGTTGGAATTTGATGTAATCAAGGAATGAAACAATGTTCCCCTTATTTCATGTACATTGTTGTCATTATTCTAATCAACTGTTTCTTGTTAAAGGATATTTCTCAATCATAATTAGAATTTTTCTCGTTGTAGCAACGTTAACGTTCCTAGTTAGACCATCTAAAATAAGAACCTCATTATCTGAAGAAAAACACAATTATTTTAATTATGTTAGATATGATTGTGAAGGACAGAAATTGGGTAGAGAGTTACAAGTCATCCATCTGAAACTGACAAGTGAAATTCGTGGAAAAGAACACCTAATAACAATAAGGTGGGATTTGTAGCAGGGTCTGGGCTAGAAGAGGATACATTAATAGCTTCCCCGTCTCGTCCAATTCCTACTGAGACGACTAGGGTCAGGTACAGACTACAAAAACCTTTCCCTGCTTTCAAGTTTCAAGAGCAGAAAAGGCTGTGCGGAGACCTGGATCTCTTTTTGCCTTTTACGATGACACTGATCTCGATGATGATCGTATCCTCATCCCTGCAATCCTGTTCCTGTGTGTTTATCTCTCTCTCTCTCTCTCTCATGGTCCCAGAGGCTAATAGTAATAGATGCTAGTCTGACAGATAATTCACCCGGTGCGGTTACCTATATGGCATCAGTTGTCCATTTTCCCATTTGACTTTTCAAGTGATCCATTATAACTCATGGAAGGTGGGTAATTGAGCATATAACTGAACAAAATATTTCTGCAGCATCAGTTTATTACCCTCTGATTTGAGAAATGGAGAAGTCTTTTGAATAAAACACTGAAAAGCTTCTAGACAACTTGTTTCTTGGAAGTTGAGTTCCCCAGTAGATTTCAATTTTGTCCGATACATGAATGAGTACAAGACCGAACTATAAACTATCCCTTAGGAATACGATATATTCAACATAATCAAAGCAAATGACAATTTTCATAACCAAAAACTTCAGACTAGGGGCCGTGAGTGTCAAACAGTATTCACAGTATCTGCAAGGGCACGCAATATGCAACCCAGGCCAGCTTTCTCTGTCAGCTTTTCATGTATTCGTAGGCATTGGTCGCATGTGGGACGATCTCCAGTTGACAAACCCCTATACAAGTACCTGTGGATTATGATATATAGTTGATTAAATTTGCAACAAACTACTAAAAGAGGCTAACAATCAGATCTCACACAATTATCCGTTTCAACTATTTATTTTAGGAAAGGTTATTATCCTTCAATATCTTCTGGAAAAGAAAGTGCAAAGACACCAACTAGAGTTTCTAATAATTCAGGTTCTATATATATGTTTAATATCTAAAGTTCAGCCAAAGCAAGGAAAAAAATAAGTCCAGTATAAGAGCCTCAGCTTGGTTTTTTACTCTTGAAACCCAAACTCCAGAATAAAACCATTTACTCTTTCAAAGTTTCACTAGTAATGCAAGAAACCAATGGCAATGCCCCCAAGGATGAAAAGAATCCTTCCCAAGCATATATCAACTACAACAAAAGAGTGATTCCATATGCAAAGGGCAATGTGATATATATATAGCTAGTAAAACAACTGGATGCATAAACTGAGATGTAGAGACACAGTGATGAGTGTCCATAATTAAGTTCCAGAAACATGGCTATGCAAACTATTAGGTTAGAGTATGCTAATTTGTACTTCGTTTTGCCTTTGCTGAATAGCTAAAAGTGCCAAGAAGACCACAAAGCAAGGTCTTACAATGGTGCTTTGTTGTTGAAAGTAGATGATGACTGAATATATTGTTTATTTTGCAAATGAAATTCCTAACATGGTTTTAGGCAATATTAAATCCCAAATAGTTGAGTTTATAGACAGAAAGAGGATATCCATTCCCCAAACAAACTATTGCTAACTAAGTGAGGATCCTTTACCTCAAGAAGTTACCTATAAGCAGTTAACATGTGTAAGATATTTATTTTGCACACCTTATATCTTGCTATCAAATAAGACTAGCACAAATACTGCGCTAAGATGCAAATCTATTCAGGGCATATTACATGGAATACGTGTTGGTAAAGGACTATGCTATTTATCAATAGCAATTACCTACTCCAGCCAGGAAAATGTTTAAACCGAATTTGAAGCCTGTTTAGTTAGATTGTAAGTCTGCAGTTCCAAAAGCACAATAATTGCACCAAAATAAGTAGAATTAATGGAATGACAAAATTGTGATATCCCAGGAATCAGGACAGGAGTTGACCAGGCAAAAAGAGATACTAAGTTCTAGTGAAAAACAATCCAAGGAAAGAGCCAGCTAACACGGAGAACCTTTGCATGAAGTTTCCTGCTAGGGCAAAAAACTGAAGAGATCCGCTGAGCCAAGGAGTGTCAAAGCTGGTTGATTGATTTATATAAAACTCAGATAATTCCTAAGCTTAACAACCAAATTCATAATTTAATGTCTTTTATAATAGAGGACGCATAATAAGATGGAAAATAAACTCCCACAGAAGTAAAATAGCAAAATTAAATAGTTGATGAGATCAGAAGCAATCTAGCAACAAATTTGAAGTGACAAATTCCACTCCCACTTGGAGTCATACAATCTGAATTTTCGAATCCATATAAAATTAGCAGCAATTATGATCAATATTGAAGGTAACCAGAATAAAAGAATAAAAAGGAACTTACTTCATGAGAATATCATAGTACTCAGGATCCAAAGAAGAGAACATCCCTTCCACATCTCTTATCGCCATGATCGCTCTATGTACGACTATCCAATTTGCAGACTGAAAAAACCCCAAGTCAATTGACTTTCAATTCTTATCGCGGGGGGTGGGGGTAGGAGTTGCACTAACGTATAAGTGAGAAAAAGGTTGAGAATATAAGGCAAAGGGCATGAAAACCTTGCATCGCTCGTCTCGGGTCTTGGGAGGCGAGCCTTCAAGAGCCGTTTTGAGAGCTTCGACGGGTTTGAACCTGAGAGAGAGAGAGAGAGAGAGAGAGAGAGACAAACACACACACACCCGATTGTTAGGGATTTAGAGACAGAGACACCCAGCGAGAGAGAGGAAGAAAAAGAAGAAGACGGAGCATATATTACTGTTTAAGTAAGCTTTCGATCTTGCGAGATTTGTGTTCAATTCTGGTGATTATGGCCTCTGCATTGTCTGCTTCTACGAATTCCTCCTTTCCTGCCATTCGCTTCTGCTGCTGCTCTCTGTCTCCCTCTTGTACAACCCGATTTCAAACATTTGTTATAATTCTACCCCGAATTAAAATTAGAGCTTTGAAAAACAATAAAATAATAAAACAGGTGGGACCCACTCCTGACCCTTGGTCAACTCTAACCCAGCTGAAATGGAGTGATACGGTTCGTTTCACTGTTGTTTTGTTCCAGTGAATTTTTAGCTTCTGTTTCCGCTCTCACCAACGTACATCATATCATCTGTTTATTTGCTTTAAACTTGTTTTCACTCTCCTTAATCATCTAAGATTAAGATTAAAACAAACAAATCTATTTTATTAGAATGGAAAGAAATATACAGTTGAGCATTTGAATTGTACCTAAACTAATTAATGAAACAAAACCCAGATAATAAAAATTTGAAATTTGAAATTTTCAATTCCACAAAACGAAACTTAGAAAAGAGAAAGGAAAAAGCAAAAAGGGATTGTGTAATTGTCTTTGTTAGTTGTTAAGAGAAAAAAAACACAGAGATTGCATAGTTTCAGTTGCAAATCTAAAAAAAAAGGAAACTAATTAGGAAAGGAAATTTATTTATCAATTATTAATGAAAACTAATCACCTAGAAATCTCTTTCCATAAAGATCCTTGATACTGAAATCTCAAAACATGTCAGACCTTATTTTTAAAAGAGCCAATATTTCTTGTCTAGGCTACCGATTATCATCAAAGTTCGGTCACCTCCAATTTCTTTTTAATGGAGAGAGAGCGATCGAGAGTTGTAGAGTCACTATAGAAATGTGATACAAGAAGGATTAACATAAAAAGTGAAGTAAAAGGGAAGAAGAATTTAAATAGAAGTCTCTATTTGTTCACCATAAGTCTGCAATCTCTCCTTGCCCTGAGATGGTGTTCGAGGATCAGTCCTGGTACTCTTCTTCGCACGCGAGATTGAGAAATTAGGTTAAGGGAATTAGGGATCGGGTTTTGTTCATTGGGAGGTTCATTGATTTGAGTTTTATCAACACAAACGGAAACGTTGCGTTTTGGTTTAGGTCAAAACGGGTATACTATTACAAAATTCAGGGTATTTTAAATGAATTATTAAGTCCTCGGACCTTGTGAATGGCGCCGTTTTCTCTTACTTTACTTTCAACTGTCGATCATATATTGTTCGGATTATTTCGTAATGGTTTTATGGGCCAAGCCCAATATCAGCCCATTACAATTTTTTAAAAATTTTGGTATTTTTTAAATACTTAAAGGAAAATAAAATTACTAGGCCTTGATTTTTTTTTCTTTATTAATACCGTAAAAGTGAAAATTGTTTCTGGTGATAATTTTTTTATAAATTAAATAAATGTTGATTAAGATTTATATTTATACTCTTTGATATTATTGAAAATGATAAATTTGCAAATTCAAAGTTCAATTTTTTTTAATATGATTAGATAAAAAATTTATTATTTTTTTTCCATAATTAGATACTTAATTTCAACTAATTTTATATTTATTATAAGTCAAGATTTACAACAATTTTTAATAATTAAAAGATGTAAATAAACGGTAGTGATGAAAATGAACCTTTTCCCTAATAAATAAGAAAATAACGTGATTTAGTGATTTTGGTGGAGGACTATGCAAAAATGAAATTGAAAATCGGGGTAATTTTGTAATTACTCATATAGAAGGAAGAAAAGGCAGACAAAAATTGGAAAAAAATGGGTAGCGAAAGTGAACGAGTCATTGGCCTTGTTTTTGACAAATTTAATATCCATTTTGGCTTTATTTTATTGTTTAGTTTATTACCACCAACCGGACAAAAAGTAAGGACAATTCTGTCTTTTAATCCAACGGTCATAATTGCTCACACACTTTTGAAAATTTTCCTCTTCCCTCACCTCATACCTTTCCTTCCTTTCTTCACTCAATTTTTCCTTGGTCTCAAAGTCTTCCTTTCTTCACCTGCTCGCTCCCAAATCCATTTCATACGAAGAAACGAAGCTTCATCTCATTAACAATGGCAGATTCGAGATCTTTCGTCAAGCCGCCTCATTTCTCATCTCAGGAGCGTCAAGTAAATCGCTCCATTACCACACAAAAATCGTTTGCTCACGTCCTCTGTAAGTCTCTCTTGTTTCTCCTCTTTCTTGTTGCTATCCCTCTGTTTCCTTCACAAGCTCCTAACTTTATCAATCAGACTATACTCACCAAGTTCTGGGAACTGGTCCACTTACTTTTCATTGGCATTGCTATCTCCTATGGCTTGTTTAGCCGTAGAAACGCTGAAGTGGATTTTGAGACCCCCTCCGGTACCTTTGATGATTCGCAGTCATCTTATGTGTCTAGGATTTTTCATGTTTCTCCGATTTTTGAGGATGGGTGCGAAAATCCATGTGGGTTTGATGAAAAAAATGTGTACCCTTACCAGATTTGGAATTCTCAGTTTTATAGAGGCGAGTCTGGAGTTGTCGTTCCGAATAATAGTTCTGTTATCGATGAGCAGAGCAAAATTGGATCTTTGAATTCTGAAAATGGAACGACCGAGATTTCGCTTGAGAATGATGAGAATCGTGTTGCTCAAGCTTGGAGTTCTCAGTATTTCCAGGCTGAATCAATGGTCGTGCTGTCCGAAGCAAACTATGCAATTGATGATTGGGGGAGACATGAGCAGGTAGTTGGTTGCAGACCGTTAGGGTTACCAGTTAGGAGTTTAAAACCCAGAGTTAGAAAAGCAGAGAGTAGCCAATTTAGTAATAATGGAAATGAGCCTGGTTCAAGCTTTATCGGTTCTTTCAGTAGTTCCGTAAGGAATACAAACGAGAATAATTTTGGTGATATGGATCCAGTAAACTTGGAGGAGAAGTTTGATGAAAGCTTTTCCTTACCTTCTGAAATTCCAGGTCAATCTAGATCTGGAAGGACAGAAATGTGGGGAAAAGTAGGTCCCGTTGCTAATGTTCCTTCTAATTTTAGGCCACTCTCAGTTGATGAAACTAAGTTTGAGTCTCTCAAATCGCACTCTTTCAGGTCCACAACTTCTCTGTCATCCCAAGCTAGTTCGGTTTCAAATTCACCAATCAGACTCTCTCCTTCACACTCTGCTTCCTCTGATTCGCCAAATTCAAGAAGGGAAGAATCAGGGAAAGAGAAAGATTTCAGCGCCTCATATCCTCCTGCTTCTCAATCACCACAAGCAACTGTTAATCGCGAGGCTCGACTGAATGCATTTCATTTAAGGAGATATAGCAGTGGCTCTTTGTTCCAAAAGGATGTTCACAAAACCTTAAAAGATGAGTTGAAGGATCTTAGAGGGAAAAGAAGAGAGGATCTTTCATTAAGTAGTAAACAAAGGGCGCAGGGGCCTTTGAAATCTGATAAGAAACCCGCAACAATTGTTAAAGTTTCACCTAAGGGAAAATCTGTTAGGACCATTAGAAGTGGAGTATACACAGCAGATGCTTTGAAGGCGGGAGATAAGAATACAACCCAAATTGATGAGCAGGTTGGAGAAGGATCTAATGATGCAAAAGCAGTAAAAATAGAGAAAAATGAAATGAAAAGGGAAGTACTTGATAATATGTCAAATGGCATTAATAAGCAGAACCTTGATAATAGATGGAAAATTGAATCGAAAAAGGAAGAACTTGATAATATGTCAGTTGGCATCAACAAGAAGAATGTAGATACCCGCTATGATATGCCCAACATGACACATTCAAAATATCAGAATAAAGAAAAGAAGGAACTTTTGGAGAATGTTACTGTGGAGACTACAGAAGAGTCAGGCAGTGACACTGATAATGGTCGAGTGAGCTCGGGCGAAGATGCCAAGGATGCTTCAGTGAGTGATGCTGGACATGACCCTAACGAGGTTGATAAGAAGGCTGGTGAGTTTATAGCCAAATTCAGAGAGCAGATTAGACTTCAGAAAGTGGCATCTATTGATAGACCAAGAGGGATGCGCTTGAGTGGTAAGCATTTGAGGTGAAACATGCAGGACCTTGTACCTCTCTAATGTATCTAACAAATATGAAGATGGAGTTCAAAAATGAAAGCCTTTTTATTAATTTTTCTAGATTTGATGTACCATCTCTATTTACTAGATACAAAATATACCTTTGGTAGATGTATCAGCCAACTCTTGAGAGAATTGGCGATTTTTTCGTTATGTTTCATTCATTTTTTTACAACTCAATGACCTACCGATCATTGTAAATTCACAATTTTTACGTCTTTTTTATGTTAGTTCTTTTTCTATAATTATGCTATTAAGCTGAGAATTGTTAGGATTACTGAGGCTCGTTATTTTTTATATTTGAAAGGCCTCTCGTAGCAGCTTGCTGTGTTGTTTCATCAAATGTCAAACTTTTCTGCATTTATGTGTATTAGTTCATGGATGAAGAAAATGTTTAACCATTGAGTTATTCATAACATTGTTTAAAGCCAAGCTATTGTCTTAAAACACCAAATCATTTAAAGATTAATCTTGAACCCGACATGTCCTTGGGTTTGAGAAAAATGAGGGAAAATTCTTCTCGGATTTCTGCTTTCTTCTAATGAATTAGTCATAGACAGAATGAAAGTGACATTCATGCTTGTAGCCATTGTGGAGCTCCTTCATTATGAATCATAAAAACGGCAACATTATGTTATTTTGTGTAAAAAAAAATGTGAAAGGACAAGGCGTCTTATCGCCTCAAAAAGCACAAATGGCATGTGGCTTACCAAAAGTCGAGGGACATAGCCATTAGACATGTCTTGGTAAGCAAACGACAACTTTTCTGAACCGAAACGTTGGTCCTCCTTGGCTCCTTCGCTCATCGACACTGGACACGGTTTAATGAGGAAAACGACAACGTTTTGGAGATGTCTCGTTATGGGGGATTACGCTCTAGTGCCCTACGGAGACAGTAGTGTTACGAGGATATTTATATGTATACGTATATGTATGATAAATGTCAGAACGTTGCTTTCGTTTTCGAGGGTTTGTTGAGAGAAAATGAAAGTCAGAGAAAGTCACATAACCCCCATTTCTCTCTCTATCCTTAAATTTTCCGTTGAAGCTTTTACTTACCCCCATTGCTTTGCTTTCACATAAAAATTCAGCCTTTTTCTTTCCCCTAATTTTTCAATCCAGTTTCATACATAATGATCAAGAAACTCCACATGCTCCAATCAGTTATAGTTTCAACGATTCGCGCCTCGATTCTGTGTCAAGATTTTTCCTGTCGGCTAATTTATCGGTGTATACTTGGTTTTTGAGGTTTCTAGGTCGTTCCTCTTGGTTTATTTCATTTTCTTTTTTGGGGAAAAGAGCTCGGCAGTTGGAGTGAAGTTACAGTAAGCGAGTGAGCGAATTAGGTGGAGATATGTATATCGAGGAACTGAAAGAAGAAGAAGTGATGTTGAAAAGCAGAGAGGATAAATTGCAAGCTGATGCAGATGGTTCTTGCAGTAGCGGTGCGATTTTGGATGCCAAACGGGTTTTGGTAGGAGCAGGGGCTCGCGCTCTGTTTTACCCCACCCTGTTGTACAATGTTCTAAGAAACAAGATTCAGTCAGAGTTTCGATGGTGGGATAGAGTTGATGAGGTATACTACGCAACGCCAATATCGTCTTATATGCGCACACTTCTTTGTTGCTTCTTTGAATGTATTTGTTGGGATTCTGTGATTGCCTTTTTCTTTACTAGTAAAGCAGTCCTTGCATGAGAAATAAGATGCTTTTTAGTATATGAGCGGTAATTCTAATGAAATAAACAAAAAATTGGCTTGTCAGTGGCCAAGTGATAACACTCTTTGACCTTCTACGTATAAGACCGAATCTAAAAAAAAAAAAAAAGAAAGTTATTTTTTACTCCAGGAAACTTTTTGAATTTGATTTTTCATGAACTTGTTGGTGATCTGAATAGGAAAAAAAAAAATATATCAGTGGCCAAAGTGAATAACACTCTTATGACCTTCTATACGGTATAAGACCGAATCTCTAAAAAAAAAAAAAAAAGAAAGTTATTTTTACATACGCAGGAAACTTTTTGAAATTTGATTTTTCATATGAACTTGTTGGTGATCTGATAGTGAAAAAAAAAATATATATATATATATATAATATATATATTATATTATATATATATATATATATATTAAATAACAGTAGGGTGAATAGATGGAACTGCATAACATATATATATTAAATAACAGTAGCGGTGAATAGATGGACACTGCATAACTGTACCAATTTTGGTTTGGAGTCTGAACACCTTAACCAGAAGTAGTTAGATTTACATCAAAATAAGTGGAAGAGGTCTGGTTGGCATTCAGTATTTGCTGTGTTTGTTAAATTGGTGGGTTGTACTTTTGCATCTCAAAATGTTGGTCTGACTTGCTTTGCAGCTGTGGCATGCCTCCTCTGTTCCTTTCAGGAAATGGCCAAAAGAGGTTTTTATTGTTGCAATATAAGATGTGAGTATTTTACAAGTCCTAGTGGATCCTTGGTGTCACTACTCTGCTTTGCCACTATGCCCTAGCATCATGTGTTCATGTTATAATTTTACATATTTATTTGTGAAGGAGATAGTTTTTGGCATGTTCTGTTGTTAACTGATGCTCTTTCTGTGAAAAAAATTCTTTTAAGTTCAATTATTGGTCCAGCACTTACTTCTCTCTCTGTCACTCTTTCCATCCCTCTCTTTTTCTTTTTCTTTTTCTTTCAGTTCATATTGTTAGGTGCTGTTCCCTTTCCTACTGATGTGCCCCGCTTGAAGGAACTTGGCGTTTCTGGAGTGGTTACTTTAAATGAACCATATGAGACTTTGGTACCAACATCTCTATATCATGTGAGTTCATGCATTCCATTTTTTGGATTTCAATGTCATTGCCAAACTACAAGCTTTGAATTGTGATCTGAGCGTCGAAATAAAATAGCAGTAAGAAGTTTGGCATTGATAATGTTTTATTCTTCATTAGGGAAATATATTCTCCATTGGGCTTTGGAACTACCCAGCTGACACTTAAATCATCAATGGGGTCCTTCCTTTTATCTTTGTGTTTTAGACAAATTAGTTATAGATGGTTCCCAAAGAAATTGTGTTCTCAAATAGACATTGGTAGTGGTTGCAGCCACCATATGTTACATTCTGCTGTCCCTTTGTACAAAAACACAAAAATACTTGAGTTTGTATATATATATATATATATGCAAGAGTTTTACATACTCTTTGATTTATTGCTAATTTGATTTGTAGGCTCATGATATTGTACATTTGGTCATTCCAACTAGAGACTATATGTTTGCTCCTGCATTTGCTGATATATGCCAGGCTGTAGATTTCATTCACGGTGGGTCCAATCTCGATATTTTCTTTCTGCTTTTAATTTACAATTGTCTTTATTGGGTTTCTCCCTCCCCTAAAACTGATAATTATATTTTTGTTATTAATTATTTTATTTTCTTCAACTTTTTGAAGACAACGCCTCACTTGGGAAGAAAACATATGTTCATTGTAAGGCTGGTAGGGGGCGAAGCACGACCATTGTTCTCTGTTACCTTGTATGTTCAGGTTCAAAATTCAACTTATCGATCGACTGACTTAATTAACATTCTGTTGACCTTTTTGAGATTTGTTTTTCTTTTCTCTATAACAGGTGCAACACAGGGACATGACACCTGAGGCTGCATATGAGTACGTGAGATCTGTTAGGCCAAGGGTGCTTTTGGCCTCTTCCCAGTGGCATGTATGCCTTTCCTTTCTTTTATTCTTTTATTTGTAACAATACATGTAAGTATTGTTCCAACTATGAACTGAAAATTTATGCATGAGCATTATAAAGATGTAGGTAAATATGTTAATCTTATCATCAATAGGTTTTTCATGTTGAAGCACACATAATCTCTCCGTGTTGTATCAGTGACACAACAAGCATATGCATGGTTAGACAAACAACAACTGAGCCATGCCACCATTCAAGCAGTTTCTAGTCCAATAAGAAAAGCTTTTAGTGATTCTGTACAATCATGTCTCACATATCTTCTGCTTTCCTAAAGTTACCCTCTCACTCTGCTGTCAATGCTTAATCTGTCTTTGGATAGGGCCAAGCAAATTTTGAAATTTAGGCATCCATAAACGAACTGGGTTGTGAATGACGTTGAATTTGCTGAGCCAGAAGTCCTGGTTATTTTCATTAAGCTTATTTTCTTATAATTCCTCAACTGTTCATCATGGATCATAGGCTGTTCAAGATTACTATCTTCTCAAGGTGAGGGAAACTTGCAACCCTAGGTTTATGACAGCAAGGAAAGCTTTGGATTGTCTTACCAAAGAGCATGCCAAGCAGAATATAGAAGATCATGATGATGACGACACATTTGTGATGGTAATGGAATCAGATCTTGATGGGTATGATTTTGAATGTGAATTAGGTATCGTGGATAACAAGATGTTGGGAGAACTTAGCCCGGTTTGCAGGGTTCACTTTGCTGGGCAGGCAGCTATTTCCAGACTTTCATGTTTGTGGCTTGGATGCCATGCAAACCGGAAACCATCAGAAAAGCCTGGAAGCTCTGTTGGGGATGATCGATTGAGAAGTCTAACTGTCGATATCCAAGTTTATTGAAATGTCAAAGTCTACTTGAGGTTTTATATATTTTTGGTTCTTCTTTTTCCTTCCTCCCTCTTTTTTTTTGTTTGTGGTTGGGCAGTGGGGGATGGTTCAACACGAGGAAACGTCAATAAATACTCTGCTCTTTCTTCTTCTTCTTCTTCCTTTTTCTTTTTCTTTTTTTTTTTTTTTTTTTTGTTCAACACGAGGAAACGTCAAAATAATACTCTGCTCTTTCTTCTTCTTATTCTTTCCTTTTTCTTTTCCTTTTTTTTTTTTTTTTTTTTTTTTTTTTTTTTTTTTTTTTTTTTGAGTCTTCGCTTGTTTTGGTTAGCTTCAAAGTTGTGCTTGATATATGCTTGATACCTGTAATGAATTCCTGATGATGAGTTTTGTCGTTATAGAAGGCAAGAATTCCTAAATGTACATGTTGCCATGTTGGTAACTAAATATTTTTTTCCCCCCTTTAAATGAAGTAAATTTTTCTATCTTCCAGCTTGTGTATATATACAAAATATGAAAACTTGCGGGGATTTTAGGCATTATAAACTAAAGAGATGGGCTTTGGATACACAATGACTTCTATAACGAAGCTCCATGAGCCTTTCCACTATTTATTTTATGTCGAAAATATATACTCAAAATTGTTTTCATCCCTTTACAAATGTAATTTTAATAACAAAACAATCAGGATAAATAAATTCTCAAAATTTGAATCCTTTGTAATCTTTGAGAAGCATTCTACAGTAATATTACAGTCTTTTATTTTTATTTGTTATTTTTAATTTTAAAGGGGGTTCATTCTCTGTCTCGGACATGCCGGTACAAGTGTCATTGAAATATTAAAAAAGATATATATACAATCTTTTTATGTCTTCTAAAAACAAACCAGAGTAAAGAATCAAGATAACGCAAACCGCGACTTAACGGGAAAAAGAGAAGGACTTGTCTTGTGATCAAAGAAGCGATGCTAATCACTTCGCAATCCTCATCTCCTCCTCCACTTCCCAACCTTTCTCTTCCTCGTAAGCCTTTCCGCTCTCTGCTGCTCGAGTCTATGTGATAATGAGTATTTGAAGATTCTCAATTACAGCATTTTTTGCGTTTTCTCTGGGCATTACCCACTTCGATTTTGATCATATTTTTTACTTTTCAATTCGTATTCGACATTGTCTGGTAGGATTCATTGTGAAAATTTTTATTTTTCCAGGCAATTACATTTATTTTGAAAGGTTAACGATCAGAATCGGCAAAGTTAGTTTATTTTTCCCCTATTTGTAAGATACTTACTTGCCTTTCTGGCAGATAGAACTCTTTCAGCTTTTCCTACTTCAGGAAATTTCTTTGCGTCAAAGGGGCATATAGTTCGTTGCTGTCACAGTTTCAATGACAATAGGTCAGAAATTAGAAATATTTCATTACTTTTTCATATTCTTAAGATTGGTTAGTTTCTCAAATGAACATTATATGAATTGGCAGTGTGCAAAATGGATATGTATTACATTGTGAAGAGAAATGGAGGCGCAGGTTTCTTCTTCTTTTTTCTGCCTCATTGGGCTTGTTTCAAACTCTTCCTTCCTGGGGAAAGACAAAGAATAAGAACCCATATGATGAAAAACGCTTGTTAGAGCAAAACAGAAGAATACAGAAAGAGAATAATGCACCGGAGGACTTCCCAAGTTTTATTAGAGAAGGTTTTTCTCATGCTATATAGTAGCAGTTTGATCTTTTGCGAGGAATTCCTTTAAATCTTCTTTTTCCCTCCTTTTGTGAGAGCTTTTCCTAGCTTTTCACTGTGACAGTTAGAATCTATGTTAATCTTTAGAATATTTCAGGTTTTGAGGTTAAAGTCGTTACAACAGAGAATTATGTAAAGCGTGATTCAGGGCTTATATACCGGGATTTTGAAGTTGGTAAAGGTGATTGCCCAAAGGCTGGTCAACAGGTTTTTCTTTCATTTTCTTTTAAAACTACGCCTTCTTCCTTAATTTCTGGATGAGTTTCAAATTATCAAATTCCAGAATAAAATGAGTGCAGGAGCTAATAGTTGCCACTTTATATGATGCAGCAATTTGAATTAAAGATAGATGTCTATCTCAAGTCAATGAACAAAAATAAGAAAATGCATTATGTGTTCAAAATTTTCTTCTTTTTTTTTTTCCTTTTTTTGTTTGAGGTCACTGTTTCATCACGTGGAATTTGGCAGGGAAAACCACTATCTAATTAAACATTCTTTTCAAAAATCTTTTGTTTGTTTGATTCCAGACTTTAATTTTTCCAAGGTTGTTCTGTTGACCCTTTGAATGATTTCTATAGCCTACTTCTCTCAAGTTCTCATTCAACCTCTTTAACTTATTTGAGGATGCAGGTGGCATTTGCTTCTGACCTACATCTGTCAAACAAGCACAGTGTTAGTTAATCGTTATGTTAAATTCCAGTTAAAATGAGAAATTATTTCTTGAAGAGTTTCAGTGACGTAGACTAGGTTTCATGAGGACAATTTTTGATACAGAGTGGAAAGCCTCCAGGCAGTAGAAATGATAGTTTCTGAATTTGGATATGAGATAAAGAAAGTTTAGGATTTGTTTTTGTGCTTAATTCAGTTAGATAGGTGCATCTAATCATCTATTCTAGAAAACTTATTGGCAGGAGTTTCATGATATCTGACCAGTTAATTAAAGCTGTAAGGATTATGAATTTAACTGAACATGGTGGTGATTCTGAAATAAATTGGTGGAGATCTTTGAAATTTTTGTATTCCATTCTTGAGTTGAAATTTACATAATAATCTTTTCAGGTGACTTTCCACTATATTGGTTATAACGAGTCAGGCCGTCGCATTGACAGCTCCTACATGCAAGGTTCTCCTGCCAAAATCCGCATGGGCACTAATGCATTGGTTCCAGGTGAACAGACAAATTTCCTTGTATACCTTATTTTTGGACTGCTGCTATTTCTTACCTCAACCTGGTCTTCTTTATGCATACTCTTTAAGGAAAGTATACAATAAATGTATTGAAGAAATAAAAATTGATGCAGGATTTGAAGAAGGAATTGGAGACATGAGACCTGGGGGAAAAAGAAGGATAATCATTCCTCCAGAACTTGGGCCACCAGTCAGTTGCATTTTCCCTCTTCAAATATTATTGATGTCTAATTATCTTGCTTTCCTTGTGAAATTGCATACGGTGTTTAAATGAATTCAATTTTTTTTTTCAAAATATCAAAAAGAAAATCAATGCGCAATTAATTGCAAATGCTTGCTAAGGTAGAAAGAAACAGTGGCAATGCTTCTGTTATAACTTATAACTGTTGCCTCTAAAGCAAAGGCCATACTTTCCCATAAGAAAGGCACCACCCTTACTTCTTGCTAGTTGCTTCACCTTACATGATGAGACTGATTTGTGCACTATTGAGAAGAAAACATAGAATTTGAAACCTGAAGTTTAAATTGATAAGAAATGGTCTTTTTTATTTTTGTTATTTTTTTTACAGGTAGGACCTTCCACATTTTTCAGCGCAAAACAGTTTGAAGTGTTTGATGTGGAACTTTTAAGCGTCCAGGATTGCCAGAGGAGGACTATAGCATTTTATTCTGATGTTGTATGCAACTGAAAGGCTTTTTCTTTGCTCTCTTCTCCTCTCTCTTCTTTAGGAGTTAGTTTGGATATCTTTTAAACAGAGCTTTTGCCGAGTTATTTCTTTGAATAGTTCATAGACTATACTTTGCTTCTATTTGTTAAAAATTATATTTCTGTTCATATTATAATTTAAATTAATATAAATATAGATTTTTAACCTATTTTTACCGTTAGGGAAAGTTTAATGCTCTCTTTGAATAAATTTTTCTTAGTAGTAGTATTACTACCATTATTTAATCAACAACATATAGACAATAAAATGTATGAAATGCGTTTCCAGACATCTCATTTCTAAAAGTGGATTTCTACAAACTAATGTCTGTACACGAATGGCCATACAAATTATACATGGTTGATACAGTACAAGACAACAATTACCGCAACAGCACAAAGCCGCATCATCATCTAACAATCTGAACATGCTGCTACTGAATTGCTTCTCCAGGAGCTCTTTGATAAACAACAACCTCATCCGAACTCGGTTTGGCATTATATTGCCCGTAAAATGCGTAAATTCCTAACATAATAAGGCTAAGGACAACAAATCTCACCCATGCTTCATGGTGCAACTGCACAAGGAACAATTCAAGCACTGTTAAAGTGGGTTTTAAATACTATAAAGGAGACATGGCCTGTGAAAATAGGATCTTTATAAGCATACCTGGGCAAATAGGAAAATGTTGAAGAAGATGCTAATAGTTGGAACAATCGGAACTCCAGGACAAGAAAACCCAGGAAGATCAGTGTAAGCCTGAGAAATAAAGTAACAGAAGCTATTAGAGAATTCAGCAAATTAGCATACTAACCTTACCAAAAAGTGATTTTACACTTTAAACCATGGCAGGGGCGCCGTTCCTCCCTTCATAAATATCCTTGTCAACATTTTGGAACTTGCATTTGTTCTTTTTTTCCATTACATCTGATACCATCCTTGTCCCCGCAGAATAAAATCCAATGGGGAAAGAAATAAACACTAAGCATAAATAAAATCAACAAAGAACACGAAATCCTCATTACTACAGACAATCAAGACAAGCTGCAAACTTTTTTCTCAGAGGTAAGGGATCATGAATTCAAATTTCACAATGTTGAGCAAAAAACATGCTCATCTGAAGCAAATTTTTTAACCTCTACATCATGACAATATCAGATATTTTTCCCATCAGAAGCATCTTATAGCATTATCACAAAACATCCCAGCCAATGAGAAGAAATAGCATTATATGGTACAACATGATACTCACCTGGCGGAAATAAAGAGCTGCTGCAGCAAGTATAGCTATGACAACTGCTATACCCAGAAAAATAAATGAAGCACCATAACGATAAAACAGCCCAGCACTGAAGCCACAGCAGGCAACGATGAAAAGCCAAGTGACACCTTCCACCCAGGCTGAAGTCCATCTTGCAGAAACTTGACTCACTGCCTTATCCTTCCAGCGAAGGGTGACGACGCAAGCTGAAACAACAGAATAACCTGTCTGGAAAAACCTAATATGGTGTAAGGGGGTTACAGTCAAAACTCTCCAGCACTTGTCTTATCAGCACATTAACATTTGTATATGTCTTCCTACATTCTCACAAGCACATTGCAACATGCCTTGTTATGTGCACTTCCATCACATTTTACAGGACTGTTATTCATGCTGCTCTATGTTATGTAAATAGGTAGTTGTTTCAGAAAAAAAGTACAATATATTGCAGCAGTCCAAACAAGAAAAAGAAACAAATTTGCCCAATAAATTTGGTATGGAGAAAAGATCAGAATGACATACCAACGAACCAACTGAGAGAATGTGTGAAAGCATGTGGACATTAAATAATCCACCCAAAATTCCAGCAACAATACCAACCCAAACTTGAGAATGAACAGGAGTGTGACGTATTGGGTGCACTTTAGCAAATATAGCAGGCAGTAATCCATCCCTTCCAAGGCCCAGGTATAAACGAGACTGCTCATAAGAAACCGATCATCATTCAAATACGCAGAAAGCTATACAATAGCATGTCAATTATATGACAGATTGAAGTGATCCACCTGAACATAAAGACCGACTAAGAGAGTGGTTGTAAGTCCAGCAACAGCGCCTATGCTGATTAAAATAGAAACGTATTTCAAGCCCTTGGATTTAAAAGCTTCAGCCAAAGGAGCATCTTCTCCAAGTAGATTGTAAGGTACCATCCCAGTGATCACTAAACAAACCCCAATATACAACACAATGCATATGAAAAGGCTTCCTATGATGCCCAGTGGCAAATCCCGCTGAAAATCAACCAAAATTCAGAATAGATATATATTTGAAGAATGAGATGATGCAAGCATTGTTTTGAGACATTGTGAATAGATATATGCATAAGCTACAATAATCAGCCCCAAAAAGGAATGAAACATGCCTGTGGTCTCTTTGACTCTTCAGCAGAATTAGCAACCGCATCAAATCCAACATATGCAAAGAATACTACAGTTGCTCCAGTTAATATTGCTTTAGCACCCTTTGGTGCAAAAGGTGACCAATTTGAAACATCAACCTCGAAAGCGCCCACAAAGACGACGACAATAACAATGATAACCTGTGACAGGGTCAAAGAGAGTACTTATTACATCACTTTTGATCTTTCATACTTAATGCTTATACACAACCTTCAAAATAAATGCTCTAGTTTACACTCTAATTAATTAATCAAAGATTTAAGCCATTTCTTTCTCCTTAAAAAAGTCCTTTTCTTCAGAGTAAAGAAGGATAAATATAACAGATGCCAAAAAAAAAAAAAAAAAGAGAAAAGACATGGCCAACAGAAAAAAAAAAAAAAAGAGCAAAGACAGGCATCGGGAAGACCTCTTTTTTCGCGTAGACCATAGAAGGCATACTGTTTGTTAGCCAGGCAGGTATAGCCGAAAACATGCTCCTTTTCCCAAGCAGACATGATATTTGGCAGGCGAAGAATTTTCATTAAAATGTATTCTCTTAATGCTTGAATTTAAGTATAGGCTTATTGGGGAGAAAGAAAAGTGTGTTTTTGTTAGTTGAGTTACTCGGCCCTTCGCTTGGGAAAAAAAAAAAAAAAAAAGAGCAAAGACAGCATCGGAAGACCTCTTTTTTCCTAACCATAGAAGCATACTTTTACCAGGAGGTATACAAAACATGCTCTTTTCCAAGCACATGATATTTGCACAAAATTTTCATAAATTATTCTCTTAATGCTTGAATTTAAGTATAGCTTATTGGGGAGAAAGAAAATTTTTTGTTATTGAGTTACTCGCCTCTTCCTTGGGAGCCATGCATGCGTGTCCTACATCTATAAGAAAATAAATAATGATAATAAAAATGAAACAAAGAAGCAAGTAGGTTTAAGACCTTTGTCACAGTCATGAAAGAGTTGAAAAGCGAAGATTCTCCAACGCCCCAGCACAAAATTACAGTCAGAAGAGCGAGGAGAATCGGTGCCAGTATGTTGATAGAGAGCGCTCCTCCAAAGAATTCTTGACCACCATGTCCTATCCAGCTTGGAATGTGGTCTTTAAAAATGGGAAACAACTCTAAAATTGTGACTACATAACTTGCTAGACTTCGTGCAATGCTAGCTGCCCCAATGTGGTAATCAAGCATCAGTTGACCAAAAACAAGGAAAGCAGTGAGTTCATTGAAAGCCGAATAAGCATACAAGTATGCTCCCCCAACAACAGCAGGAAAACGAGAAGCTAGCTCAGCATAGCAAAGTGCATTTAATATACACGATACTCCAGCAAGTATAAAGCTGATTGTGACTCCTGCATTGTAATACAAAAGAGAGATTAATGAGCCACTGCGACATTGAAATTCATAAATAACAATTTCTTTTGAACAAAAGTAAGTTCGCCTGGAGTGAATCTAAACAGGAGTGAAAAAAGAAAAAAACTAAAACAAAGAAAAGACCAATTCTTTCCAAATTAGAAATCAAGGTTATACATCCAGTGTATAGAACAATTTTGATGCAATTCGATGAAAAGATGGAGGAGAAAGTTCCAATTGAAGCTCAAATTAATGGCTGAAGTTGAAGAAAGTCAATTTGAAGCCAGAGCGATCGTAAAACCAAAATGGATTATACATAGACAGACACGAGAACGTGAAATCATTAAAAACCTGGATTTCATTATAAGGAAAATGAAAAAAATATAGAAAAAACTAACCAGGTCCTGCATCGCGAGCGACAGTTCCGGTGACAACGAAGATACCGGCTCCAATGGAGGCGCCAACGCCGAGGAGGAGAAGATCGAAGAGACCAAGACGGCGGACGAGCCCATCGGGGGAATTTTTAGCGACGATAGTATCGTAGGGAGAATTTAACGGTTTGGTCCTACGAGCAGAAGACCAGCACTGAGAAAACCAGGAAGACGGAGCTCGGGTGAGAGAGCTGGTGGCACTCAGCTTGTCGCCTCCCATTGATGACGGTTGCTTATCCTCCGGTCCGCACCTAATTTAACGTCTCAGTCTAATAATATTGGTAACGTTTTGTAATCGTTCTTTTCCTGTTAGATCAGACGGTCCATTTTGGTAACTCTATTTTTAATATTTCTATATAAGATCTTGGTTTTTAATGAACATAATATCATTATTATTTATATCTAATTTCTTTTTTTTTATATTTAAAATTTCACATTGTTATATAATTTTTAAAAATTAAATATTTAAAAATAATATCTCATTTGTTCAATCTGATTGGTCTTGCACGTCTTTTAAAATATGTAGAGAGTGAGAAAAGTTTTTATATTATGTAGTTCATAATATTATTATAATTCATTAGACTTTTCAAATATAAAAAATCACATATGTCGCATTATTATAACTAATAAAATACATTAATTTAAAAATTTACTACTATTGACAAATTTTTCTTAAATCTTTTTGTAATTGGCATGTATTCTAAAGTTGGAATATAAAAAAGTTAATCACTACCCTCCATGGTTATTTGACATCATTCAATTATGAATTCTAAATTGATTATTAGCATATCAATAGCTTTATTTTGGCAAAAAGAAAAATTATTCCAAAATAATTAGAGTTAAAAAATTGATACGTTGCTTGATCAAATAAGTTACATTGTGTGATTTCCTAAACAGCTAATTAGCAATGAAAATATACTGTTAGCTCTTCGACTCTTCTATAAAAAAAAGTATTTAAATTTTCTTTTAATCTCATGAATAACAATTGGCATAGCAAAATGTAACTATTTAATTAGAAATAAATATTTTTATATATGATTTTTTAATATTCTCATGAATCATATATCGTAAATTATAAATTATAATGGAATAATTTCTTTAAATAAATAAATATAGCCAATATTATTATGATTAATGTCAAATCCTATCAGCTTGATACTTGTTAAATTTAATAGGAAAGTGAAAATAATATTCAAGTAAGGGCCAGAAAAGAATCCTAATCAATTGAAGAACCATAACTAACAAAACTAAAATGGGTTTGTCAACAAGAACCCTAAATAAAGCGAGCTAAAGACGACAATTATGCAAATAAAGTAAACTCAGAGAGAGGCAGAGACAAATATTATGCAAATTATAATGTATTTTACCACAAGTTCCATTTTGTGATATTAACAGAGATGTGCTCTGTATATAACTTGCAAAGCAAAACCAATTAACTACTAGACTAGTTTCCTCTTCACAATTTCCATTTTTAGCAGTAAAAAATGGAAGTGGATGGATATCCACTGCCTGTGATTTACGGTCACATGCTATATTTGCGTGTTGCATGTGTGCAACATTTTTACATCACATGCATTTGCATTTTGGAGAACTACCTTGAAATCAAAATTAAGTAATGAAAATTCAATAATTTATTTTTTACTTTAAATAATTCAACAAAATTTTCCTATATTCAAGAAAAATAATCCAAAAAGAATTAAAGAAAATGATCAGATTTTAATAGGTGCAGAGTATAATCAGTGGTCATATATAATGTAATGGAGGGTGATTGCCATCTGATGATACTCCTCACGAGTTGTAGTTTAACACCATTCCCTTGACAGCCTCAATGCAGTAATTCAGTCCCATTTTTTTTTTCCCGTAATTTTTTTTGGTATTTCGAGAGAAAATCTCTCTCCTCCCCCTCTTACATCTGTTACCCAACAAGAAATTAGAGAGGAGAGAGTAAAAAATATATGTTTTGAGGGTTTCTTTCTCATTCTCTGCTATTGCCCACCTGAATTCCCTGCTACCTTAATTTTCTTTTGCTTTGTTGCCTATTGAAGCTCCATTGACGCTTCTTCTTTGCAGTTCCTTACAAGGTAACTGATTTAATCCACAAGGTTCAGGATTTAAGGGTTTGCACGCAAGCTCATAAAGCTCGAGCTCCCAGGTTTGAGAAAGCCTTGATTGCTTTCTCTGTAATGCATTTGCAACTCAACAGTTTATTGGGCTATCTATATTGGGTGGCTTTTTAGGGTGGCTGTGGATTACACATCTTCAATCCTGTGTGATTTTTATGTGCAATTATATTGCTCGCATGAGGATTAGGGTTTTTGAGGTAAAAGAACCTTGATTTCCTGTTGTTTTTTCTGTCGTGCTTATCTGGGTTTCAAGTTTAAAAGGTATATGTTAATGGGTCTTTATTTGTTTTTTCAATGGTTATAGGATTTCGGTGTTTGAGGTTCAAAGATATTAGTATCTGGCCTTTGATTGAGATATGAGTCGCAGGGTGCGACGTAAAGTGGCAAAGAAAGGAAAAGAGGTGGTGGTCTTGCCCAGTTTTCCTGAAATTGAAGATGAGGTTTCGTGTTCTTATAGCAACGAGTCTGTTGATTGGACTAGCTTGCCTGATGACACAGTAATTCAGTTATTTTCCTGTCTGAATTATCGTGACCGTGCAAGCTTGTCATCAACATGTAGGACATGGAGAGCTCTAGGTGGTTCTCCGTGCTTATGGACTTCATTGGATCTCCGCGCCCATAAATGTGATGCTTCCATGGCAGCTTCACTTGCTTCTAGATGTGTAAATCTTCAGAAGCTTAGATTTCGAGGAGCAGAGTCAGCTGATGCAATTATACATTTTCAAGCTAGGAATTTGCGTGAAATAAGTGGTGACTACTGTAGGAAAATAACAGATGCAACTCTCTCTGTGATTGTGGCTCGGCACGAGTTGCTTGAAAGCCTCCAACTTGGGCCTGACTTCTGTGAGAGGATCACCAGTGATGCTATTAAAGCAACAGCTTTTTGCTGTCCTAAACTTAAGAAACTTCGGTTGTCTGGAATCAGGGATGTTTCTGCTGATGCTATCAATGCATTGGCCAAGCATTGTCAGAATTTGATTGATATTGGGTTCTTAGACTGTCTTAATGTTGATGAGGTAGCATTGGGAAATGTAGTATCTGTTCGTTTCCTTTCGGTTGCTGGGACATCAAATATGAAATGGGGTGTGATTTCACATCTTTGGCATAAGCTACCTAAACTGGTTGGATTAGATGTTTCAAGAACTGATATTGGTCCCACAGCTGTTTCGAGACTGCTATCTTCGTCTCATAGCCTGAAGGTTTTGTGTGCATTGAATTGTTCAGTTTTGGAAGAAGACATCACCTTCAGTGCAAATAGATACAGAGGCAAATTGTTAATTGCCCTTTTTACTGACCTTTTTAAAGGACTAGCTTCTTTATTCGTCGATAATGCAAATTCAAAAAAAGGAAAAAATGTGTTCTTGGATTGGAGGAATTCAAAAGCCAATGACAAGAACTCAGATGATATTATGACTTGGCTTGAATGGATCCTGTCTCATACACTTTTGCGTACTGCTGAAAGCAATCCCCAAGGTTTGGATGATTTCTGGCTGAAGCAAGGTGCAGCAATATTACTTGGTTTGATGCAGAGCTCGCAGGAGGATGTTCAAGAAAGGGCAGCTACTGGACTTGCAACTTTTGTGGTAATTGATGATGAAAATGCTAGCATAGATTGTGGAAGGGCTGAGGCAGTTATGCGGGATGGTGGCATACGCCTCCTTTTGGACCTTGCCAAATCCTGGAGGGAAGGTCTTCAGTCGGAGGCTGCCAAGGTAATCTCGTTTGTAGATATGGTGGCACTAATCATAGCCAATTATTATCTGGTCCAACCATTTTTTAATAATGTTTTTTGAAAATCCAATTTATTAAGTGGCTTTATCAGATTTTGATCACATGTTTCATTATTGTGCATGTATCTTCTATACTACCAGATTATCTTTCTAATATCTTGCATACTTATGACCTTGTGTAGGCTATTGCAAATTTGTCTGTGAATGCAAATGTTGCAAAAGCTGTTGCAGAAGAAGGAGGAATCAATATTCTTGCTGGGTTAGCGAAATCCATGAACAGGCTGGTGGCTGAAGAAGCTGCCGGAGGACTTTGGAATCTTTCAGTAGGAGAAGAGCACAAGGTTAGGCACCTCATTTTATTGTGCTATTATTCCAGGCTATATTTTATTACTCCTAATTGTATTTGTTTGAAATTATTGTTAGGGTGCCATCGCCGAGGCTGGTGGAGTAAAAGCTTTGGTTGATCTCATATTCAAATGGTCCTCTGGTGGTGATGGAGTTCTGGTTTGGTCTTTAAAAACCTGTTCAAATTTTTTTTTTATTTGAGCAGTTAACTTTTTTTCTTTCCTACAATTCAAGCAGCCATTATATGATATTTAATTCTTGGGTTGGTTTGATTTGTGTGTTTTCAGGAACGTGCAGCTGGTGCTTTGGCAAATTTGGCAGCTGATGACAAGTGTAGCATGGAGGTTGCATTGGCAGGTGGCGTGCATGCTTTAGTGATGCTTGCTCGTAACTGCAAGTTTGAGGGAGTGCAAGAGCAGGTGAGTTATTTTTCATTTTTTTGATGGTTGAAGAAGAAAATGATGCATGGTGAGATCTCTAAATGAAACATCTATCCATTAACTATTACCTCAGCTGTTGGGATTGTGATACGTCTTTGCTGAGTTGCTACTTTTTTGAAAACTGTATAGCAAAATGAAATAATGAAAAGCCGAAATTGAGAGTAAACCAGATTGAAATTGCATAATTGGATAGATTTTTCAAAGTTTCTCTAGAAAGCAGATGTTGCTAAAGGTTCAGGCTGTGGAGACTAGTAAGTATGTGCTTGGGTTATGATGCGCAGACGTGCTTCCATATTATTCAACTTCATTGAGGGGATTTCAGAATTCTAAGTTCTGGAAATTTGTGGGCTTTCCTATTTATCTGAATTTTTTTCTTTGCTGGGGTATGTTAACATTATGTGTAATGTGTTTCTTTTTGTACTTGGCCATTTTATTATTATGTTAGATGAAGTAAATAACTTTTCTGTAGTTTGATGTCTAAACATTCTGTGCTCTGTGAATGAGTGTGTTCTAACTTCTGAGTGGTGGATGTTTGATTGATGTCCTGCATGTTAATTAGTCAACTTGGGTTTTCCAGGCTGCTCGTGCCCTAGCTAACTTGGCTGCTCATGGAGACAGCAACACTAACAATTCTGCTGTTGGACAAGAGGCTGGTGCTCTCGAAGCACTCGTTCAACTTACACGTTCACCACATGAAGGTGTCAGGTAATTTACTTGCTCGTAATTTATATTACTTATCTAAGCTGCTTTTAGGTTTTCAGCAACTAATCTTGTCTACTTATCATATTTCTGATTATGATTAGCCATTCTTCCAGCCAGTTTGATGCTTTTATTTGCATAACCATCCTAAGCGTTTCATCCATTTATCCTTAGCTCTATTTATTTTTTACCTCCTCTCTTTTTCTGGCTTCTTTTGAGTGTGTCTTTGTAGATGTGTTTCTATGGGTACTGCAAGGTGGGATCAGTCTCCCTTACTTAATACAAAGCAACAATAAAGCAAAGGACTGGAATCTTTTATCCATATTATTGATGGCATAATTTTGTTTCAGTTGTTTTTCCAATTAAACAAGTCTATGAAAAGTTGATGTCAGCTTGAACCTATTTCATATTTTTCTGTTGTTCTTTTATTGTCTTTCTTACCAATCTCACATGGAGGGTTATCTTTTTCTTTTCTTTTGCATGGAAGCTGTTTCTGAAATTTATGCACAGCATCTTTTTTTTAATATGAGCCACAAATTTTAACAGTTTCATCTGATATGTGCTACTTAAATTGTTTATTAAACAGGCAGGAAGCTGCTGGTGCTTTGTGGAACTTATCATTTGATGATAGAAATCGAGAAGCAATTGCAGCAGCTGGTGGTGTTGAAGCCTTGGTATGATGTTTTTACGTGATGAATCTTAAATCTTTTTGGCCTTTGAGTTAATAGCCTTGGCATGAGTTCATGGTGTCATATCTTTTAAATCTTTGCACAATTCAATTCTTCTGAGAAATATTTATTCCATTTTAAAATATTATTTCTAGTGGTGGGTGCCACTCAAACTATTTGATATATTTCTAAATGAGTATGCAATACAACGAATGTTATGAAAGATGCGAGTCAACTTGTATAACTGTACGGTTCAAAGTGTTGTGCATGTTGTTTGATTTTATGTGGGCTATTCAGGTTGCTCTTGCACAATCTTGTTCTAATGCCTCTCCGGGTCTTCAAGAGAGGGCTGCCGGAGCTCTTTGGGGATTGTCAGTGTCAGAGGCCAATAGGTATGCGCTTTAGTTTTTTTTTCTTATTTGTAAGAAAGCTCCTATATTGCTAGGAAATATGCTACATGTTTTGTCTGGATATACCTTCAACCAAAGAAATCCAGAGACTGTTACAATCTCTGTTTTGCACCTACCTCTTAGGGTAGGTTTCCTTCATCGCAATGTTTTTAGATTCTTTAACAAGAGTTCTCTTCCTGGTGAAACGTAAAGATATACAGCATGTAGCATATGACGTAAGAACACGAATTTGTTAATGACACTGCTAGAAATTTAATGTTAGAAATTGAAATCCTTCTACCTTATAAATATTTTATTTAGTCTTAATAATCTTAATCTAATTTTGAAATAAAGTATAATATTAGGGGTAGATGTAGTCCTGTGGATCAAGTTAGTGGATTGACTCCACCATGCACGGGTACAATTCCTGTCATTCGCCCATAGTCATGAAGTAATAATAAATAAAATCATGTAGTAATTGAAGTAATAGTAGTAAAAAATAAGCCTGCAAATTCTCCCGATTTATGGCCACCATACAATCTGTTATATAAATCGGTAAATGCTCCTTTCCATTATGGATAGCTGATCAGTGGGTATAATGGTAAATGCCTGGGTTTTCAGGAAAATGTACTTCATTTAGTTAATTTTCTTGATGTTAGTTAGTGGCTGATTATTATAGAACTAGATAAGGATTACATTTCTTGACACATCTGTACTTGTATAGCTGAATCAAATTATTTGTCCTTTTGGTATTTTAACTGCTGAAATAATTTTAGTTCACCTTCAATGCCTGTAATTTATATGTTCCTGTTGTCCTTGGCATTGTACTTGTGTAGGCAAGTACTTAAGGAGGAAGATGGTGTTTTATGCATAATTCTTGGGCATATGTTCTAATGTGATACATATGTGTGTGTCTTTTTAGCATTGCCATTGGACGAGAAGGAGGTGTTGCGCCTTTGATTGCTCTGGCACGATCTGAGGCTGAGGTCAGTATTTTGATTTTTCAGTGGTCAATGAGACTGAAATTTCTGTTCATCTAAAGCTTTCCCTAGATATACTTATGAGTGCATCATGAGGAATTTTAGTTATATATTTTTTAAAATTTTTTATGTCATAACCTGATAAGCAGCTATCCTTTTTATTCTGGTTTTTTAAAATTTATTTCCTTTTCTATTATAATTTGAATGTGCATTTTTATAGGTGTTTATACTTATCCTTCTTAAATAAGCGGATAACTTCACAAAACTTCCCTATTCTCCTTGTGCTTCTTGTGTTTGTAGAACATGACTTGAGCTTTTCTGTATGTTTTTCACTTTTAGGATGTCCATGAGACTGCTGCAGGGGCTCTTTGGAATCTTGCTTTCAATCCAGGAAATGCTCTCCGAATAGTGGAGGAAGGTGGAGTTCCTGCACTTGTACATCTATGTTCTTCGTCAGTATCAAAGATGGCGCGCTTCATGGCTGCTTTGGCGTTGGCGTACATGTTTGATGGAAGGTACTTAATACAAGTGGGGGCTTTTGAAATTCGATGAGGTTCTGCTGGTGTAGGTTACTTCATACATTCGTGAACAGCTTATACTTGTACTTGATATAGAGTTGTGTCAACCATCCCTTTTGAAGCAAATTCATTGTGGCCAACCAATACATAATCTAACAATAGCCATGTTTCTGAAGATGTCATCCCTTGAACAGAAAGTGTCAAATTTACACCTTGCTTAATGCTTACAGTAGAATTTGTGCAACATTATTTGCCAATAAAATAACTGTTAAAATATCAAGTAAAGTTGCCGGTAAGTTTGAAACTAACTTAAAATGTATGTAAGAATGTGTTGCACTTCCTGATATATGAGTTTATAAGACCACTTTTATTCGAAACAGTGAGAGTCCTGGTTATAAGGAGTTATAATGACAGGGAAAGATGATTCTTCTCTTCCTGTCCCCAAAACAAACCAGAAAAAAAAAAACACCACTAACTCTAAAGGAAAATGGAAAACAAAACTATTATATCATATTTTCTCTTTTTTTATGTTAAACCATTGAATTGTTTTCTATTTATATATATATGTATGCTGTATTGATATATGATAATTTCAGGTCATGCTAATGGGCCCTGATTACCCCAAATTTTAAGCCTTTAGACAATTTATGCTTGATCTCCAAATCTGATATTTTTTGGTGTTGGATCTCATGGAGTACTTCCCAACAAGTTGCAGAAAATGCTAACTGTTGCTTGATATTACTCTCTATTATCTCCAATTATAGTTTTTTTTGTCTGTTTTCTAACATTCCACACTTGATATTACTCTATTATTTCAACCTTAAACTTCCAAAATAAAGCAAAATTTGGTTAAAATAATCCTTTGTTTTTCTCTTTATGCAGAATGGATGAATTTGCATTAATAGGAACTTCAACAGAAAGCACTTCAAAGAGTGTGAGCTTAGATGGGGCTAGAAGGATGGCTTTGAAGCATATTGAAGCTTTTGTTCTTACCTTCTCTGACCAACAAACATTTGCTGTTGCTGCCGCCTCTTCAGCTCCTGCAGCATTGTCACAGGTGACTGACAGGGCTCGTATTCAAGAAGCAGGACACCTCAGATGCAGGTTTCTCTTCCTCTGTCTCTCAACCGTTTTACCCTGAAAGACTTGCACATAAGCACACACTGAAATGGACCCCAATTTACTGTGGCAAGATACTTTTGACCCTCTTCTACTACATGGAGCAGCAGAAATTTAGAGTTGGACATATGAGATGTATTAGGCTTGTTAATGTGATCAACTGATGATTGTCGTTGAATGTTTGTGGATTTGAAGCACTGGTTTTGTTTGTTGCAAATTCCCTCTTCTTTGAATACATCCAATTTTCTAGAGATCTTTTCTTCTCAGTGACTAAGATTTGTATGACTGATGGAAAAGAAAGAGTATCTTTTACATATCCACCCAATTTGTCAATTTTTTGTCTTTATGTGAAACCTACCTATGATGACTCTTGGCGCTAGTCTTCTCTGGGTGTGCTACTCTTGGCCATCCAATCTTCTCCATAGTTAATCCTCATTCTATCTTCTCATGATTAAATTCATTTTCATAGGTTAATTGTTATTATTTATTTATTTGTAACATCATATGTACCTTATGTGTGTGTGTTTTCCTGACTGGGTGTCCTTTTCTCATTCACTACTTTTTTGGGGTCTCAGTGGAGCAGAGATTGGAAGATTTGTTACCATGCTACGAAATCCTTCTTCTATACTCAGGGCCTGTGCTGCATTTGCTCTTCTCCAGGTAATAATTGCAAGCTCAGAGCCAACCCACATCCCTTGTTATCTCTCTAAAAATTTCCACCCAGTTCATTTTTGTTGTTGTGTGTCTTCTGTAAGAGATTGGATGAATGCTCTTGCTAAAAATTGACTGGGTGCCTTCCTGCAGTTTACCCTTCCTGGCGGCCGGCATGCTATGCACCATGCAAGTCTCATGCAGACTGCTGGATCTGCACGAATTGTGCGTGCAGCAGCAGCTGCAACGACTGCACCGCTTGAAGCCAAAATTTTTGCAAGAATTGTATTGCGTAACCTGGAGCAACACCAGATAGAATCTTCAATATGAAGGCAGCTGCCAACCCTAGCCTAATCTCATTGATGGAGGCCTTTTCACCTATAAAATCTCACAGCTTCCCTTCAAAGGGAAGGAATCAGCACTGCTTTGTGAACGACATAGACGAGCCAAGCAATGTGCTCAAGAAACACTGCTCAATGCAACTTCTTTCCCTTCTTCCCCCTGTTTAGGTACTTAGAGGTTGTTATTTGGTTCTCAAGAGTGTTTTTTTTTTACCCCTTTTTGTAGCAATTCCTTACATATAGAAGTGCTTTTCATGGGGGGATTGATCTAGAAACAAGTAAATAATCATTTGTTCCTTTCTTCTATTCTATCTGTATTCTTTATGACTTCTTCATTATAATGCAATTGAGAAGCTGTTTGAGACTTACCGAGGCTCATCACTTGATGTATTTGAGGATCAGGAATCCAACAGTGGTCTCTTTTTTTTTCTTTCCCTTTCTTTTTTGGGTGAAAGTGATGCAAGTCCTTGTTTTTGCCATGCATTATGCATTTGCTGACATTGTCGATGCAAGTTCCTATGGATATTGTCATTCAACTCTTTTTTGCGAAACGTCATTCAACTTCATTGAAGTTTAAGATTCATATTTCAACCAGGAGCATTCAAGTTGATGCAAGTTCCTATGGACATCAGTAAGCTGTGAAAAAATTGCAGTTGCTTAAATTATTACATTTTCCTTCTCTAACATGTTCAAATCACCCTAGTTTCATCTTTTGTAAATCATGAATATAAAGTTGACCAATCTATTGCCCCAAAAAAGGATGAGAAAGCAACTCTTTCAACTGGAATTCCTTATCGTACACATATAGAGGTACATAGTACATTTTCCGGATCTTGCTAATGACCTGCCATAGGCCATGGCTCAGGTATGCATTACAAAACCATCAAATGAAATATCAAAATACAGGAACAAAGAATGAATGCATAGTTTCCAGTTTCCAGTTTCCCAATTGACTAATGAAGATGTCAATTCTCACAGAATATGCGGTACAGATTGATACTCTGTAAGCCCAAATAGTTCGATGAAGAATTTCCCGATTGATGAGACCCATCTATAAGATAAAGGTTCTGTTATTGTCAGCTGGTATGATGCTTGGTCCTCCAAATAAGGCACTATGTAATTTTTCATATCACTTCGAGAGATTTGAAGGTGATTCCCAGAGACATTAATGAATTTAACTTTTCCAGCTTCATCCAGTGTTTTCAAACCAATCCAGTCTTCAGTGTAGAGCTTAGTCTGCAAGAAATACAAGATGCAGGAAAGAATTAAAAGCTGTCAAATAAAATAAAGTGGAAAACTAGCTATAACTGCTTTCAATAAAGTGGATATCCCCTTGGAAATGAGTCAAATCCATGAAGCACCAAGAGAAATTTGCTTCCAGGTTTGGTATTTCTCATGAAAAACTAGCCCGAAAATTGAGCAGTGACAAAGGAAACCTTATCTTCAGACTACCTTACACATGAAAGGAGGAAGATAAATATTTGTCCTCCACAGTAATTCATCTCCTTAGGGATGCACTAATGATCAAATAACTCTCGTGGGTACTCAAAGAATATCACATTGGTTTTGGTCAGAACCAACTGTTTTTCTAGGTCAATGATACTATAAATTGTGTCCATATACTATTTCAAGAACTGAAAAGGGAAAAAAGAGAGAGAGAAAAATACATGCCTATGTGTAAGCCTCCAGCACTTAATTCGTATCCTTTTGTCAATTCCAAATTCATAAATTTCCTTCTATTAATTATTTGCGCCAGGAAAGTAAGTATGAGATGATCACATTTCTGACATTCTGAAGTGTCTAAAGAATGTTTCACCAGGATATTGATTTAATAAATATTTAGCAGAGAGTTTAATTTCACCAGCCTACCATGCCAGATTACAAGGAACAAAACATAATTACCTCTTGTGGAGGCAGGACAGAAGTAAAGCATCCATCTGGATAATACCCAAACCATGAGGTTTCCTTTGGTACCAAAACTGTATCATGCTCAAACTGATAAGCATCACCAAGCTTTTTGTCAGAATAATTGAAGATTGGATAATTTGCGTAATGTGTTAAAAATTGCTAGAGGAACAAAATAGAAATCAACTGACCATGATTAAAACCAAATTCTCTAAGCTAGCAAATCGTTCCTTGTAAGTAGAGTTTTTGATGATCTCATTGTTAAGTTCGGGGAGAAACTTGCACCCTTTTACATAATGTTCAATGTCCTAGAGAAAGAAATACTTCTTATTTTTCAAATATGGTTGAACATAAATTCAAGTGAAATTAGTTGATACAAATGAAGAGAAATGCAAAAGAATTTTGGCATCTTGATCCAGAAAATGGATTAAATAAATGAAATAATAGTGGGATCGGTTGAAGTCAAGCAATTAAGAAGAGAACCACCAGTAGTTCAGCACAAGTAAGCTATAGACTCACGGTTGGGATTTTGATATATCCACTAGGAGCCAAGTGTTCCTGCAATTTCACCACTGATAAGTGACTCAACATGCAATGGATGAAAGATGAGATAATAATTAAGGCTTAAAGGAACAATTAAAAATCATCTGTCCTGGGTAAGAATGAAGGCAAATCACAAATAACCTCAAAGAAAATGATTTACCATGCCAGTAGTTACTGAAATCATCTAAATCATGTTCTACGCCTTCTACTTCCCATTAATAAATCAAGACGTGTAAATAGTTTATAATTATACCTGGACATAGATGCTGTAGATCTCTAACCGGAGTAAAGCATCCACAAGAATGCAAATGAGGCCAGACTGAAAAAAAAAGGACAAGAAGTCTGACAACAGAAATACTTCCAAAATCTGCTTTGGTCTTGTTTATCTACTAGAGTTCATTTAAAATAAAACAAAATTAGTTGAAGCAATTAGAAAAAATATAATAGCACTTACTCCACAGAGTGGAACTGAAGCAATACCAGCATGGGGACCTCCCAGTGAAATAAAGTTCTTAACCTGTTACACATGCACAAGAAGGATCATGAAAAGGAACTAACTACAATGAAGGGAATAAAGGCGGCATCACAAACAACAAGAAGGTATGAGAGTACATAAGACAGAATGGTAAGTTATATATGGGGTTGGTGCAGAGAATCTAATTTGATGAGCCAAAAACCTGGCATGAGGATGGTTTTTGGAGTTCCAGTTTCCAAATTGATACTGATGTTTAAATTTCCAAATTCACATGCACGAGAAAACCGTTTGCTTGAGGCTTTTAGAGTTGATTTTCAAAATTTTCAATCTTTCGTTGAAAATTGAATTGAGTTGTTAAAAAAAGACATCTTGGCAAAGTGGAGGCAGCAGATGATGATAATCAAATGAAGCTTGCACTCTCTAGGACATTATTCTTGAACCTCACCATTATAGAAATGAATATTAATCATTACCTACATCTGCAGCCAAAAACCGTAGATGGATATAACCATCTACCAACACCATGATTGTATATCTGTATTTTCAATGGCTATTTGTGGTCCTCTTCTAAGTTCTAATTAATATTTTATCCATTTAACAGCCACAAGGCAAAGGGGTGGGTAATGCACTGACTTAGGTACTTCAACAGTAAACTTATTGATCCATCAGAATAATCTTGTAGGAGTCAGAGTTGAGTCTGATAGTTTTTTTATTTCTTAGATCTGATAAAAGGTTAATTGACAATTTTCTTACATTACATTAACCAAAACTGCAAATTATTGCAGCAAGCATTCTGGTTTGGAAATGGATTACATAAATTAACTTAGTTTAGTAGCTTTCTTAGGAGCTTATGAAGTTCTTGTTTCCTTTTTATAATAACTAATAAGATAAAAACACCTTTATGAATACTTGAAAGAGGAGATAAAACATGAATACAGTTTTTACACAGTACTTACAGCTGGTCCTCCTTCACACAATTCAATAATTCCTCGACCAATCAAGTTACCCTGTAAATAGAATTATTATTATGAGTGCTTGATTTTTATGCAAACTGTAAAACAGATCCAAGATTTGAACGGTAGAGGCTAGAAAAATGAAATGACTGTGAAAAACCATACAAACACAAGCAGGAGCAAAATAATTCCAAAATTAACCTGGAGGATATTATCTCCTACCCTGTATATCCCATGACACATGCAACTCTCTTTGAATCAAGAACACACATAAAAAATTATGTACAAGGGATCATGGATCTCAATCAAATGTAAGTGTACTAAAAAATGCAGTCAATTTCAAATTGGTGAATTAATTATGCAATAAACAGATTAACATCTATACCCAAATCATATATATATATATAAAGAAGAAAGAAAATTCTAGATCATCCTCCAAGTATGCTCTAACTGCAGATGACATACCTATCCAGATGGCAAATGATCACAAAAAGATTATGGCAGATGAAGCATATCAATTTATTAATTTTTCAATCACCTGAGAAAGCCCAACTATGTTGTAACCATCAGCAAGTTCACTCATATTCTTCACCTGCAAATGTAAACAAGAATCTTGCTTGGAAACATATTAAAATTTCAAGTGGCAAAACAGCAACATTTGAACAAGTTTCCCAATAGCTTTTAGCACCTTTTCACAAGCAACTGTTGTCTGCAATCACAATGTTAACAGAAAACCATTAAATTGTGAGATACAGACCTAACAATGACATGCACTTGAAATATTCTTAAAGTGTCACCTGTTCAATAAGGGGCATAATCCAAGAATCCCAGGATCCATCTCCAATTTCACTGCAGAAGAAATAGGAATAAATAACTATGTTCAGGATGTAGGCAAGAAGTGCACTTTGAAATTTTCCCTGGATCCAAGCTTGATCAGCAAAATATTATTCCAGGTGTACAGATAGAGGCATACACACATAATGAGCACAAACAGAAGACTGCCATTATCATTATAGGATGCATTAAAAAAATATATTTGAATTCATAGTTGATGTTCCTGACATAGCATATAATTGTAAAAAGATTAACTGAAAGATTGGTAAGTAGATACAAACTAAACTAAATTTCTCATCCTAAATGGCTTCAAAGTGCTGAAAAGCACGTTTGTGTTTGGCAATGTAGTTTAGCTCGCTGATTATAATGTCGATATAATGTTTTTTTCTAAAGACGGGTGACAAAAAGTAATTCTGCCTCTAGATTGAAAATCCTAAACCCTAAACCATAAAAAGTAGAATAGTGGCTGAAATTCAAATTCCAAGATGAGTGAAAGTACAAGCTAGAATGCTTGTGGACGTATTTCCAAAACAAACAAAAGCCACCTTAGACCTACATCACTCTGCCTAATTATAGAGATCCACGAACTGAGTCCTCAAGGCCCAGAAACAGGTTATAAGTGTAATGGGTGGCTAGTTTATGCATCTTAGACTTCGGGTAAGGCAACAAATAGATACATTACACTCATAGTTGTGAATTGTGGTTAACACTGAAATACACAAACTATAGCATACAGGCAATATCCTGGAGCACCAGACCAGTCGCTTAAAAGCTCAGTAAATTGTGTGATCCCGTGATTACTGCATTTATCTCCAATGCCTGACACCAAATGCATACAAAAAGTTAGTGTAGTATGATAAAGTTTGATTCACATACCACTGTCTTCAGTTCCACTTATGGAATTGCCATCATTTATGCTATTGTTCATAGAGTAGCCAAAGAACTGGTTGAAGGCAATTGTGATTGGAGATTTTGAGAAGTAAGCCAACATATACTAAAAAAAAAAAAAAAAATTCTGTAGGAATACATTACACTCATAGTTGTTTGAATTTGGTGGTTAACACTGAAATACACCAAACTATAGGCAATACAGGCAAAATAATCCCCTGGAGGCACAGACCAGTCGCCTTAAAAGCTCAGTAAATTGTGTGATCCCGTGATTACTGCATTTATCTCCAACTGCTCCTGACACCAATGCCATACAACAAAGTTAGTTGTAGTATGATAAAAGTTTGATTCAACATACCACTGTCCTTCAAGTTCCACTTTATGGAATTGCCATCATTTATGCCTTAATTGTTCATAGAGTAGCCAAAAGAACTGGTTGAAGGCAATTCTGATTAGGAAGATTTTGAGAGTAAGCCAACATCATACTAAAAAAAAAAAAAAAAATTCTGGGCAAGTGGTATGTTCCTTACCATCTCTGTTTTGAAGAGTTTGTTTTAGCGTTGCTTATAAACTTATATATAAGTTAAACCAAATTTTATGGGCATACCGAACAAACGCGTAACTTTATGCGTCTGTCTGATCATAACAGATAGAAAGAAAGGAAAAAAAAAAAAAAAAATTCTGCAGGGTATGTTCCTTACCATCTCTGTTGAAGAGTTCTGTTTAGCGTTGCTTATATCTTATATAAAGTTAAACCAAATTTATGGGCAACCGAACAAACCTAACTTTTATTGCGTCTTCTGATCATAACAGATAGAAAGAAAGGCCAAATATTTACAGGGGACTAAGTCAATCATAAGTGGAAGCTTCAAGATTTGATACAGTGTAGATTTCCTGTTTCGCGATAACCAACGTGGAAAAAACCTACGATCCCCATCTCATTTTCTATCTTTTGCCATAGAATACTATGTGAAGTGTCCAATTAAGGAAACGGCAAAATGATATATCTGAAATATATATCCCACTCAAAAGAGAAATCCTAGAAACTATTCTGTGTGGAACTGAAAACAAATAAAAGCGAAAATTTTTAATGACGATCACGTGATTTGCAGACTTTTTTGTATCATCCACTACCGAGCTAGCAATCCACTAACTCAAACACAAGCTAAAAGAAAAAAAATGAAGAAACGCATAACTTGGGTACCAGACAGAATCAGAAAAAGGGCATAGACAATTACCGTGCAAGACTATGAAGGGAACAGAGAGTGTGACTTGGATGAGATTGAAAGTGAAGAACAGTACTATTGCGATCGTAAAGGAGGTTAAAAGAGAACCCATTGGTATTTCTTGTTTAAGGCTTCTAGAATATTAAGATTTTGCAGGAGATAACAGAAACCGCAGCTCAGGGCAATGATGCTCGTGGGCGCGCGAAAACACGAGAAGAAACTCGTACGTAGAGATAGAGAGACAGTCAACAAGGAAGCCAGATGGATGGGTTTGGTTTGTCTAAATACAGACAATCCTGCAACTACCATTCATATTCGGGTGAGGTCTATTATTATTATTTATTAGGGACCCTTCTATGAATTCTTTCTCTTCTCCTTCTTCTTATTATTATTATAATATGTTCATCATTCAAATTAACTAAAAGTTAGTTATTTTCAGTAGTATTTTCCCTTTTACAAAATTAAAATTAACAAAAAAAAGAAGAAAAATTCTTCTAGTCCTGTAGAAAAAATAAAAATCCATTTGAATTAAAACCAAAATTTCGTTTTATCTTTGTAATATCATTTCCCTGGCATCAAAAGTCAAAACTACCTTCCATTTCTGTGGCACCCTGAACCAATACCAAAATGACAAAGCAGTGGTACTGAGTGCCGTCAATTTATCCTGTGAAAATTCAATTTTATTATATTTTTAGTCCGGAAAATTTTGATATATCGATTTTTATTATAAAATTTCTATTCAAACCTTTTTTTGTTTCTTTACTTATTCCGATCAGAACCATATTTATTCCGTCAACCAAATGCTCAGCCGCGTCAAATGTCAAAGATATTTTGTAATTTTTTCAAATGGCTTCTGTTCTACAAACTACACATATTATTTAATCAAAATCTTCAACTTTGCCCAAAGATGCAGTCGATGACAAATTTCTTATGAAAATGGAAGGACCCAAAAGGCTCCAAAAAACCTGGTCTCAAGGGTACGAGAGTGCTTCTAATCCATGATACGTCAAAGAGGTTGACCAACGTCTGTAGCTTCATTTTGTAATTACTTGCTTTAGCGCAGCTTTTAACAGTTTACAGAACGCTTCACTAGCAACTTATTGAATACCAAGTTTGTGACGAAACCCTTTATCTCTCATATGAATCAACAACTGCCCCAAGACTGATTGAATTGAATCCCACTGTGGGTGTTCTCTACTCCCAGCTATGAACTCTGAAACTCTACTTTCAATCTCTATAGCACTACTACCTGCCTCTTTCTTTGCTCCATTTCTCCTCATCAATTGCTTCATTTCCTCTACGTCTCTCCATCTTTTCTCTACCGCATACAAGTTCCTCAATATGACATAGTTTCCATCATTCCATGGCTCTATATTATGAGCCTCATTTAGCACTTTCTGAGCCCTTTTAACATCCTTACAATAGGCACAAGCAGACAGAAAAGAACTGAGGATGATTCCGTTAGCTTCATAAGGCATACTCTTTATCAATTCGTCTGCTTCCTCCAAGTGCCCTGCTCTTCCTAGTAAATCAATCAGACATCCATAGTGCTCAATTTTTGGGGTCAGCCCAAAATCACACATAGCTTTAAACCACCTCTTTCCTTCTTCTATTAAACCACCATGGTTACAAGCAGACAAAACGCCGATCATGGTTATATCATTTGGTTTAACTCCTGCACTTTGCATCTCCAGAAATGCTTTCAGTGCTTCCTCAGCACACCCATTAACTGCAAATCCATTTATTAAAGCATTCCAAGAAGTTTGTTCCTTCTTAGGCATGCTGTCAAACACGCTTCTTGCTTTCAAAATTTCACCACATTTTGCATACATATCAACCAGTGCTGTACTGACATTACTTTCTCTATCAATTTTCTTCCTGCAAGCAAACTGATGAACCCAACCCCCCAATTCCAAAGCACCCAAATCAGCTATAGCTGGAAGGACACTTACAGTTGTTACTTTATCTGGTTCAAAAGAAGTGCTAGACTGCATTACATTAAACAATCTCAATGCTTCATGAGGTTGTCTATTTTGGGAATAACCGCCAATCATTGCATTCCAAGAAAACAGGTTCTTCTTCGGCATGCTATCAAAAAGAGACCTAGCAGATAAAACATCACCACAATTGCAATAACCATAAATCATACTAGTCCAAGAGATTACATTCCTATCCGGCATCTCATCAAACAAACTTTGAGCAGAGTCCATATCTCCTACTTTAACATAACCATCAAGCATTGCATTGTAAGCTGCAGAATCTTTCACATGCATCTGATCAAATAGTGCCCTTGCACTGACCATATCTCCCGACCTGACATACCCACAAATAAGAGCTGTCCATGATACTAGACTTCTCTCAGTCATCTCATCAAACAGTTTTCTTGCCATGTTTAACTCCCCAAACTTTGCATACATGTCAACAAATGCCGTTGAAACATACAAATCTTCACGAAAACCAATCTTCACAACATGGTTATGCATCTCCAAACCTTCCCAAATAGCCATACTCAAGCCACAAGACTTCGCCAATGCAGTAAATGTGAAATTATCAGGACGGAAACCCGTGTCCCTCCTAAGATCCTTGTAAAGAGTTAAAGAATCAGAAAATTGGCGCATGTCGGCATGAGCTTTGATCATGGAATTGCAAAGGAACGTATCGTCTTTGTGGGGCCTATTATCAAACATCTGGCGAGCATGGCGGACAATAGCGAGTGGTTCAAAAGCGAAAGCTATACGAGCAAGATAAGCAGAGGTGGTGATGAATTTGGTAAGAACGTGGATGTTGGTTTCAACGGCGTTTCGAAGCATGAAAGCATGGATTTGTAGGAGGGTTTCCCCCGTTTTTGTTCGCTGAAGAATAGAAAGGCATTTTCTTTCAATTGGCCTCCAGAGAAGATACGGCTGGCCATCCTCTGTCATTGGCTAGTGACTTAAAATCAATCCCTTCTCGTCTTGATTGCTGCATAATAGTCCAGAGATCATACGATGTTACATTGCTTCTGATTGGCGGTTCTTTTGTTACATAATTACCGAAAAATAAGTTAGCTTAATATACTAGCCAGGAGCCACAACATTTTTTTCCGAATTCTCAAGCTATTACCGCAAACCGCTGGATCCCCGGTGGCCGGTGCCAACGACTGCTAGCATCTATAGACAATGAGGAGACTCGGAATATAGGAGGATACGCCGAGGTTTTGCTACGCCAACGGCTCTTCGTCAACAAATGTCTGTCGGATAAAGATATCGAATTATCTGTTTACACGTGCCGTTGTTTTTTTTTTTTTTTTTTTTTTGACTCCGGAATATAGAGGATACGCCGAGGGTTTTTGCTAACGCCCAACGCTCTTCGTCACAAAATGTCTGTCGGATAAAGATATCGAATTATCTGTTTACACGTGCCGTTGTTTTTTTTTTTTTTTTTTTTTTTGCGAACGGCTTATTGTTGAACAAAGTGTCTAGTCGTATTGTACAGTGTCGGTTGTGGACGACAAGCCACTTTAAGGATTTGTATTTTGTTGCGTATGGTTGTCAGCCACTCAGGTTTCGGAGGACAAACAGAACGACCGGACGTTCAGTACAGAGACATTGGTCCAAATCAAAAGTGTAATACCATCTCTTTCGCTATTCAGGCCAATGCAAACGACAAGTAGATTTATTCACACGATCCGTCACCCAATTCTAGAACGCCGGTCTAGTTTTCCGTTGTTCAACGATCAAAAACACATACACCGACACAAAAAGGTTGCAAGGTTTTTACAGGGAAAGGGAATGACTTTGAAGTGAAAAACGATATCAATTCTGTTAACGGCCTGTCTGTCTCTATCTGGGGTGTTAAAGTTCCAGCTACAGCTATTGATGCAAGTGTTGTTGACAATTTTTGGAGGTATTTTGTTAAAGTCATTTAGATTTTGTTGTATTTTGTTGAAGTCAAGAGGTAGGAAGAGGTAGCGAACTACCTTGCTTTTAGGTAGATTTGGGTGAACCAAACCTTCCTTGACTTTTAGGAATTGTCGTGAACAAACTTTTTAGGAACCTAGCTCTACTATTAAATGGGTTTACATTTATGCTGTAATGGAATTAATAAAGGAAAATTAATTGTTTCTTCACACTCAACAAAATCTGCAGCTTTTCTTTTATCTGCAGAAATTTCCTTCTCTTCCTTAATTTTCTGCTCTTCTAAACCAACATGGGGAATCAATATTTGTAAATAATTTCTAATTGTGAAGCTTTACATAATACCCATTTATAAGTTGACAATTAACATTGATTAAAGAAAATTAATTGTTTCTTCACACTCACAAAATCTGCAGCTTTTTCTTTTTCTGCAGAATTTCCTTCTCTTCCTTAATTTTCTGCTCTTCTAAACCAACATGGGGAATCAATATTATTGTAAATAATTTCTAATTGTGAAGCTTTTACATAATACCCATTTATAAGTTGACAATTAACATTGATTAAAGAGTGATTTGAGCAAAAATATTTAGACGGTGTAGTGCTGGTTAATGGCGTCAATGTCCAAGCCTCTTAACTTGGCAAATGACTCCACCTTTCCTTTCAGTGTGTGAAGCTCCCTCATCCTGAAGCACAGTCAAAAATGGAAAAATGTCAGGTTGATAATGGAGACCAAAAGATTTTATTTTTATCTGATGTGATAAGGAAAAAATACAAGGAGGACTGACCTTGCAATCTCTGCACGCTTTTTAGCTTCTTCTGCCATGATACTAATGTCCCCAAAAGTGTTTCTCTCAGAAAACAATTTTCTCTCAGCAGACCGGAGGCCATGAAGCGTTCGCTGTTCTGCTGCCCATGCTGCTTCTCGAGCTTCTTTACCAAAGTTCTTTTTGTTGGTGAAAGCAGTCTGGTAATAAAAATTTTAGATTGTAGTAAGTAGTTGAAATTGATTTTAGTCAGGTTGTTAGAATGGTTAGAATTTTCACTTACCCTTTGCTCTACCACTAGATCCCAGGCTTTTCCACTCAGTGCATAGCGCACAGCAAATTTGATAGGATCAAGGAGGAGGTAGGTCAGCATATTGTACAGCCAAATCACACCTGTCCACCCCCAACCAATACTTCTGATTCCAGCAAATTTCCATGTTGCAATGGCCGAGATCACAGTTGCAATCTGAATTCATTACCATTTAAAAGGTTCAGATTTAGTATGTACAAAATAATTCAATGCTTTGAACGATAAGATTTATAGGATTCATTACCAGTTGAGCAACTATAAAGGCATTAAACAGTAGAAGGCCAGGACGTTCTCTAAATGACCAGCTCCTGGACCGTGTCACGAATATCAAGGCCTGGCTAATGGTACTAACTTGAAGATATACAGCAGATGCTAACTGTTCTTCAAGCTCATTGGCAATTGTTTCGTCTGACATGTTAAAATGATGATGCTGGTTGAAGCTCCTCACCTTGAAATGTTTCTGCAAAGAGAGAAATTATAATCCAATGCATGTTAAGTTAATATCTTACAAAAATTATTTATGGAAGCTGTATGCTGTTTAAACTTTATATTCTCATTCAAATTTCAAACAATTTATGGAATTAAATGAAAATATATTAGTTGGGTGTTAGGAAATAAAAGAAGGGAATTACCGGAAAGAAGTTAGTTTCATATGCTGCCCAGAAGAATATGACCGTCATTAGAGCAAGGTAACCGCCAAGGACAATACCAGTTGCAAAAATTTCACTTAGCTTCCAACTGTCAGGAAGGGGAGAAGGCCTGACCCTGTCTTTGGATATAGTCATGATAGTACCTGCCAAATAGTAGGTCAAAATAATGAGCAAGACAAACAAAAACATAACACAGGTAAAATACTACTTAAATAACAGGAGGTAGAGAAACTTAAAAGCCAACCATCATTAAGAATGGCGATGACAAGAACCATAAAAGGAGGGAAGTCAAATTTCCAGAAGACAGTCAGCAACATAAAACCAAGCTGTTACAAAAACAAAATAAAATGAGGAAATACTGATGGTATTTTGCATTTTATACCGGTTCATAAAAAATTTCATTGAACAAGGGAAACTTACCACAATACGGATAGTGATTGACACTGCATATATCTGGAAAACAAAAATTAACATCAGATTTCTATTAAGATAGCTGAAGCTTTCGGTGATAACTTGATCATACTCTGGATATTTTAGCTAGCATATTATTACCGTGTAATTTTTCATTCTCTGGAAGATTGCACGACTTGTTAACACTGCACTAATGATTACACTCAGCCCTGGTTCTGTTAGAACTATGTCAGAGGCACTTCTGGCAGCATCTGTGGAATCCGCCACAGCAATTCCTATGTCAGCTTTCTTCAGTGCAGGTGCATCATTAACACCATCACCAGTCATTCCACAAATATGCTTTTTAGCTTGCAGTCTCCTTACAATCTCATATTTATGTTCTGCAGATGAGAATATGGGATTAGAATCAGATAGCTAATTGACACTTACATAGTTTTCATTGTGAAACAAAAATAGAACTAGGGATTACCAGGGAAGACTCCAGCAAAGCCATCGGCTTTCTCAATGAGCTCATCAATTGGAAGTGATGCAGTTGTGCTGTTCTTGCCATCACCAAGAAGAGATGAAGATGGGTACATATTTGTGCCCATTCCAAGCCTCCTTCCAGTTTCCTTGGCAATTGCAAGTTGGTCGCCTGCATAGATTTTAATCAGAGTGGATCAGCCACACAGTACGAAATGCACAGGACGTACCATTTCATTCTCTAAAAATTCCTCATGATTTTTGAAGTTTTGGGTCTTGGGAAGCTACATGGGAATTGCTTGTAGACACTGATGGTGACAAGTTAAACCTATGGTCTTCCATAAACTGATAGACAAAACAATTTCTTGATCTTGAATAGTATATAAAACCCACAAAACAAACAGATAGAACCTTATAGAAAATAGAGGTTTGGAGAAAAAAAAATTTCAAATTGAAGGGGACAATAGTGATGGAACATACCTGTAATCATTTTAACACTAACACCAAGATCCAGAGCTCTTCTGATTGTTTCAGCACTATCATTGCGAGGAGGGTCAAATAGAGGAAGAAGCCCAACAAATTCCCAGGGGCCACCTGGACTTTCTTTGGTGCCAGCAGGTACTTCCTGCAGAAGATGAAACTGTATTGTTCGAAAAATGCATAGAGAAAAATATGCATATATTAGACGGTGAAGAGTTCATTAGTCACCTGCTGGGCAACGGCAAGAGATCTAAGTCCACGTTCTGCAAATTTGTCGATTATTGCATGTACCTTGTTCTGTATTTCTGATTTATTATGTGCCAGATTGAGAATCTAAATGGAGTGCAGGCAAAAAGCTAAAATTACCCTCTATTATCAACTGGTTGCTTTTCTAATCTTAATGCTTGATGATAATACCTGCTCGGGAGCACCTTTACTGACTCTATGCATTTTACCAGCAGCATCTATGTATGTAAGTGCAGTCCTTTTGTCAGTTGGATTAAATGGAAGGAAGTGAACTTCTTTAATTCCAGCTCGAGCCTTTAGAAGAAGTACAGAATAAATTATTAAGATAACTTGGAGGTCCGAGGAGAAAATACATTCAGCCAATCAAAAGCTTCAAATATATTGTTGCAGAAACTACAAGCAGTAGATTTCAGGACATATACGTGGTGAAAAGAATCTTTTCAACAATTTTAGCATGAAAAAACTTAACTCTAAAATTCTAGGAAATTGCAGTCTCATGAAAAGAACAAACTAACATATTGATATTGACATTTGAAGACATGCAAAACATTTCTAGTAGTATCCACAGGGACAAGCAATTAATCAGATACCTCCTTAGGGTCTGCCAACATTGAAACAATTGCAGCATCAATAGCATCCTGATTCTCCAACCTTGAGGCTCTTGCAGCCATGAGCACAACCATATCCTTGTCAACTCCTTTGGCGAAAACCTGAAGAAAAGGGGATAATTCCTTAGGTTTTGTCAAACTGAGAAACGAATAGCAATCCATAATATTGTTATTGAAAAAAGAAAACATTTAGATGAAAGAAGCAAACGCAAAAAAAAAAATATTAGTAACTTGTACTTTTGTAGAAGGAAGCTTGTGACTGTGATTCTGAAGGTGTTGGTTCCTTCAGTGAATCTATGTTTATTGTATTGTGATACTATGCTATGCAAACTGAAAATCAGAATATCAAAAGAAGAACCTCAATCATATTTTTGTCCACGGTGAGCTTGTTAAGTGTCAATGTGCCCGTT